GGGGGGGGGGGACGTCAAATGTCAGCAGCGCTTTGACGAAAAAAAAAGAGTACACAATTCTCGACAAGAAAGAAAAAAGGAAAATCTTTCACCAAAAGTCGATTGCCCAAATCAAAAAAAAGGGGGGTATATAGCTGTGCATATGTCCAACTCTCAAGCAAGTACCTGTGCAATGCAAATTATATCTATTGGTCCTGCACCGGCGCAGCAGCACCTATCGACGGTTTGCGGTACTACTGCTGCCAGGTCCAACCATAGCTCTCTGCTTCCCGATCCAACTCTTCGGCTCCTGCCTTCTCCTACTCAATGACACGCCATTGTTCTGCAATCTGCTCGACAAGTCGTACCACGCCGTCACCATCAGTCGATTCTCCCGTTGTAGAGCCGCAATGTCCGGAGGCGGTAGTGCTTCCTTGGGCTGCTTCTGAAGAATGTCAAGCTCTCTCCTCAAATCAGTTATCGTCTGCTCGCGTTCCTCGAGTTGCTGAGCTGCTTTGTTCTGTATCGACACACTTCGTTCGTGAGAACGACTTTCATCTTCCAGAGTGGCATTTCGTTGTGACGCCTGCTTGAGACGGAGGTCGGCTGCTTCCAATTGTTGTTCTAGTAACGCCACCTTCTCCGCCCATTGCTTGCTCTGGTCGTTGTTTGGTGCAGTAGCGTGACGCTTGGGCTCCGGTTCGGAGTCTTCTTTGGGTGCTTCTGGCACGTCAACATCGACGTCGTCTTCGGGCCCTGCTTCCTGGAGCTTATTGCGAAGCTCTTCAATTGCTTCATGGTCACGTTCTTGCCGCTCACGCGCAGCCTCGAGCTTCTGAGCAAGGACTCGAGCATCGTACTCGGCGTGCTTTCTCGTTGTGGTAAGCTCGTTAATCTGATACTCCTGATTGCGGATGAGACCTTTCTTCTCGATAATCTCTTTCTCTAGGCCCGCTTGCACTTGCTTCAATCGCTCCAACTCCTCGAGCCGTTCGTTCGCCAGCTTGAGTTCTTCTCGGAGCGACGAGTTCGCTTTGTCTTGTTCTTGCAGAGCGTGTATTTTCTTCTTTAAATTCTCGTTCGCTTTGACTTTCTGGTTAAGATCCTCATTTTCCGCACGTAGTACCTGCAGATCATCACGGAGCTTCTGCCCAGCTTCATGCTCGTCCTTGAACCGCTGTATCTGCCTCTCGTAGTCGTCCACGGCGTTTCTCGACGTCTGCAGTTGTGCCTCCAGGTCATCGATATATGCTCTGTCATTGTCCGCCTGCCGCTGCAGTTTCTTCAGATCGTCATCGGCAACGGCCGGCCTGCCTCTCGCATTGATTTCCGATCGATATGTGTCAAATGCCTCTTGGAGCTGCTCTTTGGCCTGCTTCAAGTCTTGCAATTGTCGCTGTGCTGCTGCATGACTGGCCTGCAGCTTCTCGATTGTCGCCTGCGCCTGTAACAACTCTTCTTCCTTCTCCAACATGGGGTCCCCAAACAGCCCTCCATTCTGCCTTGTCTTCTTCGCGGCGACACTCCTCTCGGGCAGCTCTTGCTCGGAATGATACGCCGACCCATCTCTGCTCGCCGACTCCGACTCCGGCGCCTCGGCGTCCTGCATATTTCTGATTTCATAGGCAATTGCCATAGCATGCTCGTTGCCCAGCCCCAGTAACCGCTTGCCCATGCGCTGATTCGACGCGGGTGACGCCATGGCCGCCCTGATGATCTCCATTATCAGGCGTTCGAGGTGAGGAATGGAGGACTCGGAGGCGATAGCCTTGAGATCCGGACCGTTACTTGTGCCGGCGGCATCTTGCCCATTGCATACGTCGCGGTAGTAGACTGACAGCTGCCTTTCGAGTTGCTTGAGGTTCTGCCACTTGCGCGTCCATTCGCTCGACTGTTCAATATCTGGCTCTGGAAGCGATCCAGCGAAGTAGTCCGGGTCGACATCCTGCAAAATGGCCCAGAGCACTGTGCCATCATTCAAACTGCCCAGCTGGTCCACCCTGCCGCCGCCCTCGAACGACCTCACCCACGCCAGCAGGCTCTCTCCCAGCGAATCTGACGCGAGAGCGGCCATTGGTGGAAAGTAGTGGCGGTGGTGGTGGCGATGATGGTGGGGGTGGTGGTAGTAGTAGTGGTGGTGGTGATGGTGGTACCACGATGGTGGTGGTGAGTGGGATACGCGTTCTTGCCGCTTGAGAACCTCCGCGAGCGGTAGTTCTACGGATCACCAACAGCATTGACTGGAACCGTGTCGTCGTCGACGGCGGCGGCGATGATCATGGCCAAAAGGTACAGTAGCGAGCCAGCCAGGATCACATCTGTCCTTTGACGAACGACACCTTCACGCTCCGTCTGCCTGCCATGCATCATTACCTAGGTATCATCATCCCAATTGGGATGCATGCTTACAGCGCGCCAAGTCTACGGATCCGCGCTAGTTTCATGACCATCCCTCGACACGGATGTCAAGGTCAAACACAGGCACGAGTTAATGTACGGCATCGACGCAGTGTCTCGGGAGCACATGCGCGCGAAGGGCCGTATGTGAGATCAACCATATTTCAACGTCGACTGTCACAGGAATACATCAGTAATAGGCAATATTTTCCTTTCTCATTATTTTCGAACCGTCTCCCAGCCCTGGCTAATCTACCGACCTAGTCATTTTGACACGCATGTACTTTACATCTCGTCAGTGTCGTCACATTTCCCCCCCCCCCCCCCCAATTACTACTGTACAATAACGTTTCGTTGTCGTGGTCGTTGTCGTGAGCGTGGTAAGACCGTGGTGATCTACCGTTTCCATGTCAATGGTCGGATGTCTATAGCGTCGCATCGAGAGGGCGTCAAGTCGTTCGTGAGCTCATACCATTGCAACGCTGATCTGCAAATAACCTGCGTCAAGAAGCAATCCGAAAAGCCGCGCTATGCAAATGCTGCTGATACAAAGGAAATCATCGTTGTCATCATCTTCATCGTCATCGGCGGAGACTCTCGGACGTTGTCGAAACGGGAGGCAACGTGTATCGTAGGGGCGTCATGGCCGTGGGCGCACCGGACACGCTGTTGAGCGGTGGTAGTGGTGCTCTGCTCATCGCTGCTGCCGAGCTGGGCACTGACCGTGCGCTATCGGCTCGATGTCGCAGTGATCCGTGAGGCGAGGTGTCATCACTGTTACGTCGAAACCTGGCCTGCACCGGAGAGACGGGATATGAGAGTGGCTGTGGGATATGAGGCAGAGAGTGGTTGTGAGTGTGCGAGTATCCCATTCCTCCTGGAAGCGCTGCACCGTTGCCAGACGAGGGCGACGTGCTTGCGCGGCCCTCCGATCCAGGTCCAGCTTGTCCCGTCGCTGAGCCTTGCTGTCCTGCCAGGTGGAATACGGGTACGTTGGCTCGTTGCGCCATCTCGACTTCGCCGATTTGCCAGTGCATCGCCTCGGCCGCTCTCCATGGCAGTTGCATCTCTTTCGAGATCTTCTCCCACATGTCTTTCTTGAATCTGAGTATTAAAATTAGCATGAGCTGAATGCATATATACACATAAGTCCGAACGCACCTCTCATACAGTCGAGCAAGCTTGTTCTTCTTCTCTTCGTCCCACTCCGATCGTCGTTCGAGATAATTCTGGAAGCGCAGCCGACAGCTGATCGCACTCCGCCCGGGTAGATGCTTCGAGATGTCTTCCCACTTCATACCATTCCCTCGCAGCTCGATGATCGACCTATCCTCGTCGGCAGTCCATTTCGATTGCTTCTTTTTAGCGGGTGGCTCAGCAGGATGAGGCTGAGGAGGTGCAAGGCGCTTGTTGGTTGGCCCTGCGACCTGTGAGATCGGTATAGATAGGCCCACCCGTGGATCGGGCATAGAGGGCGGTGGGTAGGGCGCGTATGGAGTCATTGTGTGGTAATGAGATGGCCCTGGAGGGTGTTTCTGCAGCGAATGATGCATGGTCTGCATCGGCGGATAGTTGTGAGATGCTTGATGGTACTCAAAATGTGGCACCGGATGGGGTGCCGCAGTCGTTGCACTCGTGCTCGTTGCAAAATGAGCTGGGCCTGCAGTATCGTCTCTGGTTCTGCTGCTTGTCGATGTCTTGGAGCTGTTGCTCGCACTGCCTGGAGACGAAGCTGCTGTGGGCCGCTCCAATAACGATGAGATATCCACCGTTGCGACCTTCGCTGGCGTCAAGGCCAGCTTGTAGTTTTATGGTACGAGAGCTGGTCCAGCGGAACGAGTGATGTCGAGCGTTCGAGCGTTTGGTCTGCTCACGAGCGCTCTCGAAAGGCACAGTCGACAATGTGATGCCGTCCAGTTGTATCGGTGCCCGTAGTATTGTACGTCTGTACACTCATCCACTCCAGCAGGGCCTATGCCTTCTACCGTCTCAATGCGGCCTTGGTCTGTAAGCGCAATTGCCCTGGTCCTGGAGTGTGATGGCCAGCAGTTCTTCTCAGCAGGCCGTAACAGTTAGGCTGGACTTTGGCGTGGGTGTGAGTTGCGCGTCTTCACCTCGTAGCGTATCACAAGACACTCTTTTTTCTCCAGGTATAGCGGACAATGCAACTTTTTGCTTCCGGCTTGTGTTGATAGAGACCCAGTAAAAGTCGCTTAAACTTGGCCGATGATCGACGAGGGTATATGTACGAACGCCTTGGAAGACAGGCTATGGTGCCGCCTACAGCGTGCGAGGATGGGCCTGCTCGCGAGAACTCCGTGAAAGCTTCACAAACCGGCCACTTGCCTCTAGGTGGGCCGTGTAAGGTTGTTTCAACCAGCGCTTGACGTAATATACTGAGGCACGAGGCAATCGTAGATTAGAAGCTAAAGAGTGAACCAGAGGTAAGATTCCCTTGAAGAGCTGCCAGCCGAACCTTTGCGCGAGGCACGCACAGTCCATGCAAGACCAAAACATGCAAGAAATAAACCCGAGTCTCTGGATAGCTGGCCAATGACGGTCGGTGCAAGGGATGAAACAGCGTGGACCTATCGTGTCCAGCGATCCGCTAAGTAAGGAAGCTGTGCTGGTCAACAACGGGTTACAGCTGGTGTAGAAGAGCAGCCATCCTAGCACACTACTACTCTCACCGGCGAAACCTCAGCCAGCCCGCAAGGTATGGCGCGCTTGTTATTCACACGGAGCCAAGAACATCAGCTCCCTCGACCATTCGCTGCAGCACTGGCTAGCTCTCGCCTCATGCCGCTCGGTTGTCTGCAGCGAAGGAGCCAGGTCTGAAGGGGCTTAGGCCGGGTCCTGCTGCGAGATGTACTTTCGCCAGGGATGATGTGCTTTAGTCGATGATCCCTGCACCAGCGAGTCCGATACATCTTCTGTGACGTCGGACATGGAGCTAGGGGTTTGAACTACCAGATAGAAAGCCGTAAGGAGACGAGTCTCGCACCGCTCTCATCTCTCAACGAACGATGATGTGGCAAGTTCTATGCACAAATTGACTCGAGCGTGCGCTCCCGCGTGCCCACCCTCTCTTTTCTCACGGGCCCACAGGGCGCTGTCAAAGCACGGCGCGGGTGTCTCTTAGGGTGGTCCGGGGAATAGAGAACTAAAGAAGCGTTCTGATCTGGCGAACGATCTGCAAGACGTTTTGGCAATGGCGCCGCCGTCGTTTTTTCTTCGTTGCGCGCCAGCACGCCGAAGAAGTAGCTGGTTGGGTGATGGAGACTGCATCAAGATATAATCCTACTTGCCCATTGCCGGTCGTATGTGTGTATGAATGTGTGTGTGTGTGTGCAAGACCGCGATAGACACTGTCGCATTATTACTCGAGCGCACGCACGCACGCGGGCGCATGGCATTCCAGTGTAACGCTAGAGAATGGGCGGTGAAGTCTGAAGTGCCGACTGGCTGGGCTGGTAGCGAGTGTCATGTACAATGTTTGTGACACAGTCTGCATGCCGGATCTCGTGACCCCAGCAATAGCGTTCCGTCACGCCGAGACACTTGCCCTCCTGGCAGACCAGGCGTCTCCGGGACACGATCAGTCGTGTGGAATGCGTGGCGCTGCACACGCGAGATTGAAGCAGTACCGCGGCGCCTTCCAATGGCAGTTCCAAGAGCGGTCAAGCGGGTACTGTAACATGAACAATGCATTATTATGCATTTCGTCGCAGGGATGGCTGGCTGCTTGACGCAAGTCATTCGGCTCTAGCGCGATCCACGCCAGTGCGCACAGATCGTAGGTTCCGTCGCGCGCGTTCGATGGGGTGATTGACCGAGGGAGGGACGAGGCTGCAGCTAAAGAGGTCAGGCAGGTAAGGTTGTACAGTAGTCGGGAGGCAAGAGCAAGATGCGAAGCTTAGATGCTGGAAAGAGGGTCCTGCGGGTCATGATCGAACAACTGAAGTTACTGCACTGGGCTGGCCTGGCGGGCTGGGCTGGCCTGCCGCTGCTCCGCCGCCGCTCCGCTGGTCGAAAGGTCGCGTCGCTGCAGAGGGCCGCCCGCATGCACGACCACGGGCGTTGCAGAGTCCATACAGTATACTCAGTGTGTATTGGCCTGTACGGCGAGTATATGAGCCAGGCCCGGTTAGGCAGTACTGTCGGTCTGTCGGCGCGCCGCTGGCGACTCGAGGGAAGACGGGCGGGCGGGCGGACGGGCGGACGGGCGGTGAAGTGCTCGCGAGAACAAGGCTGTTGTGACTGTTTGTGACTGTTGGTGACTGTTGTTGTAGGGCCGGCTGGTACGGTGCGGGGGACGTCGGACATGGACGTGGAGTGGGTGGGCAGTGGGCAGCGAGGGCAGTGGACCGTGGGCAGTGCCGCAGTGGGCGATGAGGGTTCGAGGTGGCGTGGCGGCTGTTGTCAGTGTCAGTGCTCACTCCCACCAGTGCTGTGCTCATCACGCTCGCAGCAGTAGTCCCTCCTCCACCTGTAGACGCGTAGAGTGCACCCTCCTAGTGGAAGAAGAAGAAGAAGGAGGATGAGGCCCCGTGGCTGGCGCTAGGCCGGGAGCAGGCTGAGCAGGGCAGGGTGTCGAGAGCTAGGAGCGCCGAACAATCGGCGAACATGTTCCCTTCGAGGGATGCCCTGGCGACTTGCGCGACGCTCTAATTTAGCAGGCGCGCGTTGCGGGCGGTGAGACTCGGGAGTCGGACATGCGTGGCCAAGCAGAGCAAGCACGTCCCGGCGGAAGGCGGATGACGACACCAGTGAGGCTCCATCTGACCTGTTTCCCAGGATGCTCTCTCGTCGACCCCAGCAAACCTTCGAATGGTCCAGGTCCACTAGGAGGTAGGAGGTAGGAGGGTCAGGTAGAGGTAGCAGGTACCCGACTGAGTCTACTGTAGGTAGTCTGTAGGCTGTGCCGTGGGCCGTGCCTGTAGCCTGTAGGAGATGTGCACGTACCTACCTACCTCCTGACAGTAGTATCACCTACTGACCACCTACCTACCTTACCTACTACCTGGCCTACCTGAGCCTACCTGCCTAGTACCGTGGTCTACAGTCAGTCGCTCATTCCCGCCGCCAGTGCCACGACCACACGGGACACACATATGCGGTAACCGGACTGGACCCTTCAGGCAGCACAATTCTCTCCCCCCCCCTCTCTCACTCCTTCCCGGCCGGACACTCAACGGTTGTTTCTCGCGCGCCAACCTGGAACCCTCCCACCTTCCCACGCCTCGTATCGTCTGCTGCCCAGCACTCTGCACGCAGCATCACCCACCAGCATCAGCATCGGCACCAGCACCAGCACCAGCACCACACCAGCACCACACCAGCACCACACCAGCACCAACCCATCACCAACACCAGTGTGATCAGTATGGCTGCCCCCGCAGCGGACGTCGCCCTGCTCATACGCTCGGAGAATTCGGCCTCGGAGCGTCGTGTCTCGCCCGCATGGACAATTGCTCAGCTGAAGGCGCGCCTGGAGCCGATTACGGGTGTGCCGGCGGGCTGTCAGCGATTGAGCTTGAAGGTCGCCTCTCAGCCTGCCATGATGATCGAGGCTGCAGACGAGGAGGCCACCCAAGTAGGTGCATGGCCGTTGCAGGCCTATGCAGAGCTGCAGGTAGGTGATGACTAGTGGTTGTCGTAGTCGTCGTGGACTCGTAATGGTGTCGAGCCTGTCTTGCCCCGTCCGTCCGCCCGGCCGTCCTATATCACGCCTCCTCCTCCAATCCTGCTTGCGCTGGCGCTGGCGCACTGCCTCCCTCTCGCTGCGCCGAGTGGGCTCGAGCACTGCCCGCCCACCTCCAATCACCGAGCTTGTCAGCGGCGTGAACGCGAAACATGGCATGTGGCAGGAGGTGAACGGCACCAAACATGCATGCCGCCCCGCCCCGCCCTCCTCCAGCTCACGATGTCGCCCTGATTATTGCTGCTTCTGCCGCCGCCGCTGCCGCTGCTACTGCCACAGAAGCCGATGAGTTACTGATCGACTCTCATACTAGATCGTGGACACGCGCCCCCCGGGATCACGGACCAACTATACCGACGTGTCCTCCGTGGAGAAGTTCGAACTGCCCAAAGAAGAGTATGAGAGCCGCACCGATAGCGTGCTGGCATGGAAGAAGGCTCACAAGCTGGGTCGATTTGACCCCAATGCCCCCAGCATTGAGCAGCAGAAAGTCAACGCCTCGTACCGTGAGGTCGAGGAACGCGGCATCACGCAGAACGCACGATGTCGTCTGCTGCCAGAAAGTGACCACCGAAGAGGCACGGTGCACTACATTGGCGACATTCCCGAAATCACGGGCAGCGTTGGCGCCTGGATTGGTGTGAAACTCGATGAACCCACCGGAAAGAACGACGGAAGTGTCCAAGGCAAACGATATTTTGAATGCCAGCCCAACTACGGCGTATTCGTGAGGCCCGAACGCGTCGAAGTCGGAGACTTTCCCGAGCTGGACGAGTTTGCTGATGAGGATGACGAGTTTTGATCACGTGTGGGAGCAGTGGTATCGATGCTCCGCTGTGGAATCCACCATCTTCCGCAAGAGTGAAAGTCTACGTCTCACAACACGCCAAAATCGTGACGATGTAAACGAGAGCGACAAGCATTCTCCCGACCCCAAATGCGGGTCGTTCGACTAAATAATTGCTGAGGCAAGCAGGCGAGTTCAGATAGCTTGCATTCGCTTGCATTCGGGTTTCTTGAGTGATCCTGTATAGCTGTACAGCAACTGACAGTAGGTAGAACTGCACTGTCCACATTGCGAATATACTGCAAGCACATGATCCTTCTCGTGAAGATACGTGGTTCATCAGACGTATTGATGCTTGTTCGTGCATAATTCTCTATATGCGCCTGAGGTTTCGAGTACATACATGTATGTACCTAAGTATGCAGGGCGCCCCAAAGTGAGGCAGCAGGCTGCCCGCCTTACTAGGAGGTAGGTGCGTTGTCCCTGCTACTATGCTAGTCCTGGTGAGAGATCCTTCTTTTACCCGCTCGTCCTGGTCGCTGTCATCTCCGTTACAGTACAACCTGGCTATAACGAAATACAATGTAGGTACTACCCTTGGCAGGAACCCTATCTCTCTCTCTCTTTCTCTCTCCCTCCCGTCGTTACATGCCCGTACACGGTACATGTATTTACGGACTTAAGGGTCTTCAAGGTTGTCTTGTCTGGTCAGTGGTCTTGTCAGCAAAATAGAGACGGAGATAAGGTCAGCGTATCGATATACCCGAATAGGTAATCATACAATGATCGTCGTATTGCCATGCCCGTACAGGAAGCAAAGAGGGTCAGACCGCCCTATTTTATCTCCTCACACTCTCTCTCCCTCACTCTCTCTCTCTCGAGACCCGGACGTGTAAGAATAGAAGTCCTAGCCGACTTGTTTTTTTTTTTTCGTTTTTGTTGTTGTGTACACGATAATTACCATTTTTGTATTAGCCTTCCCGCTCGGGGAGCTAGCTACCTAGCTATACGGCTACCAGTACCAAACAACCAACAATAGATTCGAATAGGCTATAGAGACCGAGGTAGGTATCTGTTACCGGCTATACTACCTCAGCACGGTTGGATCTTGCTCAAATCTGGCTCTATATTAGCCCGACCGTGACTGACGTAGATGAAGAACAAAGTGGACACGAAAGTAAAAAAGTTTCTTCAGATTCCACCGGAGTAATGAAATTCTCCGTTCTGCAAAAAAGTCAACCCTGACCGACTATAACAGTTCGTCTTTCCCTTATTATACATTAGGTACCTAGTAGTATCAGGGCCTAGGCTATATGTTCGATGTAGTAGTAATAATAGCAGTAATAGTACCTACCTATCTGCCTGGTACTAGGTATGCAGCTTCTACTAGGCTCCAGACTTGCTGCAGATACGATACAGATCGGTACCGAAAAACTGAATCGCGCGAGCTGCAGCTGTTGTTGCTGTTATTCATTATTTCCATTATCATAATACTGCATACAACAAGTATAGTATAGTAGTAGGTAGGTAAGAAAGAGACAAAAAAACACCCCCCGAGCCGCGAGCATGCCGAGTCACGACCAGCGGGTTTCACAGCAGTCGGTGAGTGAGTGCCCATATTCCCAGTACATACATACATACAGGCACATACATGTTCCATGTCGTTGCTCCCGCTTGAAATGGCATCATCCACGGGGCACGGGGGGGTTGACTTGCATACCTATAGTACCATCATCACACCACACACGCACACCCCCACGGAGAGGCTGAACCAACTGAACGGAACGACGGGACTGACTGTATGGAAACCCAACGTTCCCTAGACAAACAAGACCAGACCAGACCAGACCAGACCAGACACGATTTTTTTTTTCTCTCTCAGGGTCCGATGCGATATGCGATGCGTTGGACCGAGTGTGACCGATAGATTAAAAAAGTCTGGCTGGGGGAAGTGGGGAAGGGAGGGCAAGAAAAGGCGGGCGGGGCGGGATCTTTTGCCAGTACGGTACTGGTGTTCATGCGTTCATGTTCAGCATAGCATGTATTACTGGGATCTTCTGTTTCAGCATCATGTCTTTTCCTCACTCTCTCACACAAAAGGAAAAAAGAAAAAAAAGAAACGAATTTTTCCGCGGATAGCGAGAATGGAAGACGTAAGCACTGCAAGCCATTTCTGCCGTAGAAGAAAAAATCGTGCTGTAACTGGGTATCTCACAAGAGTCTCGATCCAAAGACCCAAGTCATCATCTCTCCCTCAGTCCTCTCACGGGTCAAGTCCGCATACATCACGCGCGGCCGCCACGTTATTTCGTTCTTTTCTCTCCCAAAGCGTTATACATGGCGCTCCTGTCGTGCATGCCAGCCTGTCTCCAATGCTAGCCACGATGGCGCTCATGATTGACTCTGTCAATGCGGCGCCCTCATTATTCACGACCATAATCGAGCTGCATCTGCCTGCCACCCACCGGAGAAACCATCTGCGAATGTTGGCTCGATTCCGGATTCGCAAAATGGTTGCTGTAGCGCCAACAATCAATGCGTATCAAAAAAAGCCAACGCATCACCCGCTGCTTTCGACCTCAGATCCCTGCGCAAAGAATATGCGTGCATTCTTGGTTCGACTTTCGTTGGTGATAGCATAGTTATTGCCTACATCGCGTATTAGCACACGAACCTGAATGGGCTAGTCACGAGCAATGCGTCTGCATGCGAATGTGATGTGAGTGTTGCTGTATGTGAGCAAAGACGTAAAGAGTGATCGACTGGCGCAGCACGAGAATGACCGGCGTCGAGGGCTGAGAGCGTTGCATAAATGAAGCAGGCCCCGGGACTCGCTCTGCACACTCCTCACAGGCGCGGAGATCCGGCATATCCTATCCACCTGCGAGACTGATCGAGACCGCGAGAGTCGTGGCTTCTGGTGAGATTCTGCCCCGTCCATGATCCTGTTAGGTCCCCATTCCTGGTCACTGGCTGGTTATGCGTTGTTCAGTGCTGTCGAAAGGCCAGCGACAGTTCTGTTACACGGCATTATGCCTCCACAGATGGGTAAACTTGTCCTGTTACACACTGCATAGTTCAGGCCGGCGCCAGAGTTCTGCGGTGCGACGTCGAGCAGCAGCTCGTGCGGTGCGACCATGCAGCCGAGTGTTATTTTGACAGCGCCAGTGCCACACACACCGCCACGGCGAGCGACAGTAGAAGTCGTCGGCTGAGCGCGACTCTCAGTGTTATGGTCGTCGGCTTGCTGCAGTGTTGAAGCGCTCGAAGATCATTATGTTGCGGTAATGCCGTGCGGTGAGCTGACCGCCATTGCACAGGTCGATTGACTCGACACCAGCTAGTCGCGACCAGTGGAAGCTCGAACGTCCAGGGAGCGGAAAACACTCTAGGCGCAAAATGTTGTTTGGAGAGCGTAGCTGTCCCGGGCGATTGTGGGAGGTGAAGAGAAAAGGGCAAAGGAAACTGACATACCTCTAGGAACCACCCAACAGCCACCTTTGCTGAGTGCGAATTGATTGACTTCCATACCAGTAGCGCCAATCTCGACCATGACTTTCCCCTCGTGCACGAAGAAGATCATCTGCATTTTTCGACTGTTCTTCGCACGCTTGAAGCCCTCAGGGGGTAGATCTACAAAGCCAGCTCCAAAGAAGGGGAGCGTCATGACCTTGGCGTACTTGAAATCAGAGCCAGCAACGTCTCGAGTGACGATTGAAGACGCGGCGAACGCAAGATCTATCACACTTATTAGCAGAGGACAAAGGCCAGACAACAAAATTCAAGCCAACCTTCTTCCCTGGGATTCTCTGGATCTCCTTCCTTCATTACTGGGTCCCAGCTCGCCACGTTACCGGCGATGACGCCAGCTTGTTCTTCCCACTCATCAGGCATGGTGGATTCGGTCTCACTCTCTTCGGTAATGTCACGGAGGCGGTTTCCGTTCTTACGGCTCTTTTTCCGCCGTTTCGTTCGTGCTCTAGATTGTTCCACAGGCTCGGCACGAATGATGCCCTCGATTTCGCCGTTCCTCCATATGCGTCCCTCGTTCTCCCAGAATTTGAGCGGGTTAATCAGATTCCTCCCGGCACGAGATGTATGCTCTTGAGCGTCAGCAGCAGGAGTGACTGCTCGCAGGTTCACGTTGCTAACAGGTCCCATACTTGCGCCTCGTCCCTTGATAGGCGAGCCGCTCGGCTTCACTGGACTACCTCTGGGTTTCACGTTGCGATTAGCATCGCTTTCCTTCAGAACAGCAGCTTTTGCTTTCTTCCCTTTAGGCCTGCCTCTGCCCCTTTTCGGAACCTCCACCTGCTCCTCTGCATCTGCCTGGGCCTCCAATTGCGAATCCAGAAACGGCTGATGTCCATCTACATCGTCGACATTCGTGAGATTCTCGTTTTCAACATTCACTGAAGATGCTCCAGCCTCTACTTCTTCGCCTTGATCGTATCGCGCAGAAGAATTGGAGGGCCGGGACTTTTTCGATGGACGCTCTTGTTCATCAGCTTCAATTTGACTATCGTGGAGACTAGTCCTTGCTCGTTTCGTGCCAGAAGATGAAGCCTCCGGCGATATATGGACCTGGCTCGTGTTCGACACGTCCGACTTTCGAGGTCGCCCGCGCCTCCGTTTGGCAGGAGCTTCAGCTTCACGGACGCTGAGTGTGGTCTGTTCCACTTCTCGAGGTTCGTCACCTATCATCAGAGGCTGATCATCGCCCTCGATTGACTGCTCCACGCCCTCCTCCTCCTCCTCCTCGACGATTCCGTTCGTCTGATCGTAGGAAGACGCTTGTGCACCGTAATCGTCCTCCTCGTAGTCGTACACATCCGGCCTCTCAGGTCCAGTAGATCTCCGAAGTTTGTGCTTTGGCTTGAAGGGACTCTGTGAGTCCACGACGCGAAGCGATTTGCGATTTCGATTGAGCGTTTCGAATTGCAGCTTGCGGTTCACCGCAGGCTCGCTATGCCCACGCGGAGAGCTCGCCGGCTCCTCAGATATGGCAGGCCGCGACTGAGGCCGTACTGAACTCATCCGCTTGGGCGAGCCTCCTATACTGGTGCGCTTGAGCGGTGATTGTCGTGCAGGCGGCAGTCGCGGTGTTTTGCGATGCCCTAGAGTAGTGGTCACATCGGGCGCTGAACCTGATATCGCGCGTCGGGTAAGCATATCTTCCTCTTCCTCCTCATCCTTGATATACGCACTATCCTGCACTTCCATAGTCTCGCTCGTGAGCGTCCTGTCGCCATTCTGTTCAGGCGAAATGGGCGAAGAGAAGATGCCAGAAACGGGCTCGAGTCCGTGTTCATCGCGAATGCCAGTGTCTTGCAGAGTGATTCCAGTCTTGCTATATCATTGTCAGTACGACGCGCGCGCTGTTCAGCATGTCCTCATCGCCGTTGCGCATACCGTCCGACCTTGCCCACATCAAAGTATTGTTGTCCAGTCTTCTTGCGTCGTCCCGGCGTCGCGTTGTTCGCAGCAGACGCCATACCGCGCGGCGGTCGATTTTCTTTCCCTGTCGCCAGCTCTCCCAGTCCAAGCAGTCCAACGCGCGTAGGGTGAGGTGTGGAAGCAAATTGTCGGTTCTGTCTTGGACGCTGACGATACGCGTCGCGGTAAGTCTCGCGAAAGTCAAAGTAAACAACACGCACGTGACGGGGTCCACGTCGCACTCGCCCCTCCATGATCCATCACTCGCGCACCCACACGAAAGCGTAACGTCCGGTATGAGGCTATAAGGCTGTACTTTTACGGTACATAAGTTTGTAGATCTACTATATAACACTCTCACTCCCATCCCATGAACAGTGTCCACAGTTGACCACTTCCATATGTCGAGCTTCACCGGTAGAGAGCTGCTGCTACGTGGCCCTCATCTTGCCCAGTTTCTCTACTGTCTATACGGTGGTGCACTCTCATATGTCGCCATCACCAACCTACGAAAGTAAGAGCGCAATCGGTCTAATGGACGTGGACGGAAGACATGTCCTCATCTGATGACTTCGCAGGTATGAGGCTACGTCCAAGAAGCTGGCGGAGTGGTCCAAGGAGGCCGAAACTCAGCTGTGGAAGACCAGAACGACACAGGCTTCAGGTGCACTGGCAGTAGGTGGCGAAGCTATTGGTGTTCATCTCAACTTCTGATAACTGATGTGGTTGATGTAGATTCTTGCGTCTTTCATTGGAGCATTCAGCCTGACTTTCTTTCCCAACGCCCTACCAAGACTCATGCGTATGACCACCTCTCCCGTCTTAGTCGTCTTGGTCCTCTTCACCCGCGGCCACATTAAGAACTACTGGGCACCTAAAGACGGGAAGAACATCACTCGCATTCCTCTCCCGAAAATGGAAGATTACAACGAAGCCGAGCGCAGGACGGAAAACCTGCTCAAGGCGCTTGAGTACCTGGAGTACAGCTGGGTGTTGACAAGCTTCATTCACGGTATGGTGGGATATTAGTGAAGCACCAGGGGCGTTGTTCAGCCACGCACAAGCAAGACAGTATTAAGCACGTTGAGCTCTGCTCCGTCGTCGCGCCGCGCACGTCTGTCGCCAAACGTCATTTTGAGACGAGAGATGTCTGTTCCACATCCATACGGCGTTCTGTAGCCCTCCTATAACCCATCACTTGCCATGCGCTGGATGTCGTAGCCATCTCTGCCAAAAGCTTGTGTATTATCCACACCTAGGCCAATGTACACCTGTAGCAAGACCACCGGCGCCGAGAGAGCCTTGTTTGCATTCCACGGATGGCACGTCCGACAGCATAAGAACAAAAAACGATGCACTCTAATCACAAATTCTCTCCATTCGTGAGAATGGATGGAAGCAGCAAAAGATTTGGGACTGATGAAGTCTCTCCATCTGGGAATCGAACCCAGGTCTCCCGCGCTTGAGAATGACAAGCGGAAATCATGACCACTAGACCAATGAAGATGGTGATTGATGGAAGATGCCCGTTGAAACTAGTATATAATGCTCATATCCAGGACCCTCCAAGCAGTTGGCTGTCGACTTCACGCTCTCCTTATGTCCTTGAGGTCAAGCAAGGCAGCAGTATTGTGCGACACGTGGCGTTTTAGCTAACCAAATCTGGTATGCGGCTATATGGCTTCCCCTTTTTCAAATTTGACAAAAGAGTTGCTGCTGCTTTCGTTGTCCTATCTGGTCTGCGTTGTGAGTACACGAATCGACTCTTTCAGGGGGAGTTGTGAGGAATACATTGCCTTGTTGGAGTGCAAAATCGTCAAATTAAGAGGCATTGTCCAAAGGGCGCCATCTAGCGACCAGAACCGCGAAAGGTCCATCGAGCACTGCAGCAAGGCAGAGAGCTGAGGCAGAGGAATACAGTGACTCAGACTAATGGGCGCACGACCTACTCCGGGCCCTCACCTTGTGCAGCGCGCAGGCATGTATTTCCCGCCCACTGCTTACATGAGTCGGCTTGATCAATCGCGTTACATGATGCACTTCCATACAAATGTGCCCTTGGAGGACCATTTACCTTACTGTTCTCTCGCACCTGTTGGAGCTTTGGCGCGTTAGTCGAGATTCTTTCGATTCTGTTGATGCTGTTTAGGTCGGATTCGATTCGTTTGTCCTGCGAGGAGAGAAAGGAACAGTGACCACTCTAGGAATCATACGTCCACGTTGCCATCTCATGTACTCAGCGCTTAGAAATCGCGCACAGCTTCTTCCGCATCCGCATATGCACCCGTCCAGCACCTTTGTACGACCCTGCCGACAAGAAGATGGTCAAGAACAGAAAATTGGTGTAACGCAAAACGTGTCTGGATCAGAACTTCATTAGCAAACGTGTCCAGGTCTGAAAAGGGTTTATAACCTTGCATGATGAAGTATACCTTATCGTCGATCCGAGGGCAAACAGGTCTGTGTCTGTATCAGCCTCGTTATCTGGTTTGCCGAGCATACGTGAGTTCGCGTTCTCGTATACTCACCGTCAACTTGGACGCTGCCATCCAAGCCGAGAACGCGTTCCTGAAAGTCGCAGAGAAGAATGTTAAGGTTCTTGTCCAGAAGAAGGTTTGTGGCATTCAAGTCGCAGTGGAGAAGTGTAGTCTGTGAATATACCTAGGCTACAGCTTCGGCTGTCTGCAATGCCTACTTCTGCCTCACAGTCGCAGGAACCGAGGACTCATGTTGGAGAAATCTCGCAAGCAAGCGAACCGTTGCTTGCACGCTGCAGCAGAATGCGCTGCTCAGTTGGGCCCTAATACTCCAGAATGCGAGAATGAGGGCCGAGGTGAGTGTATATCTTTTTTTTTCGCACTCCGGTTGAAAAGACTAATTAGACGGGGTTATCAACAGTGAACTTCTCATCACTGATTGCTTTGTTAGATCGCGATCAGTGCAATATCGAACAATCTACGAGCTTCATGATTACTAAATTTGGTGATCTCGAAGAAATAACCGCTCCCGTCACTCTAGCAGGGTACTTCTGGTGACTTCTTCGATTTGCGCGTTATAACCATTCTATCACCCAGCAGCCAGGCCCGCTAATTCACTTGCTGCAGTGCATCTCTGACGGGCCGTAGGACTGCTATGGTGTTGAGTGTTTGAAGGCGCAGAAACAGCGCAGCTAGCTGGTCTTGATAGCCTGCAGTCCTCGCGAAACAAACAACGGGAAGCGTCCTAGCGTCTGATGTCTATTAATGACGGCCGACGGACACTCGGTGGAAACTTTTGTTCATGGGAACAAACGCAAAAGAGCCGATAGTCTCTGGCTCAAACACAGAATCATAGACCGCTTGCATAGAGTATAGGGCAAGAATAACGCACATGGCAACTCGAGGATATTACTGGCCAAGATCGTGCTAAAAAATGAAACGTTGTGGCATCGATACAAATTCAAAAGAGTGACATCTAGATCGATCCTGAACGACCTAGGGGATAGATTCGAGACCAACCAACAGAACACTATCACTTCTATGCATCAACAGGCGATGGTACAAGCAACAGGTGCTCACTGTTTACAGATCTCGACCACAGAATCGAGTACATAGGTCACGATCATAACGCCCCATTTCCCGCCCACCTGGAGCATGATGTCGGACCCGAGCCATATTATGCAGACAAAACATCAAAGTCGGTCTATGGTTTGTGGCAAGATACTGGAGAACTTCAAGCGATGGAAAGGCTCAGACCAGGCCGCCGAATGGATTTTGGGTCACACACTGACTGCGACATTCACATTCTCGTCTGCGTCGACTACAGTGTTGAGCAGTCAGAGAGACAACGGAAGCTCAGTCGACTTCAGTGTCAATGCTACGATCTAGTGGCCCTGATGTTCAACGATTAATCTTGCGGACTGTATCCCAAGTCTCGTGAAATGTGATCTCTACTATGAGCTGCATTGTTCATTTAGCAGAGACTCCCTCCCAGAAGATGTTCCACTCCCCACCGTGGGGTCTGACGATGAAACTCTAGGCTGAACCCAGGTACATGTTACCATTGGCGCCAAGTCCTGCCTCGACGTGTCTTTAGGCAGTCTAGACCACGATACCACGTGATGCGGGCCGCGTCGGTACCACCCACGAGAGCTTATCACGTTGGGCAATGGGCATGGATGTCACCTCACTCCTCGCTTTTGGGAAAATGTTCCAGGATTCAAGACATGAGATCAACCGTAAGGTACCTCCTACAGCTGAAGCTCGATTCCATCAGACACACCGGTCAACATGTGCAACGTGATTGCTTCATGCGTTGCGCAGCCCGATGCTCTTGAGATGCGGAAGAGCAAGACCATCGGCGGAGGCGTCTGCCTTTGCTCAATCGGGCGAAAAGATATACCTAGAAGGTACCTACTAGAAGGTGGGAGACACTGTGGTACCTTGCAGGTTCGCGGGTCTAAGACCGAGCCGGTGACCCCTCGCGGTTTGTCACCAGGTTACTTTCACCCCTTCTGATCCCCTGCGACGAAGCAATCATGGGCGCCATCGGTGAAGTCGTTGACGACGGATTCATCAACAGCAACGGCATTGCTCTGCTCGGTGCAGGCACATTCGGCTATGTTGAGCTTCTCGACGATGGGCTCGTCGCGAAGTCCCCTTGGCCTGCGGAAAATGGCATGCTGCGCGACTATTTTCAACACCAGCCACGCTCAGGACAGATTAACAATTCGCAACTATACTCATGGATCCTTGCGATGGCTGAAGGGCTAGCGATGCTGCATACATAAGGAATCATCCATTGCGATTTCAAACCAAACAACATGCTCCTAGACCACCGTCTGGAGCTCAAAATCACGGATTTCGGATGCAGCTCCATTGACGGTTCCAAGTCTTCTAGTAGCGCAGGGGTACGATTCGACCCGGCCCACAGTAATTGGGATGCTCTGGCAACAAAAGAGGATAGCCTTTTTGCACTTGGTTCAAGCATCTTTGAGGTACTTACTACATGTAGCAAGAGACCCTATGAAGACATAGGTACCAACAGATCGGGTATTCTTTCTACATAGGCATCCTCAGTTTGATGACCTCACTGGACTCGAGATGACAGACATCATATTGGACTGTTAGCTTCTGAGGGCCCATTCAGCTGAGGCGGGTTTTCGACGACTTTCCGCAGCGGGTTCTGCATCTCAGTGAAGCATGGCACATCAATCGACCTCGTTCCCACGACTGACCTTCACGGGAGGGCCCGATCCGGGCGGTTCAGGGCTTCCGGATGCGGGACTGACGTCAGGTTTCCATAGATGTCTCGACTTCTACCCTCACAGATATAACTTGTCATTCATCTACTACGGTAGATTCCACCTCTGGGACAGTCACAGATGAGTGCGACGCACCATTAATGGGGCTCCGAGGTACTCTAACCAAGACTGTGATAGAGGTGGACTTTCGCGATATTCGTTCCAAAGGACATCTACATTATTCGAGCTGGATGGGGATTGCTCCCTACCACTGTTGGCACCGACGATGTCTGCGATGGTAGACGATATCAAGGTTCACTAATTTCGTATATTGTTGATGCTATTGTAGCATATCATGAGGTATAATATCCCGGAGCTAGACTGTGTCCACACGCTCGCTCACATCTGAGCTTCTGCTACTCTATGTTGATTGCAGCGCAGCAGGGCACACATTTACAATGTGGATTTCGCTAGTAGGAGAGTTTGTATGTGATATGAGTCCATTGCAGAATTGAATTTGTTCATCTCTATGTTCGTTATATGAAATCATGTCTGAGGAGGAAAACAAAAATGCTTCACTCCTGATATCAATCATCGGTCAATGAAAGACAGTTTAAAAAACCCCCTTCCGCAGTCGAAAAGCGGTCAAAAAATCTCTTATGACAACCCAGTGTTCCACTTCGCGATGGCCTGTCCCAGCGGCTTGCCGACACTCTTTCCAAAGTTTCCGATATAGTTTCCGGGTGGCCCGTAGTTGCAAACCGTCAAGTACGGAGGCACGTTACTACCCACATTCGCGAGACCCGTCTTCGAGCAGTCCGCCACGAAACACCCAATGGTGGTTGTGGTGCTCCACACCACCTGAGTGAAATGCCCAAAAGAGCCAAACTTGCTCATGTCGGGCTCCTGGCCATAATAAGAGGGCAGGTAAGCATTGAACTCACTACCGTACCAGAGATCGGTGATGACGGAAGTAATATTGTTGTCCTTGAGCCCTGCTGCAATGTTTTGGCCATAGGCGCTGCCTCCAATGGAAGTGTTGTGTTGGAAACTGCAGCGTTCGGCGAGAGTCTGAGCGTACCCGGCCAGGGTAGTGTCCCAGGTTACGTCCGGAGCGGAATGGTTCCTGCGGTGGAGGTTGTGGTGGAGGACGGCGCGTTGGGCAAGAGTCAAGGGAAGAGTGCCTGTAGGGCTGGCACCAGAGCTCGTGCTGCTTGACCTTGTGCTGGTCGAAGTGGTTCTCGAAGCGGTAGTCGTGCTGGTGGGTCGTACACTTGTAGTGCTCGACCTGGCGGTGGATGTGTGTCTCATTCTGGTTTGACGTTTCTCGTGGATCTCTTGGGCACCCTCTGGAGTGAGAAGCAGCGCTACGCCTGCTACAGCTTGGACTTCATTGTGCTCCACCAGCTGAGCTGGCAGTGCAAGGGCAGTGGCTACCAGAGCTGCGAATGGATAAATAAGATGCATAATGATGAAGTGCGTTGTTCCACGTTGTATAGGACAAGTCGATGGCGCTGTGAGAATCAGAATGTTCCTTGAGCAAGGCTCTTGCAGAAACATATATATACATGCAATACATCCTACTAGATTTGTGGATCGTGGGAATTGTGTCTGCGTGACATCTCGTCAGTGGCCCCAAATCGAGCCAACAAACAGCATCCCCATCATGCAGTTGATGAGCTATCGACACATACCATTCTGGATTCGTCAGAGGATTGCACACACGAAATGGTACATCTTTGTCCGAGTGGCGATTTTGGTCGAACCCGCAGCATTCTCTGACCAATCCTACCACGATGCGGTCATTCTGATAGCCTATGCCCTTGACGACTTACGACCCTGGCGGAAAACGTTTCAGCCGTTCGGAGGGATAAGTGGAATCCGGGGCGCCACACCCATCAAGAACCAAGGTAGGTAGGTAGGAGGTATTCGAGCTGATGAGTAGAGAACAATGATTCCCTTTCTTCACGACACTCACGTGCTGGCGATCAAGCTCACGACCTAGCTTTGAGACGCCCTGCAGCATTCGAGACTTCTTGCGGAGATACGCGTAGGAGTATGATCGACATATGCCCAGCCAATCATGGGAGCGATAGCGATCAGGTGATGTGGTTGTCTCAGTTAGAGAACCTCTCTATGCGAAACGCCAATCGGAGGATAGGTAGAAAGCAGATGAGGCGCAAGAACCAGTGGTTCACGCGAGTGAGACATTGTACCGTTTGCGGCCAGACGCGTGTAATCAAAATCCTCCACAAAAATGGACGCCGATGCCAAGCTTTGCGGCGCCGTTGACGTGAGCAGACAATGCCATGGGGATACAGAGCTTGACAGGTCTGCCAAGCGTCAACACTGCCCACAATATTGGTGCCAACGGGGCCGAATCTGCCGATTATGTCTTGTAACGTGCCTAGGTCTGTGGCCCTCGCCTTTCCTCAAGCAAATTCGCGTGAGATGCGCGCTGCCCGCGCTAGCCGATGATGGATCTGCGCTGCTCGTCCGGTTCAAAGGATGGAGATATTTCGATCGATCGCGACGGGAGGAGCTTCACATCCACAGTGATCGCAACGCGAAGGGCGTGGAACACTCGAGCTGTTCACTTGCCACAGACTAAACGGGGTATTTGGCCGGCGCCGTCGCTATCGAACGAGTGGTCGGTGAGAGAGAGCAGCAGTATGGGCTTGGGGCTTGAGACCTAGGGCACAGCTACGATCCGTGATACATGGAAGTACACTTATCCGTCGCGGACGAACAGGCACTCGTTCTGTGATAACGAGCCAACAGACATCAGGTCATCCAGCTTGGTTTCTCTTCTTCGGCGCCAGATTTCTTCTCCCATGGCTTCTTCCTCGTCTCAAGTTGCGTCTCTGAAGCCTGCCCTTCCAGAACAGTGTCTGGAATGTCCTTGATGCCAGGAATCGGCTTTCCTTCTGCAATCATATCGCAAATCTCAGCAAAGCTCGCAGGCTTAGGGGCATTGCCCATGCCTCCATCGTCGGCGGGCGGGGCTGGCGCTGCACATTCCTCAACCACCCCGTTGCCGTCTCGCGTCTCTACCCAGTTCTTGTAACCATCGAAATCGACAGGTATTCCCGATTTGCGGGCGTAGTAGTAGCACTTGGCGCGGAGAGTGAGATGGGCGACCTGCTGGGGATCTTGTGCTGATGAGCCCAGGATAGCTGCCAGACCTCCTTGGAATTCCTGGTCGCCAGCCCAGTCGTACGCATCCAGCTGGCGGTACAGAGGAGTGTTATCAATGCCGCCGCTCACATCTGTGGCCATGCTGTGATGTGCTGCTCTGTCCTGCTCTGAGATGGTGATGGTGATTGTGTGATATGAGGTGCTCGTTGAGGCTGTGTGGAGAAGAGAGATCGAGCGAGCTGCCAAGCTGAACTTTAAGGTCAGGTACCTTACCTGTACTGTAGCCTAGGTAAGGTACCTTCTAATTCTGACAACACCATCACCACCACCATCACCACCACCACCTCTGCTGGCACCTCACCCACCACCCATCCCTCACCACGCAACGCAACGCGTCAACCATGTCCGAGTACATTGGGTCGCGCATCTCGCTCATATCCAAGTCCGACATCAAGTGCGTGGTCTCTCTCCCTCCCTGCGCCGCATAGCATCGCTGCACGCGCGCGCCCACGACGGCTGCTAACAGGCAGGCCGCCCGCCATTTCAGATACGTCGGCACTCTCAAATCCATCGACAGCGAAACCGCCACCGTATCACTGCAGGATGTGCAGTGTCATGGCACCGAAGGCCGCAAAGGCGATCCCTCCCTCGAGGTCCCCGGATCCGACACCATCTACGAAGGCATCGTCTTTCGTGGCAGCGACGTCAAAGACCTGACCATTCTCGCCCCGCCGAAAGAGAACCGCCCGCCGCAGCCACAGATGCCCAATGATCCCGCCATCCTCGGAGTACGTGATGCCTCCTATACCTACCCTCCCCTCTACTTGCCCTACCCTTTCTACATGATGAAGCATTTGGATACAAAACAAAACACGCACCGAGAGCGCAAAACCATGTGGATATCTCCGTTGCCTTCCTTCTGATCTAGACTTCACCTACGCACCAGCATCCTGAGTCGCGCTGGCAGTGTATGTGCTGATTAGACCGTTATAGTCCTCCGAATCTCACCATCAGCAACCAGCCCCACATCCACCACAGCAACAGCAACAGCCGCCGCAGCAGCAGCAACCTGTACAGTTCCGAGGCCCAGCGCCTCCGTATCAAGGACACCAGCAGCAGTTTGGATATCCCGGCCCACCGCCTGGGCCATTCCAACAGCCACCGCGGTTCAATGCTCCTGGTGGCGCCCATGGCTTTCCCGGACAGCCTGGGGCTGTGCCTGGTTACGGCATGAATCTCGGAGGTCCGCCGCCTCCTGGCTATGGGCCTCCAGGACAGTTTTATGGTCCGCCAGGACAGGGATTTGGACCTCCAGGACCTTTCCCGCCCCAACAACAGCAGCCCATCGGTCCTCCGGGAATGAATCAGCAGCGTCCTCCACAGATGCCGAACCAGCAACAACAGTCGCCCCAGGCACCGATTGGCAGCAAGCAAAATACTCCTCGGCCCACGCCTTCGCAAGCCCCAGAAGCGCCGTCCGTGCAGCCTCCGCAGAGCCGACCTGCCGAGATGTCTACCACACCGGTCCCAACTAGCGCGAGCGGTCCACCACCTCCACCGGTCGAGTCGAAGCCGTCTGCTGCTGCTGCGAAAGCCCCTTCCGAAGCCACCAAGGCGCAGACGCAAGCACCGCCACCTGCTACGTCAAAGGCGGCAATGAGGACGAGCAACAGAGTAGCTGTTCCCCTTGCAAGTCCTGCTGCGGTCAAGCAGCATCCACGAGCACCGCCCCCAGCGGGCCCAGTTCCAGCCCCTGCGCCGGCCAAACAGCCATCACAGACGCAATCGCAACCACCTGCAACAGCTACAGAAGCTGCAACCGCCGCTGTTGCGGCCGCTATGGCCAAACTCGGCGCAGTCAACCAGCACGCTGGGGCAGTGGATAACCTGTCGCAAAAGGTGAATCAGATGAGAGTGCAAGATGGACAAGCAAGAGGACGAGGCTCCAGCCGTGGTCGAGGCGCGACACGGGGAGGAAGACGCGAGAGTCAGCCTAAGACAGTGGACGTGCCCAAGGAGGACTTCGACTTTGAGAGCGCCAATGCGAAGTTCAACAAGCAAGAGCTTGTGAAGGAAGCGATTGCCTCCGGCGAACCCATCGTCAGCCCAACGAACGGCGATGCAACTGACCCGCTTGCGTCCGCTACAAATGGACATCAGGACGACGATGTCATCATCCCAGCAAAGGAGAAGGGGTACGACAAGAAGTCGTCGTTCTTCGACAACATTAGTAGCGATCTCAAAGATCGAGCTACTTTACAGCAGACCGGCGAATTTGTCGACGGGCGTGCAATGCGTCGCGAAGAACGCTCAAAGAATATGGACACTTTTGGACAGGGATCCATCGATGGCGGCTTCAGAGGTCGCGGCCGTGGACGAGGCCGTGGCTTTGGCGGTCGAGGCCGTGGTAGGGGTGGCTTCGATGCAGGTCGCGGAGGATATGAAAACTCCAACGGATTCCGGGGTCGAGGGCGAGGTGGATACGAGGCAGCGGCAGTCTAGGATGATTTACCACCTACACATCCGTCCTTGACTAGATTCAGCCGCCTTCCTGAGAAGAAACACACGCCAGATGCGTGAGATATGTGATTTGTACTATAGCGTCCGGAACAGGCATCGAAAAAAGCTGCCTGCCTGCCTGTCTGTTTATATTGGGAGGGCATGAGAACATCATCGTCGAGGACCTACTATCAAACTTAGGTAAAAGTCATCATGCCATCATGCTCCTAGTATGAGTAAGAAATTTTCTGCGCTTCACATGCCATATTCCAAGTCTTGAACTGGGGGTATACCCAGCGTGCCCCTTGATTCCCAGATTCCTCATCATTTTGACGTTGCAGCTCAACTCTTCTTCTACCGAAAGAAGCAGCAGTCCGGTTGAAGAGCAAGCAGTAAGCATGCATGGATACCAGGGTACTGTAATTCGCGAAGCGACCTCCGGAACATAGTGCGGCCGGCCCCGGAGCGAAGCGGAGGTAGCCGGCCTACGGAGTGTAGGAGGGAGTGCGCGAATTAAGTCGCGTATGCTGGATTCTGGATTGACGTTCTGATTGGCTATAATCAAAACACGTACGTGGAGCCGCTAGGCCGCATTTATATATACTTCAACTTCAACTTGAGCCTGATGACGCGCAAATAGCCGCCGAGGCACGAGGTTATAGCTATTGTCGCGCTGCCCGCTGTAAGCGAAAGGCCCGCTACAAGCGATAGAGGATGCAGGGGGTCTCCCCTAATTGCCTAACTGTAGTACTTGCTTCCTACTATATATTCGAAGTTCGAATCAAATCGCAAAGAGATCTCCGGAACAAAGTACAGCCGGCCCCGGGGAACAGCCTAGGTAAGGCTACAAGGCACAAAGGGGCTTAATAAGCGCACTCCCGCTTCGCGAAACATTCGATTAGGTAATACCTAATCGAACAGCACATTTTACATACTTGAGAGGGTAAAATTCTGTGGCCACTCAACTGGAGGTACAAGTAGTCTGTGCGTTACATGTACATGGGCGATAAGTACTGTACAATGTACATCATGATGATTCTCAATAGGATGCGAAGCAAAAATACGGGACGATAGATAGATGGCAGCAAGACGTCCAGGGTAGGTAGTAGGTAGTAATACTTCATAATGATAATGATACCGAGACTGGAAGACCAACTCAGACCTCGTCTAGGTACATAGCTACTACCTGTACATAGCCGCACTGGATAAGGACAAGGTACATGTACTGTAGAATTTCTCGGCTTGGTAAGCGGTAGGTGAGGGTGGTCCCACGAGCAGGCTGGCAAAGCTGGTCGGGCGAAAGTTGGGCCGCGTGTGCTATAGTGCCTCGGGCTTCGGGCCGGTGCCGTATCGCGGTGTCGGCTACGGTTCCCGGCGCTCCAACCCTCCAGGTACAGCGTACCAACATGAACTTCATCAGTTCACATTTGATTAAGAGCTTATTCAACCAAAGTCCAGCACTCTAATCGAATAGTTCAATACTAGAGCAATAATGCCATGCATGACGCGAATACTCGTCGCTGTGTTCATTAAAAGATTCTGTAAATTACTACGGCTCTGTACAAATCATCATATTCAATTCTTCTGAAGCGCTCCATTGGACTGCGACCTGGCGTGCGAACGGACAATTCCTGTTGCGTCCTTGAAGTTTCCGTCTTCAACCTTCTTGGGGTCGACGCTGATCCCCATCTCGCCACGCTCGTGAGTCTTGGCCATTCTTTTCAGGGCTTCTTCAGTCAGACCTTGGCGGAACATGCGCTCCAGCACATCTTTCTTGCGTGTCTTGTGATCCCCTATGCTGATGACAACTCCAGCGGCGATATTGCACGTGATCGAGAACGAGAGAATCGTGGCAGTCAGTGCTTCAGGTCGGACACGGTAGTCGATGGACCAAGTACAAGTCCCCAGCGCAACTTGAAGCAGGCTGTGGCAGTCGAGAAGGACCACAGCCGCAACCATCAGTCGCAGAGGAAATGCGTGATGTGTTGCAGTTTCATGCGGCTTATAAAAAGTATGACTCTTGTTGAATTTTGCTTGGTGGTATGCCAGACGCTTCTGTTGTCGGACGCTGAGAACAGAGTACTCTGCCATTTCCTCCCTGTCCACAAGGTCGTCCAGATCGGTACTATCGGTGGCGCTTCTGCGTCGTTCGGGGAGATCATTCTGATCGACCAGCCCCGGCATTCCTTGTTGCTTGCGGAGTTTCCATGTCAGATGGTGATAGTGTGCGATGAAGCACATATGATATGTGTCCACCGCACGAAACGGTGCAAGGCCATCTCCCATGAGGGCAAATAATGCAACCAAGACCAGATCAATCACGTTGATGATATAGTCCTGGCGCCCGCCAACATAGATCCATCCAATCAGAGCGAAGACCCATGCAGCGCCAAAAAGCGTGACCAGTGTGGCGTATAGGGTAACGAAAGCGCCCAGGGGTTTACTGACATACTTTTTGAAGCCACGCATCGAACGTTTGAAACCCTCGCGCTTGGAGTGTAGAAGATGGCGCACGTGGTCGTTCAGCTCCGCGACATCTTCATCCGCCCAGCCGTCCAGACTGACCCCATGTGGCAGCACAGCATAGTGAGAGTCGCTGAGCTGTGAAGATATGGACATCTTGCGCTGCAGCCCATCCTCGAGTTCGATCCCATCCTGGGCTGGTTCTTCGCCAGCGGGCACAGGTTTGCGAGGTATCCTGGGTGGTTCTGTGCGCGATGCGCGAGTTTCGGCTCGAGAGCGAGCTATCGCTTCTATATCGGCCGTGGGCCGTCGAGAGAGTTCATATGTCGGCCTGCGATTGACGAGACCTCCGAGATCCGGGACGAATAAGGAGTTCTGCAGGTTCGTCAAGGTGCCTAGTGTGCGGATTTCAGGGTCAACGAGATCGAGGAGATCGATCACATCGGCTTCGTACTCGTCTTCCTGCTGCCGTGAATCCGGTCTGTCGGGTCTGAATGCGAGTGAGGTGTTGCTTCGATATCGACTCAGCGCGGACGCCCTCCGTGACTTTTGGGCGGCGTTGCCAGCACTGTGCATAGCGTTGGCAGAAGCGCCCAGCCGTTCTGGTGAAGGTGTACGAGTAGCCATGTCTCGCACATTCACACCCGGGGAGCTTGCACCAGTATCACTTTCGCGAAGCTCCGCAATTCGTGGAGCAATCCCAGGTGGAGATTGTTGGCCCTCTGTAATGGTCGACATGTGGTTTCCGCCGTCCATTGTCCTCTGTCGAGACAGGTCCGCTGCTGCAGCAACGACATTGCTTGCAGGTCTCTGGGGTGCAGACATGCTCCTCCGTCTTCCTCCCACAGTGTCTTCGGCAGCGGGCTCGACGTGGTCGCGAGCGTTTGGTGACGGACGCGATAGAAGTGTGGTGGTATTAGACGGAAGTCTTCGGATCCGAATGTTGGAAGGCGCTCTCAAGCTCTCGAAAGCTGGTGCTCCCGCAACATTTCTAGCCCCTGGTGTCCGGGTAGGCGCATTCGCCTGGTTGGTTGCGTCGCCAGCACGACGGGATGCCGAGCTGAAGTAATCCATGCTTCCTACAGGGTCAGATTAAGTATGCTTGCAGCTGCGTGCGTGGTGTGTTTACGTCCTGGTCAGATGTCCAACACAAGTGCACTGGGGGGGCCGCCGGTCCAGCGCTCGAAGCTCTGTTGTACGCAACTCGGTCGCTACATCAAGGTAGGAATATGGCCCAACGCTGCCGTGTCGTTCTGAAAAACTTTCTCGCCGGATTGATGTCAAGAGCGTTATCTGGGGCGCAGGGGGGGCGAGTCAAACACGCGCTGTCTGGGGTATGGAGAAAGGCGGGCAGAAGTGGGATAAAGCAGCGCAGTGGGATAGAATGACGGAGCGAGAAAGACGAGTGTATGCGTGTGTGCGTGTGTGCGAGCAGAGGCGCGAGTCGTGAAGAGAAAATGGAAGAGAGACAGCAGAAGGGCGAATGATGGTTGCAAGGGAAGGAGGTAAAGAGTACTAGGAGGTAAGGTAGAGACGACGCGGAAGACGGGCGGGCGCGCGTGCACCGGCGGATATGGGCATGAAGCTTGGGGCGGCAAGGTTTCTGCGATGGCTGACGGCCTGACGCGGTGCTCTGCTGGATCAGCAGAGAACGGGTAAGGTATCCTGAGGCGTTTACAGACTACAAGACATGTATCTGTATATCTCTCTGTACATGGCATGCACAACAGAGTGAAGTATATGTACATTACCTTAGTTATCCCAGGCTGCTCCTCGGATGTGTCTCTGGCGTCTGCTACAGCGTTTGGCGTCAATCTCCGACAGTCGCGCGCATGTCATTTCACTTACCTAAGGTACGCGTCGAGGAAGCGGAGCGGAGCGGGACAGTGACGTCGAAGGGGAACAGAGGTGTCAACTCACCAACCGTGACGATGGAGTGGGAACTCCGGGCCGTTGCCGGGTATTGACCGACCAACCGACCAACCAATTAGAATAGGAGTCTAGCGTACAAAGTTGTTAGTCACCCATACCTTACCCTACCTACCCTAGGAACCTTACGGTCCTTACCTGACCTGACCTGACCTTAGTCGAACTTGCCACACTCCAGTTCCGCCCTCCCATTATTAAGCTGGAGGTACATGTACCTTTTTAGGTACCTATGCAACGATAAGGCCAGGTAGAACTAGCACCGAAGTGAACATCTAGACTTTTCTGCTCCGCATCCACTCAGCTTCGAGACCTTCCCACAATCCCATACCTCTAATTCCATCCCGTGCATTGGCTTCAATATTGAACCCTCACCCTCACACTCACCCTCACAGCACACACAGCCTTGCTCATCATGGCCAACATCCACACCCCCATCCCCAGTCTCAAGCTCAATGACGGGAACAGCATCCCCATGCTGGCCTATGGCACCGGCACCGCTTGGTACAAAACCGGTGACGAGTCGGAGCTGGACCAAACGTGCATCGACAGCACCAAGACTGCTATCGGCCTCGGCTACTCCCACCTCGACGGCGCTGAGGTCTACAAGACCGAGTCCGAACTCGGCATTGCCATCAAAGAGTCCGGCGTGGCTCGCGAGAAGCTCTATGTGGTCACCAAAGTCATTACCAACATTGCCGATATCCCCACTGCCATTCGCACGAGCTTGAAGAAGCTTCAGCTGGACTATGTTGATCTGTACGTCCTACCCTTTTTTCTGCCCTTCCCCGAGCTCATTGTATTCCGTGGCCGCTGACAGTGGCTGATCAGATACTTGATCCATGCACCTTTCTTTGCCGAATCCCGCGAAGAGCAGCAAGCCAAGTGGAAGCAAATGGAAGAAGTCAAGCAGCAAGGTCTGGCCAAGTCGATTGGTGTCAGCAACTACCTTCCGGAGCACCTCGATGCCATTCTGGAAACTTGTACCGTCCCGCCTGCTATCAACCAGGTGAGTCCTAGGCAGTGCGTGAAGAACAGAGCAGAACTGACCTGTCTGTCTGTCTTTCATAGATTGAATTCCACCCTTACCTGCAGCACTCGGAGTTGCTCGCCTACCACAAGCAAAAGGGTATCGCGACATCCGCGTATGGACCGCTCACTGCAGTCACCAAAGGTGCACCTGGTCCTGTTGATGAAATCTATGCCTCGCTGTCGAAAAAGTACGGCGTGACTCCCGGCGAGATTGCACTGAGGTGGTGCATCGACCAGGACATTGTCGCCATCACGACCTCGTCCAAGGAGCAACGATTGTCTGACTACCTCCGTGCCATGACTTTCAAGCTCACCCCCAAGGAGATCCAGACCATCAACGAAGAGGGCGCTAAGAAGCATCTGCGTGGATTCTGGAACGACAAGTACTCTGATGACGATCGCAGGTAGATGACCTGTCAGACATACATCTGAGCTGGAAGAAAAGGGGGGAGGGGAGGAGGTGTACTGCAGGGAAAGGTGATTTACGAAGCTGAAAATCACTCCAAGTCCCTCGCAAGACCCAATCTACCCATCTTTGAATGTTACCGCCACCAGCAGATCGTCATCCTGAAATCACTTCCTTCCTCTCCCCCAAACCTCGCATACATCCTACTTCATCCGCCCCATGTAGGAACATCCTCGTGGAACCACTTCGACTCAAGATTCGATATGCAATTATATGGGGTTGGCATCCCCTTCCAGTGATCTTTCATTTTGTTCTTCCTTTCGCTGATTTCAAGCCGTGATATGTTTCAACTTCATCTGCCCGGCCTTTTCGGGGTGCTCAGCATCTTCCTAACCTAGGTAAGGACAATGCTGCAGGCAATCGATTGTATGCTACAACCGAGCCCGCACATGGGTCACAACCCTGGAACTATATGAGTCATCAGGCTCGAGGGGCAAGGACAACGCTGGAGCCGAATGTGATTTGAGGCCAGTCGCTCGAACTAATAATCGAGATGGCCATGATGCTGTTGAGCTGCCGTGGCTGCTTTAATTGATCTTTACAGTGCCGAAGCTCTTGCTGATACCATGCATAGATAGATATCCCATGCCGTTGTGGTGCGCAAACCTCTGTTACCCCCTCAAAATGCCTGCTGCAGACATGCGATTGGACTGTGCCAGACTGTCGCCCTCATCTCGGGCTTTCTATTCGTACGCTTCGATCGACAAGCTCTTTGATGATTTCCGCCTGTTACCGAGTAAGAAATGGGCTCATTGACGATTTCTCGTTCGCCAATCTCGTGAGGCTACTCACCAAGTCCTCAATTTTGTATGGTTTCGTTATCACATCCTGCATGCCGCTTTCGATCATCTCGTCTGTTTGTGCTCCCCGCACATTTGCCGTCACCCCCAGTATTGGTACATATTGTATTACACTTTGTTTTTCCAGATCGCGAATCGCTCGGGTTGCAGTGTTCCCCGACATCAGGGGCATCTCTTGATCCATTAGTATTACGTGAAATGCCTTGGCCCCGGTTGATGATTTCCGGATGGCCTCGACGGCTTCCTTGCCATTATTGGCTGTCGTCACAGCAAATCCTGTGGCGGATTAGTCCAGAAAATGCTAGACAAATTGAGCACTCTCTCACCTTTTGCTTCCAATTTGCGATGAACTATTTTCTGATTGATGATATTGTCCTCGACCAACAAAACGCTGATACGAGAGTCAGTGGCCTTCGCATCTAGGCCCTCCTCTTGCTCCTCGGTCCGTGCCTCATCGCTACCTGCCGTGACAGCCTCCCGAGATTTCAGACTGGCGCCAGATTTCTCCGCTCGGGCAAGCTTGGGTCGGACGACCAAAGCGTCAGTGTCATGCTCTTCTCTCCGCATCTCACTCTCACTCTCCATCTCTGCACGGCCGACCTCGTTGCCATCGGTAGTATCATTTGACGCTTCTTCCACTTGCTGCCGAGACGGTTTGGGTTTCCACTCAAAAGGCTCTGGGCTTTCATGATCAGATGGCGAAGCGATACCAAGCTTCTTGATCTGTTCGCGTAAGTGCTCTTTTCCTTCGTGTCCGTCAAATGCTTCGGCATCCATATCGCATCTTTTGACCTTGAAGAAAAAGCCAAACGTGCTCCCTTCTCCTTCTTTCGAGGAAACGCCAATTTCGCCGCCATGCAGATGACATATTTTCCGCGATATGTTGAGTCCTAGTCCACTGCCTCCATACACTTCTTCGGTTTTGGGCGTCGCTTGGCGAAATCGTTGGAAAAGTTTCTTCTGCCCCTCTGCACTAATACCAATGCCAGTGTCTTTGACTGCCACCAATATATACAGGGCGTCGCCGCTCCCCCATGCCTGACCGTTCGTGGCATCCATGCGGGAGGCGACACTCTCGCTTCGGAAGAAGACCACATCGGGTGGATAAGAATCTGGTTTCTCGATACTGGCTCCGACTGAGCATAAGATGCTTTTTGAGCCTTCAGCACGAGCGCTAAACTTGATGGCATTGGTCAATAAATTGATGAGAACTTGTCCGATACGGGGCATATCCGCCATTACGCTGCGAACATTGGACTCGGTGTACGTGTCATCGATGCGAAAACTGAATTGCATCCGCTGCTTCCTCAGCTCGGGTTGAAACATCTTCAGAGTCTGTGCGAGCTGATGGCTTGGATTCGATAGCTTGGGCCTCAAGGACAATAGAGATGCATCCAGCTTGGAGAAGGATAATACATCATCCACGATGTTTTTCTGGTGGTGGACGCACAGAGCTATAGTTTCGACTGCTTCCTGAATGATTTCTGTATCGATTGTTTCGCTTGTCTTGTCGCGAACAGCGTCCCCAATGTCCTCGGCGCAATGGAGCACTGCCGACAAAGGGTTGCGTATCTCATGACTGATCATGTCAATGAAGCGTTCCTGTTGCACTTTTCTATCCCGTGCTTCTTGGGCAGCTTTCCTCTCGGCAATCTCGGCGCTCTTCTCTGAGCTGATGTCGACGATACTGCAAATGAACCCGCCGCCCTCTTTTAAACTGACGTGCTGCAGGTTATCATTATCCAGTGGTGTGAGCAGCAACAGCCGCCACGGATGCGGCTCGCCACGAGCTCGGAACTCAGTGCGAAGCTCACGACCACCAGCGAAGGCTTCTTTGTACGCAGCCATTACTCGCTCATAGTCGTCCGGATGTATACTTTGAGGCCAGCTCGTGAAGGCCTGTTCGTCGTTATCGAGCATTGTCGTCAAGTCGTAAAAGTGCTGGTTCACAAAGATAGCCCGGGCATCACGATCGAGTATAGCAAGGCCTGAAGGCAACAGTTCTGCGAATCGTCTAAAGAAAGGATGTTCATCCAAAGGAGTATTTTCAAGTTGTTGAATCTCACCATCAGCCGTATGTCTTCCACTGCGATTGACGACCGTACCGCTGCCATGTTCGCCAGACCCCATCTCCAGAGATCTGTACGACATAGGGCGGGGAAGTAACTGTACCAACACGGCGTTGTCACGCCCCAGCAGTGGACTTACAACGGCCGTGGAGGATTGCTTCAGGTCGCTCGAGACATCTCGAAGGATGTCGTGGTTGTGGATCTCTTTCGGTACTCCTCGCTCTCGCACACTCTCGATCACTTCTCGTGTTTCGGCTGACAGGGACGGCTGGTAGTGCTGCCCTTGAGCACGCATGCCCCCAATGTCGGCCCACGCCTTGTTGTGGAAGATGGTGAGTTTCCGGTCCCAGAAGACGGCAGCCGGATAGGGCAGCGCTGCGATGGTGAGCGCGTATCCTCGCAGTTCACAAGGCCAGTCGAGAAAGCCACCCATTGCACAATTTCGCCAGGTGGTGTCCGCACCGCCAGGCAGTGGATTCGCGGTGGCGACGTCATGGCCGTCCACATCGCCAGCGGGCGCTGCTGGAGCAGTGTGCTTCATAATGTCATGTCGGTGGAGGCCTGGTGGACCACAAGAGAAGAGCCGGTTGCTGTCTGCCGGAGGTGTGAGTGTGAGTGCACGGCCGAGACCTTTCGATTTTCTCTCAGCTACAGTTTTGCGTTGGAATGTGTGGGCAGGCAGGCGCGATGGGCGCATTCGAGAACGAGAATGAGGTGGCGATGACGTCTGCTCGCAGAACCTGGGCGTGTGATCTGCTCTGTAGCCTGACGGGAATGGAAGGATCCAACAAGGACATGTAACGAAATCCACCCTCCGACACTTGAACTGAGGTACGTACTGTACATTAACACATACAGCGGGTGAAGTGAATGTCAGTCGTATAAATGGCGACACAGGAGCACCAGCAGATCGGCGCAAAGTGCAGTCGCATTCGGAGAATACCTAGACCTGTCAAGCTGGTTGGTTTGTGGTTTGGTTGGTCAATAGACCGTGAGACCATCGGGCCGGTCCGGCCGTGTGCGAACCCAGGGTCCCAGTGTCTCAGTCCAGACTTGTTGTACATGTAGGAGGTACCGGCTGTCGAGATGAGTTTAGGGTGCGACATTGGAGTTCATGCCGCTACCTCCTAGCTAGATGTGTATCCTGCAGGTACAGGCACGTTGCATGTGAGAGCCATGGACAGATAAAGCGGGCATGAAAACCCAATGTACATAGGCGGTAGTTCCTGAGAGTTAGTGTCCCCTGTTTGGCCGAATGCCTTGTGGATGAATCTGTCCCGCAATTGGTGCTGAGGCAAAGGCCCTGGAGTGCCGCCAAAAAAGTCGTTGCGCTGCATCCTGTGCGAGACTACGCTGGTCGTCAGATTGTTCGGTTCCACCCGTTTTCCTGGCTACCCTCGATAGCATCAATCTGGGCTTTGGCCAGCGCGACTGACTCCTCGGCTACATGATCCTCAGCGAACAGCTGATAAGCCGCCTATGAGTGACCACTGTAGGCGAGACTGCCAGTTTCCCGCGCGTCCGATAGCAAGCCGGCGAGTCTGCCAATACTGTTGGCCAGTTCCATGGTGAGCTTGCCACCCTCAGGCGCTGCCATTGACAAAGCGGGTAGTCCTACAAGAGCTCTCTGTAGAAGACCTTCTCACCAGCTGCGCCGAAACACTGTCACGCAACTCTTGGCATGTCATCATGATGAGCTTGTTCTTGCGAAGAGAGCTGTTCGCGCGGTTGACTAGCCTCATCACCAGCAGCAGGTGGCACTGTTACGAATATAAAGCCGGTGTTGGGGTTGGTAAGGTACAGGTACCTAGGTGGGTATAGGTACCTGGTAGGTAGGCTTCTTGGGTCGCAGCTGGGCAGTATCAGTTCGACACCAGACCGACGGAACAGCTGAGGACTGTAATATTCTAGGCTCCAGGGCATAGCAATCCGTTACATGTAGAAATCCACAATATGGTGCATCGCGATATTCTCTTGCTGCGGTACCTTACGCGCCGAGAGGCCAAATCTATAGTCTACGATGTGATTGGGCTGAGCCACGGGTAGGTCCGATACTCCCGTTCTCCTCCCTGCTTCCCCCAGTCCTCCACTGCTTTCGAATTCGTTCTGCTTCGCCAATTCAAACGCCACTCACCACAGCGACATGCCGTCATCGGCATCGTGTGGTCCCGCTGCCGTCAACGCCGACTATGACACACACCGGAGAAGTAAATTCAAGTTCATCAATTTTCACAATCCGCCCATCACGAGGCCACAGATACTTTCAAAGCGGCTGCTGCCACTTCCCGGGGCACCTTCCTGTTTAACAACCACCCCAGCCCGACGACAGTGTCTATGAGCGCTTTATTACCGATTTCTAGGCCCCTCATAGAAGACCAATGTGCATGGGGACACCCGGGATACAGATCCAGCTTGGTCTTCACCCCAGCCTCCCTGAGCATCTCATCGTAGATGAGTGCATCGTCACGAAGTGGATCCTGGCCGTCGACCTGAAGGTACGTTCGAGGTTGGCCAGCCATTGGTGTCTTCGAATTGGCCGCATACCGCAAATCAGAGTCTTTGTCCCACCGCACGGCCTCCATTATTCTGTCGCGAGTCTCTTGGCCAAGTCGGGGGCACGAGGAGTTCTGCGTCAGCGAGATGTAGCAGGTCTTGTACTTTGGTGGACAACATCCTTCATGCATCAGCGAAGGGACTGCAAGCCATTGACCGGTCAACGGATATGCTAGACTCCTTTCCTGAAACTTTCTCGACAACGCTGCGGAAATTGCTGCTCCTGCAGAGACGCCGCCTATCAGGAAACCTATTGTGGGGTCCGCCGCCAGGAGCGGTGTTGTAGCGTTCTTTGCAATCCATTCCAAGCTATCCAAGGCGTCGTTTTGTGCATATGGAAACTTGTGTTCTGGTCCGAGTCGATAACTCAAATTGACTACCGTAGCGGAATAGAGCTGGGCGCAAATCCTAGCAGTCTCTGTGAGTTGGTCCTTATCGCCAGCAATAAAACCACCACCAAACAAGAGCACTACAAGAGGTCCTGGCGCAGTATTGGTGGGTTTGCATATCTTGAGTGTGCTGTTGAAACCGTCTCTCATCTCAATGTCGTGGTAGAATTCCTCGATTCCAGAAGGCGGAGGGCCTATACGCCTCAGGTTGGCATCATTGAGTGCCCGCAATTCTGCGCGAGCGACCAGTAGATCCTTCCGAGGTGGTGGCTGCGGGTGCTTTGCGTAGAACTGGATGAGCATCAGCATCAGCATTGGAGACGCATATATCTGCTTTTACTTGACATACCGCCGCGACTTCAGGATGTGTCCTGGCGGACTCAACAAGCTCTTGATTTGATAGCAGCATCTTCTTGTGATTCAAGGCTGGGGATCACCAAAGAGACGCCAGGACTCTCGACGACTGACTTGGTCAAGAGTCAGCTAGTCGTGGTCGAGAATATCCAGCTGGTCTTATCCTGCCGAGTCGGGCCTCACACTGCTCGCAGGCTGTGACAATGACGCTATCATATGAGCACGTGAAGAAACAGGATCTGACAGATTTGGGGGCTGCAGCAATACTGGCCACATGTTCACTTTAATACTTGGCCAGCAATGGCCAGCAAGTGGCATACCTGGGAAGCAGCGTGGTTGCCGCTTGGCATCCGGGAACTCGAGCGACTTCCAACGTGGGAAATCGCATTATCGCAGTAGTGAGAAGTCTCTGGCTGTCATCAACCACGCGATCAAGGGGGGGAGGGGTTTGCAAGCGCACCCGCTGGAAATGTACGTTGTATGTGGTGGGCGTTCTACTAGCTCCCTCCTGGTTCCCGCCTTGTCTGCAGACGAGCCGTCGGCAATGCAGATTCCGTATTGGGAAGAAATGGCCGGCTATTCTGATTGGTCGCAACCATATATGGTCTTGCATGACTAGGTTAGGGCCTAGGCACATCGCAGTCTTCAGGTCACGCTCGGATATGGCTTATATAGTTCTATCGATCTTCCAACAGGGACTCAGGGTCCACGAGCTCCTTGCTGATGGCCAGAAGCACACCCTTCCGACTGGAATACCTGAGATCTCTAGACCTTGATTTAGATCATTGGGATTGCTCGAGATCGAGCCATATCTAGTTACTCACACACAGGACAGTCTAGGTATCCACAGATCCATCGCAACTGGCACTATATCACCTCCAAGCCATCCTCCTACGCACAGCGACTGACTTCGATTGTCACGACATAATGAAACTGGCGATCCCTGTGCAATATGTGGGCATCGCTGTGTGCAGAAGAGAAGGGCCAATCTGCATCTGTTCAGGCAAATCCAGGCACATAGCATGGGTCGTGCGATTATCGTTATGATTACGCCACGACCACGCGTTTCAATGAAGGCATGCCTACAGCAATGGCATGATGCATCTGAATGGCCTTATTATGCTCAATCTGGGACTCGCCGCATGTGTCGCGAATGCAACTGGAGGCTGGAGCCCCAAAGTTCCTGCATAATGGACACAGATCGGGATCTGAATCTGATGAGCACAGAACGTTATCATATACTTCATCAGTGCTTTACATGGGCCCCAGTATGCGGTTGTTGGGACCGTACCACTTTTCGCAGTGCATTCATATACACATTGGTCTCCGATGGAAGCTCGTAGATTCAGCATTGCCACCCTGAGCGTCGAGCGAGCCTTTGCGAGGTGACTGCGCTCAGTGAAACACGAGATCTTTCCGTGATCCACTAGGTCGTCAACACATTGGATATTCATCCGCACAAATATCGGTTATTCCGTGACCAGCTATCCATCGCCAACGAACGCACACGCCACCCAGACCTCCTTGGCCGGGTTGGACCAGTGACCAGTCTGACAATGTCATGTCTACTGGCCGTGCTGAAAGTCAGAAGTAATCATCATGGTTGATTCAATCTTGTTGACGTACACACAGGTCCACAGCTTCTTTGATGTCTCTCTCTCTGGCTGTGCCACAATACCACAGGTCGCAAGCTCTCGAACCTTTCCTGGAGAGCCATGGCAACATGCCTTCTCCGCAATCAAAACCTTGGTCACCTCGTGCCTCGATCTGACTGATCTCACGCACTTCCAGGATGATTTCGGTATCAGCTCACAGCTGACGCGAATGTAAGCATCCATGTCTCTCGAAAAATGCAATGTGGCTAACTGAAGAGCGGCAGCTGACCTCACCTTTCATAGCCTCCCCTGGCATTATTTTCAATCGTGTCGTCGCAACAGGCGGCCGTGGTCATTCTCCATAACTGTTGGTCCACTAGAGCTTTGGATGCTGACCTGCTTGCTTGGACTCCTGGAGTTGCCGCGCAAGCTTCCGCATGGTGAACTTGGTATAACGGAGAAGGTAAAGTAGTACAATCAAGGAGGTAGTCTTGTGGCAAGGGCGGCCCATCTACTCTCACGATGATGATATCGTCATACATCGGCTCAAGTCCAGCTTCGAGGTCGCCGAACAAATCGGGGTAGTGAGTGATTGTGCTGGCGAAGAGCGGATTTGGAAGAATGCCATGGGAGTGCACTTGCTAGTCGTCCGGACGCTCATCTTTCTTCACCTTCAAAGGAAGTCCAAGGCATTCTGACAACAGAGAATGGACCCGAGCTCTGCAATGTTCGAAACGGCTTACCTCAAAACTGTCGTGGATTGAATCTGATGCCCATTGCTGGTGTCGAATTCGATGGCTCTTGGAAGCCATCGCCCAGGATCACTTGAAGAGATGCCATTGATTACCGTGAGTGCTGGAGGACTATCGGACTCTGCGACGACTTTATACCAGACCGAATGGTGTGTGCTAGCAAGAAAGCCACACTCAATTGCGCGGAAGGAGATCAGGCCACAAGGACTTTGCTTCTCGTCCGACCAGATCAATTTGTCGAGCTGAGAAACATGGTCTGGCATGTTATTGTATGCTTACTCGCTTCATTCAATCAATCGGGTGTCGCGTAGTACAACAAAACAATTGGAGGCAAATCGGGACCTCTGATTCCTGAGCGAAACATTCATGCAGCATCCGAAATTGGAAGGATTCTCATCCAATCACAACTTGCGCCACAGGATCCAGTAGGACCGTTATGTCAGTAGAGGAAATGCCTCGACATGCAACTCAGGTAAAAATTCATTCTTACTCCTTCCAACAGCAACAACCTCATCATCACCATTGAAACGGCGCAAGTTTGCCGTCGCGAGATTCCAAGAAACTGTCGATCGCTACACGGCATTGCGTACCACAGCCAAGGACGATCTGCACGAGACTCTTCTTCATAATGGCATCTTCTATCGTCACAGTATCCATGCTCGCCATGGCCATGGCACAGACAACAACGCTGCAGATTCCTTTCTATGGTTACGACAACTTCCCAATCGACGCCTCTGTCATCGCTGTCCAGGACTCGGTCACAACACTCACACTAGCTTGCCCTTCGAATGCGGACGAGTGTGGTCTCTTCCCACAGCAGACTCTGACCTACGGGCCATCGACTTATCGAATGGATACGGGAGATGGTGATGCCTTCACAGGCTTCCAGGTCTGCGAGGCCAGTGTATGCACCGAGAGTGCGGGTGGGAGCGAGGCGAATTTTCCCGGTAGTAGTATGACTACTTATGATGGTGTGGAGACTATGCCGGTCACCGTCACGGGAGGTGTTTCCTTGCTGACTGGAGGCGCCGGAAGTGCTACTGCTACGCCGTCGCCCAGTACGGGAGCGACTGCCAGTGAGACTATGGCAAGCGTTACGCAGTTGAGTGGGACTGCGATGAGTAGCAGTGAGACGGGCAACGCGAGCCAGACCCAGAGTGCTGCGGCCCTGACTTCGAGCGGTGCAGCCTCTCGCTCAAACACAATGCTCAGTGGAAGCTTGATTGGAGGAATGATGGGCTTGCTAGGTCTTCTTTGTTAGATCAGGAATTTCATTGCAGTTTTGATTGCCCGCGGAACGAGCGTCATCCACAACATCTTTTGGTCTATCGTCCTGCAGTCATCGCAATGCACGGCTCGAATCATGTGGTTCCAACCACCCCAGAGTTTTCTGATACTTCGATCCCCAGAGTTTAGAATCTCATTCAAAGAACGAGCGAATGCCGGTTCGACGACATTGAAATTCGTCCGCGATTTGACGTTCTCCGAATTCACTTACTCCATATCATGGACGCTATGGCCTTCTTCATCCTTGGGCTTTGACAGTAAGGGAGCTGGAACAGCGGAGCCATAGAGCTGTAGAGGAAGAATCTGACTGTGACTACCTACGATAATGTCCTCGTCGGTTGCACCGTTGCGCCAGTTTGCGTGAACCTAGCACACTGTTAGCGATTTAGTAGCCAATGTTGTGACGAAAGGCTCACATTTGGAGTGCTTTTGATTGCATTGAGTATGTACCACCGCTGTTCGTAAGCATCGTGTCGTCTGCGTCGAACATGTTGATGTATATCCATATCCCGGATGACCCAGTTGGGCTCGATCCATGCGGCTTAGTAGCATGCCAAATTGTAGTAAGGCGATTCACACCGTGCAAAGGTTTCGTCTGCATTGTGGAAGCCTCGGGTACGAGAGGTCATGAATGAAAAGACGGAAGACAAGGAGAGAAAAATAAGTTCAAACACCCTGGTATCTTCCCAGCCTAAGCTTCCAACGCCATTTATCCAGGCCAATACCACGAAATGGCTCACAATGCATCCCAGAACAGGTTGGCATCGACTCGGCCACCATCGATATCCACAACATGGACATCTCCTCGCTCAGCGTTACAGATGACAGCCTTATTGAAGTCTCCACTGGTTTCATCTCTTCTCGCATCAATTCCTAAACTGCGATAAAATTGCAACTTCAGCACAATTTCATCTTCCGCGCCGTCAGCTTTCCGCCCGCCTTCGACCCCTTCCCTCTCCAGCGTGTTCAACTGCTGCCTCAACGCTGCAAGCTCTCCGCGCAGCCTCTCACTCTCAATCTCCGCATCGCTGACGCCTTTTGCAATTCTGAACTTCTCCGTGTCCATCTTCAGCATATTCTGTGCGTGTTGCCCTGCATCGTGGCGTTCCAAATCGTAGGAGTGTGCCGAGTTGACTTTGTTTAGTTTTCGCGACAGAGAGGAGAGGATTGAAGTCTGGTTGTCGAGTCGTAGGGCGCGCGCCTGGTGCAGAGCATGGAGGGACTCGTGAACGCGCGTGAGCGAGTCCTTGTCGGGTGTGATGTGGAATTTGTTGGTGGCTTCTGCCATGAGCTGGAACGTGTTAGATCGGGCATGGCGGTATGCAGCTGGTGGATCGTACCTCAACGGGGTCCTCATCGAATAGTACCATGGCTGCGATGTTGTGATGCTGTAGTTCTTCTGCTGCGTTCGTTCTTAGAGTCGATGGCTCGTGTTGTTGACATTGGCGCGTCACTCCATAAACAAAGCCCGGCCCTCAGCAACGACATTTTAAGGTTGAGTCTAGTGAAATTAGGCGAAAACCCTGAGTTCCAGGGATGACGTTCGCATGTGATAGCTACCCTACATGGAGTTGGCAGGCAACAACACGATTGTCTGATCACCAACAACTCATCGACTATCTGTAAGAGGAACCCTCTCGACTCGACAAATCACCGGAATAGTCCATATCGCGGTCGCCATGCCGGAACACTTGCCATGTACGTCCACCGACGTCACAATATGCTCTGCCACAGCGACACTGCTGACTTGATGATGTTCCCAGACGCTGCCGATGCGGAGAGGTATGGTCACATCCGCCCGCAAAGCTCTGGTGTATACTGACTACAGCGAAGCCCTCTCAAACCTGCCGAGCTACAGGTCCTCCGCTCGCAATACGAAAAGGAAGGCGAATACGTCTCCCTGCAGACGAAATTCAACTATGCCTGGGGCCTCATAAAGTCATCTGCGCGCCCGGAACAACAGGAGGGTGTACGTCTTCTATCAGAGATATTCAGAGCTTCACCCGATCGAAGACGAGAATGCCTCTACTACCTCGCTTTGGGGAACTATAAGCTTGGGAATTATGCCGAGGCGAAGCGGTACAACGATTCGCTCATGGAGATTGAGCCAGGGAACCTGCAGAGCCAGAGTCTGAGCCAGCTGATTGAGGATAAAGTCAATAAGGAGGGACTGGTGGGGGTTGCGATTGTGGGTGGACTGGCTGTTGCGGCAGGAGTGGTTGGAGGACTGCTCTTCCGCGGCGCGCAAAGAAAGAGATGATAAGCTGCGGCAGGCGGTCGCAAGACAAAGTCGGAACTTTGTGTATGGCCCAGAAATTGTGGTGGGCGTTGAAGCGTTTGGCGTTGGGTAAGATCAGATATCTCTACTGATGAGTGTGTACACAAAAGCAGGCACTGCACCTCTCAGACTCTTCTTTTGTGGGACCTGCTCTCTCAGGTCACTGGTCTATCTGGCGTATGCTACTATCCAGCCACCTGACCTTGCCGACCTAAATGCATACACGCCACTTGTCACGAGTCTGGACTTTGAGTAATTTCAGCTCAAAGACCATCCAGCCCTGTCTTTTGTCGGTCGTCCTGATCGAAGTTCTCCATCGACATCCACTTCTGCAATGCCTCCTTTACAATCGGCCACTCGGAGTGTTGCTTTCGGGCCAGCTGGGAATTTCAGCTACCCTTAGCTTCGGTACGACCTGGAAGAAATGCTACGATCAACGTGTGCGTACATGCTACGGACCTTCAGATCAGAAGAGTGCAATGGGAGACGAGACTAGTGCATGCTGTCCTCTCGTATATGTCAAGCTCGGGAGCACCCGCCGATCGACATTCAGTGCTTTACGTCTTTTTGCATATCTTGCTGCCATATTGTTCCCATCATCACGATACTTGCGCACACATGCAGATGTTCTAGTTAACAAGTGCAGCAAGTGCCTCACACGGGGTCATTCCAGCATGTATATATGCCAAGGCAGACACGTCTATCATTTCTGGGAACTCGTCTTCTTTGTCTTGCGCAATCTACCTCCGAGTGAATGATGTGGTGATGGCGACGGGTGAGCTCGCCCGCGGGCGATGTCAGGGGCAGGGGTCGGCGTTGGCGCCGGCGGAGAGGCTCAAATTCTGATCTACCTAGACTCTAATAAGCGCCGGGGTGAAACAAGCTACCTCCGTAGGGTGACGTGCCAGACGCCAGTCCTGCCAGATGGGTCGAAATCACGCTTGTGCTTGTGACAGGCTGAAGTGTCCACGCCAAGGATGTTTGCACATGGAGAAGCGACACCGATAACAACAACTTAACAGGTTCTCTTGTTGCATTGCATCATGCCATAGACACCAACTGACCGACAAGCCTCCGTGGCAAACACACTCCTTCCTCATCAAGCAGCGCAAACAGCCGCGCCTGCGTCGATCGTCTCGCTCTCCGGTCGCCCTTGCCGGAGCACACCACCACCACCACCGTCACTGTCACCACCATCACCACCACCACCACGTCCACCTCCGCTCTCCGCGAATTGCCTCAGTCACCTCTCTCCCTCCCTCGCTCGCTGGCCGAGTCGAAATTTCCGCGCGCTTGACGCCTTCCACCTCCACCTCCACCTACGCACCTACGCACCCACGCTACGAACCTACGATCCACATATGCTGGCCAAGGTAGCTAGCACCGCATACGCATACGCAGCGATCATCTAGCACAAGCATGTCCAACTGCACTGATGCGTCCGGCCTGGACCTCTTCATATGCGGTGGCGGAGCCGCTACCAACAGCGAAGGCCTCACCGTCAGCACTCTCTATGCCTCGATTATCGGCTCCCTCGCTGGCTTCGGCGCTCAGTTGCTCGTCTTCGCCCTGCTACGCCTACGGCTGGAACGCATCTATCGTCCGAGATCATACCTCGTACCAGAGAAGGACCGAGTGCCTGCACCACCGCAAGGCTTGATCGGCTGGCTGTACCCCGTCCTTCGCACCAGCAACATCACCATCATCAAGAAGTGCGGTCTTGATGCCTACTTCTTCCTGCGCTTTCTGCGCATGCAGGTGAAGATATTCTTTCCTGCTGCCCTAATCATCTTACCTGTGCTTTTGGCTGTCAACGCGACCAGCAGTGGTGGACAAGATGGACTGGATCGACTTTCCATTTCCAACGTCTCATCGGGGCAGGGCTTCCGCCTTTGGGCCCACACGTTTCTGGCATGTTTCTTCCTTCTGTGGGCATTCTACCACGTCCTGACCGAGCTTCGGGGCTATGTTCGAGTTCGACAGGCACAGCTCACCAGTCCGCAGCACCGTCTGCGAGCATCTGCGACCACTGTGCTAGTGAGTGGCATTCCAAGCAAATGGCTCACCCACGCAGCCTTGTCGGGCCTCTTCGATGTTTATCCAGGCGGGATCCGCAACATATGGATCAATCGTAACTACGACGCTCTCGCGGCCAAGATCGATGACCGGAGGAAGCTCGCTCGCAGCCTGGAAGACGCCGAGACGGTGCTCATCAAGAATTGTCGTTCTGCACACCTGAAGAGCGAGAAGAAGAAGGCCAAGGAGGCGGGTACAAAGCGCAAAACCAGTCAGGAGAAGAAGCAAGACCGAGCTGATGAAGATGCGGTCGCAAACCGCACGGCAGAGGGGGCGGGTTTCAGCGCTGGCGAAACACATGAGGTACCTAAGGCTGTTGAACAGGCTGTCGAGGAAGACAACGACACCCACCACCAGGCTGAACGCAAGGATAACCGTGCTGAGGCGACAGTGCATTCAGAACAACGGGTGAGTGCTGCAATACTTTACGTAATTCTTGCATTTCCATGTTCGCCAGTCACATCGTCCTAAAATTTGTGCGGTCAAAATGACTAACTTCTGTAGCCTAATAGCATTGATGGCACTCGCGACTCGCATGTCAGCGACGAGACGACTTTGGCACGACCATCCGGCGGCTCAAGACCGCCACAGAATGAGTTCGAGGTCGAAACGCCTCACGAGCATCGAAGAGGTGTATCACTGAAGTTGCCTACCGACATCTTCAAGAATAACGACAAATCTTTCAGCTTTCCCTCACCGCAGCCTGCCGTCGAGGAGGGCGACGAGTATCCATTGCGGAAGGCTGACACGCAGCAGAAAGAGTCCGAGTCCAAGCCCAAGAAGACATGGTTGCAGAAATTGGCATTCTGGAAACCTGAGATTGAGCCTTTCACAGACTATGCAGAAGCATACACCAAAGAGTGGGATCAGGACCAGGATGAGGAACCTTACTGGCGCCGCTACCTCGAGGATAAGGACCGCGAGACCATGCGCCTACCACTTTTTAGCCTTTCGTGGTGGCCGAGTATTCCTTTAGTCGGCAAGAAAGTTGACCGCATCTATCACCTTCGACGTGAGCTAGCACGCTTGAATCTGGAGATTGAAGATGACCAGAATCACCCGGAGCGGTTCCCTTTGATGAACTCGGCATTTATCCAGTTCAACCACCAAATCGCTGCACACATGTGCTGTCAGTCGCTCAGTCACCACGTTCCGCAACAGATGACTCCAAGACTCGTTGAGATCAGTCCCGAGGACGTGATATGGGAGAACATGTCGATCAATTGGTGGTCCAGACCGATTCGATCAGGTGAGTCGTGCCGTCTGTTCTCTGTAGCTATTTCAGTCGGAGATCTGCGGATTTGCTTGTCGTCGGGCTAACAGAATCATCAGGCATCGTCTTCTTGTTATGTGTCGTTTTAATCCTCCTCTATGCTCCCCTGGTCGCTTTCACCTCGTTGCTGAATCGGGTATCGGACCTCGTTATCAGATTCCCTTGGATGGCATGGCTCAACAGGGCGCCCCAGGCAGTCATTGCGATCATTCAGGGTGTACTGCCTCCAGCGATACTGAGTTTGATACTCGTGCTTGTCCCAATAATATTCAGGTTCTTCGTTCATCACCAGGGCGTTCCGACTGGCAACAATAAGGAGTTGGGTGTGCAGTCGTGGGTGTTTATATTTCTGTTCATACAGGTATTCTTGGTTGCCACCATTTCCGGAGGTATGTCTTTCGCCACGGCAATGGTTCTGCCTTTTTGGGGAAAAAGCTCCCGGTCATATTGCTCGAGCTGACTTGCCACACATGTAGGCCTGTATCAACTCGCCGCCGCACTCGCCGAGAACCCCGCCAGTATTGTGACAACCATTTCGAGCTCGCTGCCGAAGGCCTCGACCTACTTCTTCTCCTACCTAATAGTTCAAGCCTTCTCGAATTCTGCTAGTGCCCTAATTCAGATCGGCCCTCTTCTAGGATGGTAAGGTCCCATAGCGACTAGGCACATGGCTGTCTCATAGCGTCTGATCCCAGGGTCTCCAGCTAATCTCGCGACAGGTTTATTCTGGCACCCCTCTTCGATTCGACAGCACGACAGAAGTGGCGCAGACAGACCACACTTAATAAGGTACAGTGGGGCTCGTTCTTCCCTCAGTTTGCCAACTTTGCTGTCATAGGCATGATTTACTCTGTGATCGCTCCCCTGATCATGGTGTTTTCGAGCCTGATGTTCGGGCTATTCTGGATTGTCTACCGATACAACGTCCTCTTCGTGTATCAATTCCGACACGATACTGGCGGGCTACTCTTCCCACGTGCCATCTACCACATGTTCATTGGATTCTACTTCATGGAGCTCTGCCTTATTGGTCTCTTCTTCACCTCACACAATGAGGACGGGTCACTCTGCTACCCACAAGCGATAGTGATGATTATTGCTCTAGTGTTTACTGTCTTGTTCCAGTATATGGTAAACAAGAGCTTCCAGCCCCTCTTCCAGTACCTGCCGATCACGCTAGAAGACGAAGCCGTGTTGCGCGACGAGGCCTTCGCACGAGCACAAGCAAGCAAGTTTGCGCCACTCACTCAAGGCGACCGTTCCCCTGTGCAGGAGGAAAGACATGACACACCGGAACACGTTGAAAGTCAAAAGCATGAGGGCGCCAGTGAGAATGAGAAGCCTGAGGCTCTCGCTCACGAGACCAAGAGTGATAGAAGGGCAATTTGGAAGACACCAGCCTGGGGTAAGGCCGCTCCAGAAGCCGTCGCTCGACTCCGCTACCTGGCAGATGGCAAGCAGACTGAGAGCATGAAGAAGCATCACGATGTAGAAGGACAACAGCACACTGTGGGAGATGTACTTTATGGCGATTTTGCGGACGAGATCGAGGACTTGAGCCCTGAAGACCGCGACCTTCTGGTTCGGTATGCGTTCCAGCATAGCGCACTCCGAGAGAGACGGCCGGTCGTTTGGATCCCACGAGACACACTGGGTGTCAGCGACGACGAGATTAAGAGAGCCAAAAAGATGTCGACAGTAACCGTGAACGGGAAAGAAGTGACCACCATCTGGATGAGTAACGAAGGTTCTGCAATAGATGGAAAAGGACGAGTGATGTTCCGCAAGAGCCCACCTGACTTTAGCAATGTCGATTTGGTGGCGCTATAGCACTCAAGCATCCGCCCATAGTTATATACCCTGCATACATGAAGCGTTATAGCGGTGATGTAATGAATTTCTCCTTTTTGACCAGATGGAGCCGCAAATCAATCGAATCTTTGCCAATGCTGCATCTGCTGATGCACCACGAGTAGCAGCCAGCCACGTCTATAGCTTCACCTCTCCCTCGAAGCCCTCGACATGCATGAAATTGGCTCGCAGTGCAGTGATACTGGTCTCTCCCTCCTTCACGGCCCAGCCATCGGAGCCAGGCCCGCTCTTCAACACACTCTCATAGACATCCGCGAATCTCGGAGCCCACTTGAAATGCCTGTGCTTCCATTTGCTCTCCGGCGCCTTGCTGACATTTTCTTCACTTACTCCCGCCGCTTCTTGACTTCTCAACTTCGCTTCCTCCGAAGCCGGATCGTCCACACCTTCATCAGAAGTCAGTTCCTGAAAACACGCACCTTGATTCCACTCATTCTGCAACACCTTCGTCCATCGCACGGGAGCCTCCGAACATCCCTTCTTCACAGGCACATTCACCGAATACAATTGCGCCGGACCCCAGCTCGCTTTCTGGTAGAGATACTCGGCAACACGAACACTATGTCTGCACGACTCGGCGACAATCACGGGATCATTGAGGCGATCTGTAAATGCAAAGGAGAGCGCGATGGCTTTATATCCGCAATGAGAAGCTTCCAATGCGGCGCCCAACGTCCCCGACGAAAGCGCAAACACCGCCGAGGTATTTCTTCCGTAGTTGGGCCCCGAAATCACCAAGTCGATGGGTCCGCGGTCCGACGTGAAAAAATGCGAGAGTCCGATCTGGGCACAGCCTGCCGGGGTGCCGTTGATGAGAACCCAAGGATGACTGCCATCGTCGTGAGAGGATGATGAGCTGCGGGCATCCGAAGTTGACGCATTCACGTGTTCGTGTGGCACTTGAGAGGGGGGCCAGTAGTAGGTCGCTCGCACGTCCTGTCCTACGATGTGGGCTTTGCCTATCCAGCTGCGTTGGGAATCGGGAACGATGACTGAGACGGTGTGGCCGGCTGCCTCGAGGGCTTTGACGAAAGGGAGAATATAGGGGGATGATGTCGTTGAGGGAGGACCGTCGTCGTTGGTCACCTGGTGGATGAGATATGGTTGGAACTGGCGCTTTTTGCAATTGCTTCCTACAGTTTGAAGTACTACATGTACTTACGAGGATATGCATATTTGTCTTATTAGCTGCGAGTTTCTTGGGCGTTAGGTTATGGTATCGAGGAGTAGTGGCAGGTCTATCCGAACAAAGCTCGCAGAAATTAGAGAATGTTTCTAGTCTTTCTGGGAAACAAGCGAGATCGGCAGGAAAGGAAGGAAAGTGGAGGCAGGCGGCAAGGGTCAGCAGGCTCGAGTCGAGGTCAAATGATTAAATCAAACTTCCAAGCTTCTCTCTACCTATTTTCTCCCGATTGGCAATACATGCACCTAAAATCTCTATGATTGCACCGCTGCCAGTAATACCTCCTAGTATGCCAGCCATACACGACACGCGTTATGCTCCGTACTGCTATTGCACTTGCTTGCTGCCTTCCCTGACCGACCTATTTCTATGACTTCAGACCACAATTATTGCGAAGATCCTCCCGAGATGGTAATCACTTGTCCGTTGACCCAGCCGCCATCGTCAGAAGACAGGAAAGCCACCACTCTCGCAACATCCTCAGGCGTCGCACACCTCTTGAGCGGGCAATGCTCGGCCATGAGGCTCTCAATCTTGTCCGCCGGCCAGTCTGGCGTACCACCTGGGATATCTATACGTCTGGATTAGCACAAATCATGATCACAGACTTCTACCGAAGAGCAAATAACTCACAATGCCATGCGTTTTGCGTGAACATATCCGACTTGATACCACCGGGGGCCACACCGTTGACTGTGATGCCTCTGACACCAAAGTCGGTGGCAAATCCCTTGATCATGCCGATCACTGCCATCTTCGAAGCATTGTAAAGAACGTGGTCCTTAACACCAAGCAACCCAGCAGCGATCGAGCTCATCAAGATCAAACGACCGTTGTCTTCCAGGTGCTTGTACGCGGCCTGACCCACAAAGAATTGGGCTCGCGCATTGAGGTTGAAGACATAGTCGTACTTCTCTTCAGTGATGGCCTCCGTCTTGTCCCAAGACTCTGTTCCGCTGTTGCTCATCACGATATTGACCTTGCCAAAGTGATTCTTAGTTTCCTGAAAGAGACGCTCGATCTCGGACACCTTGCTGACATCCGCCTGGATGCTGATGGCCTTGGCTCCTGTACCACACTCTTCAATGATCTTCACGACTTCTTCTGCAGACGACTTGCTGGTGGCATAGTTGATCACGACACTGCAGCCACGTTTGCCGAGCTCGATGGCGCATCCTCGACCGATACCACGGCCAGCACCAGTGACGATGGCGACTTTGCCGTGCAGGGATGCGGATTGAACCAGGACGGGCTGCTGGTCAGAAGACATTGTGGAAGTTGTTGAGAGGAAGGAGGCTGCACAGTGACTATTAGCACAAGATCTAGCGTAATCTGGGAGGGCGAAGAAGCACCTGCGAAAGGCGAGCTAGCGGGCTGAGGCTGTGAAGTTCAAGCTGTGGAAAGGATGTCAATGGAGAAAGAACAGGAATAAAAGCAGAGGGCTGTCCTCTTCATCTTCACAGCACTCCTCGAACTCATATCAATCATCGTGCAACACATGAAACAGATCCGGCACCGAATAAGACTTCCGGGAGTCTGGTGGGGATCCGGGAATCGACGGTTCTCCATGCAGGTGAACAATTGCTGGCCTCATTATTATTGGCGATGCACCCATGGTACCTACTTAGTAGTGTAGACGAAGCATTTCTGCACTGGTATTCGCCGAGCCATCTTCTAGTTCGGAGAAGTCGAGGGTACCTGCAGGAACCCAACACGTTCCGCTGCAGCTTCGAAGTTCGCGCTGACGAAGATCCGAATGGCGAGTTATTGTGGGGTCTTCGCTCGATGGATGATCCCTCGCTATACTTCCCGCTAAAAATGGATGAAGCAGAGCGATAGAGCCATCATTGGGGTTCCGTCTCGGCGAACCGACCCTGCGTCAACTGGGACGCTGCTGGCTCACGAAACAGAGAAGAGAGGGAAGCGTTATTTCAGATGCTTTGCATACCATGCCATGCTACCCCACCCCGTCGTTGTCCGATGGTGACAGTCGGGTGGTATAGCCATGCTTCCGTGCCTCTCTATGCTTTGACCATCTTGGCCTTCAACGCTCCATCGCTATTGGAGCTCCTGCGCTCCTCCCTCCCTGTATTATTACCACCTCAAAAGCTTCAACGAGCCGAGTACTAGTCTAAATCTACCTAACGCCGCCGTCGCTGCCGCTGTCGCTGCCGCTGCCCGTGGTGGAAGAAAAGGAGGATGGAACAACATACCGCAAAAGGAAAGCTCAATCAATCTGCATAAACCCGGACAAGTCGAAGGTGAGTCGGTTCGTTTCGTCGTCCATATCGTCTCAATCGTTGGATAAGCAACCACCCATGCGCCATTGTAAGAAAGACCTCGCCTCAAGGTCTGGAGTGCTCAGGTATCAAACAGCCAAAAGGTCCGTTGAGTCCGCAGCGAGTGTAAAGTCGCCACTGCAAGAGAACTGAGAGCATTGTTAGCAAGACTACTACTACCAGCCGCGAGCTGACTTACAGTGAATAGACACCTGCCATTGCCACGCCATGACGCGACTACTGCTGCTGCCAACTGGGGTCCTGTGCGCCCAGAGTAGCAAAGCTGCTTGTCACTGGTTTGAAGAATGGCAAAACGAAGCCTTTGAGAATTTCCCCACGCACGAAAGTGGAGGCACGCTTATACCGCTTGTCGGTGTACTTGTCGTAGACGGCGCTGTGGTGCTTTTGAGCGTCCTGGCAGCACTCCAGCATGGCCCACAGAAGTTTGTGAAGTTGGCGAAAGGTGTAGTTGGAGTAGTAGACGTGAGCCTTGCTCCAGTCACCCTTGCGCAGCATGAGGCGAGCCATGCAGTGAGCCCCAGCTGCGAGGAAGCTGGGCTTGCACCCAACAAACCGCTCGTCCATGATGGTGACCTCCAGGAAGTACTTGGCCAAAGTACGCGTCTCAAGATCGTAGTCATCAGCTTTGCTGATGCGGCGGAGGAAGCTCATTGGTCCTGGCCATCCCAGCTCGAACTGCAGCATGCTGAGCATGAACCGTTCGGCCTTGAGAAGCTCGTCGGCAGTGTAGCCATTGTCCACCATGTAAATGATTTCGGAGATGGTGGGGCAGTTAACCTCTTCGTACTTCGCGGCAACAAAAATGGCGGTGGCACCGACGAGTTGCAACTTGCCCAAGGAGACGACCTTACAGGACAAGAAGCGATCGATGTAGTTGATCGTGAGAAACAGTGTTTCCGGCAGCAAGTTGAAGCGCTGGTGAACCTGGACGACCCAATCTATGAGAACGCCGCGCATCGACCATTGGATCTCAGCTTGCATCTCCATGTAGAATGGGTTGGGGGACATGCGCGCCTCCATCTCACGCATGTAGTCGAAAATTTCGTCGCCATACTCGGCAACCATGGAGGTGTCCCACTGCTCGTCTTCGATGTCCTCTGCAGTGCGCGTAACGTCGACATGGTTCTTGGCCTCAGCGATCTCGGCAGCAGCCTTCTGGTTATTCGAAGGATTGAAGATGGTAGTCACTTCGCCGGTGGTAGGATCGCACATGCCAAAGGACTTCGCAGTCATGTAGTCCTGGTCCTCATCGTCGTACTCATCGTACTGCTCAGTGACTGGAGTAGAGTTGCTGTAGGCAGTTTGATGTGGCTGAGTCTGCAGATATACTTGTTGCTGAGGCATGACAGTTGGTACGACGGACTGAACGTGTTGCCGAAGACCAATTGCAGAGTCACGATCGCGAAGCGCACCGGCCTCTGTGGCGTGCATGTCCTGCTGCTGCACGGCATATGTATGTGACCGAGCAGCTGCGTCGGCATGGGCAGCAGGAAGGTGTGATGAGTCGCTGGACATTCTCGTGTCCAACTCGGGCAGTGTGGCTGGCACGGCGACGTCCTTCAACACCTTGGTGCTCTTCTTGGGCGCTATCTTCCTCTGCAACGGCTCCTCCGACCCAGACGACTTCGTCGTGCCCGGAGCAGGAGCCGCCATCTGCATGTTACTGCTCTTCTGCCCGAGCGGCCGCACCGCTGGACGCTGCATCGGAGCGGCGACGGCTTGCTCTTCCACGTATTTCAGCTTACCAGGCGATGTCTTGCCAATTTCCGAATCGTCCTTGTGCACCAACTTCGAGTTAGGGTTCGACTCGCCAAGGATGTGCTTTTTGAGGTTGATGTTGGACGCCGATTTGGTTCGTTGGTGCAGCGTCTTGCCGGGCAGGCCAGTCGGTTGTGATGGATGCATGTTCTCGTCGTTGAGGCGCACCGCGCGCGAGGCGGGACGCTGAGGCTGTGATCGCAGTGTCAGTGGGTGAGATGTCATTTGGAGGAGCAGCAGCGAGCAATTGCGCCCGTGAGCTGGAATCTGTGCCATTTCAGGCTCGCCTTGGCCGCTTGTGATGCGTGCAGATGGGCGAGGCAGAAGATGGTGCAGTATACACAGACGGAGAGGCAGTTTTGTCATTGGGTGTGCTGAAGTGCCATGAAGTGACTGTCTTACCTTCGCGTCCATTGCCGTGTCGGTGGTGATTGGCGCGTGTCGCTTGCAATGGTGTGACTCGGTCACGAGGGTGCTGAGCGGAACTGAGGTCGTCGTGCTGCGGGCAGGCGTGATGTGGTGAAGTGCCAGTAGTGAAGTCGCGTACAGGAATTGGTTGTCGTCGTTCCCGATGCGAATCTGCAAGCTACCGGCGAAGTCGAGATGCAGGTACCAACATCTGCAGTCGGCGACGCGAGCGTGCGTGCAGGTTGTCCAGAAGCCGGTCGGCGCGCTGGGTGTATGGCTATGGCTGCTCGATGTCGCTGCTGAAGTAAGGTATGCGTGGTGAAATGCACACAACTCCTCCTGCCAGACTGCGAGTGCTCCAGACGAGCAGCAGATCGTCTAGAAGGTCAGGTAGCTAGCTGTTTTGATAGTAAACAAGCCCGCAAGGAAGGAGCTAGTTTGCACGCTAGTCCGTAAAGGGCCCTACACCGGATGTACCCAGCAACGGCGCAACGTCACAACCCGGCGCTGGCAGGACTCAGAACGCGGGACTCACCACCAGCGTGCAGTCCGACAATGTGCTTCAACATCCGCAATACCGCACTTACACGCCCATACCTACCGTCAAAATGATTGCTCACTATGCGCGACAACGGCTGTCTGGTCATAACCCCATGCGCCGGCCCGCCGACCGCATACCATGGGTCTGCGCTCTGTTGCCTTGACGCGCTCCCTGATCCATCCCGGAAACGCGCTCTTGAGCGAACACACGTGCCGGCGTCAGCCAAACACTTTCCCACCACATCGACTTGCAGTTGTTCCTACACCACTGCCTGGGCCCGTCGCGACATTGACAACCGTGCGGTGTGTGCGCGCGCGCGCGGTCTTAGTGCGTGATGCGCTGTCGGTCGGTCGGCATCGTGCATCGAGAGCCTGTCGCCGTGACTGGGAGCGGACAGTTTCAAACTCCACAGCTTTCGGCGAACGGAGCGGCACAAACTGACATCGCAAATCGAGCTGGCGAGGCTAGGATGGAGACCCCTCAAGAGAGGCCACCTACCCAAGGTTGAAAAGCACTCGGGCTACTGCAATACTTATCGTGCCGTCTTCGGCGGACACTCAGGACGCAATATGCGCCAGCTGAGCGTTAGCGCTACCTCCTACGAGTGCTCATGCGCACAAGGGTGGATGCAAGATGCACATCGTCCTTGTGTGACCAATGCGCGGCAACGCCATCAAGACAGCGGGGAGGCATTTCTCTATTTTCGCAGTCTTTGCACGTTTCCCTAGCACGATTCGACTTGAGCAAAGTCGAATTGAGAATGCGGTGTGGCAGGGCGACAAGATGCCACCCTGCTGACAACCAGGTCGGAAAAAGCACGACTACTGTATGCATCCAGCCAAACCACGGAACGCTCGGCTTTCTCGCCTAGTCCCATCGCTGCTTGCAAAGCTGCCACACCGTTGTCTCTCGTCAGGTCGCTCATGAGATCGAATGAAGCACCCATACTCTTTGCTCTTGTACTGAATATTCTTAAGCAGATACAGCGGCGCTGCCGTGTGCGCAGTATGCCAACCGATCTGCACCGTTTATGAGCTGTGATTGGAGCGCGAAGTAGTCCTTCGGCCCTTGACGTGCGCATTTGGCACTTTGGCACTCTGGCGTATCTCGCTGGCCTGGAGTATGCAGCTAATAATGTTGAGCTCTGAATTGGCGCTGTTGCGCTCCAGCCGGTGGCATGACAAACTGATCTCTCAGTCGTTCTGTGCCGAACGACTGGATTTGGGCCGATGCCGTGCCATACTTTCCAAATTCAAATGTGGTGGATGGCGGCTACAGAGGTCAGTTCAAAGGCGCACACCACTACATGTATATCGTCGTCGGCCTATCCTGTACGCGATCATCTTTTGCAGAATAGAGCAATGTAGTGTCCAAAAGTGTCAGGTTGCGCAGTATTGAGCAGAACTAGATAGAGTAGTGGGAGCACGGGCTGGCCAGGTCAAGTGGAGGGCAGGGCATACATCAGTGCAGTAGTCAGTCCCCACTCACCACCTTTGCGTCCTTCTTCACAACCCACAACCACGTCGACATCTTTAACCCGACCTGCGTGGGCTGTCGGGGTTGGCAGTGGCTGTCCTATCTTGCGCGCTTGCTCATGTGCATTGCATACGCAGAGACAGCCTTCTTCCATCCTTCTCCCCAGCGCCTCTCGCCCGCTGCGCCGATACCTCGACTGGCGACGACAAGGTTGACGACCTGAGTTGAAAACACCCATCAAGCACCCATCAGTCGGCTGCTCATACGCATCGAGGACTCAGGTGAGTGCCAGACTGCTCATTTCCGACTACTGATGACCCCAATATCACAACCTTCGCTGCTGTCGGCCTAGATCGTCTGCTCATCAGCCAGACCGCTCGCCCATCCCTTTGCAGCCTCCACATGCCTACACGTACTCTAACATGCCCTCGAGTCGCTGCCTCACTGGCAACATTATGAGAGCACACTGACGAAAGAGAATACCAGCAGGACCCGCCTCTCCACGACACATCGTCGCCGCTCCCCGACCTTCCCACTCCCATTGCGCCAGCGACGGCGAGGTCGGCGCGTTCCAGCAACACAGCGCATATAAGGTCCTAACACGTCCTTCATACATCAGTATATCTTATCAGAGTGCAAGGAGGCTCATAAACAAGACTATGGACCTGGGACGAATGTTGTCCAATGGTGACCAAGAAACTGCTGGAGCAGGCGACATGAGGAGGCAAACTCATCACCATTCAACTCGGAATGGCGCATCAGGTTCAGAACCACACCACGATACAAGAGCACACGCTGGGAATACACAGCGCTCTTTGCGAGGTCAGCATGGCTCCACCGCCTCGCCTGGTCACACTCATGGGTCACCTGCAAAGAAGGACCAGAAGCATGTTGTCTTCAGGCTCATAGACCAGAAAGACCCTCGCATTCAAGCTAGACTACCCATGCGCGTTATGATCTCGCCACATGATACCACGGAATCGATCATTACCACCGTCAAGAACTTCTACGGCCTATACGAGTATGGCGTCAGCTTCGAGAACGAGGAAGGCATCAGCATCATTGCAGCATGCGATAATTTTGACAACGACATGGTGGTTTACGTTAGGACAGTCGGACCCCCTCCTGCTGTCATCAGCGACCACGTGAGAGACTCGGCCAGCCCCAAGAAGCTGACCCTCGGCGCACCATTCGAGATGCGCCCGCCAACACACAGCAACGGACACTCGCCCTCTAGGTCTGCTGCTCGATCTGCAGGAGTTCGTAGCGTGTCTCCTCACTCAGAGCTCGGCCGACGCAGTACCTCGGTTGCTCCTGGCGGTAAGCCAAAAATGCATAGAACGAAAAGTAAAGGTCATAGCCAAATGGGCGACAACGACGGGTACAGCAGCGGGGACAACGATAATGGCTCAGTCGCCAGCTCGAGGCGCTCCAAGGCAGAGGAGATCAAAGCCGATATCACGGTTGATAACATCGTGGAGGGAGGTCGCAGGAAGCGAGCATTCGAGAGCTCGGTAAGGACGATATCCGCACTATGGGAACATGCAACTGACTTGCTTAGGAACTGCCTCTCTTCGTTCCCCCACAGGTACCTATGAGTACCTCTATATCGTCTATCTCACCTCAGCGTCGCTCAGGTCCACACCTGGCGTCCCCGTACGCATATTCCAATCAGCAGACATTTTCGTACCAGCAGCCTCTGCCTTCACCTCAAAGTTATAGCAATGGCTTTGGCAACATGCAGCCGCCGTTCCCGACAAATCCATATCAGAATGGTTACCAACCACCCAGCAGACAGCTGCGTGGGAATCGCCTCAGCGGTGCAAGCTCGAACCGCAATTCGAATGGCGTCCTGCCCACCCCAGACCCTACGATTGGCAGTGTCATATCCGATGAGGATGTTGCTCTGCAGCTGATGAGACTCGGCGATCCGACTGCCTTCTCTCATGGCAGAACCTCGACCTCCACTATCGATGATGCACTTAGTGGAAAAGCAGACGTGGCCTCGTCTGATGAGGGCAGTGAAGACGACGGCCAGGAGGAGTCGGGTAAAGAGGAGGATGAGGAGGAGGATTTGAAGCTGCCCACGGTGCCAGCATTCCCCAGGGAAGAGATGGGACCTGCCAGAAAGAAGCAGCGCGTGTTGAACGAACTGCCAAGCGACGGGACAAGTGGTGAAGAATACGAAGACCAGCGTGATGGCAACTTTGGCAGCGATGGCATGGACATTGACGGACAACGAAAGTCGATCAAGACCAAAAGCAAAACTCGTAAGGAAGGCTCCATGTTGATGGGACGGGTGAGCAAGCCTCGCCAACTGTCCATGTCTTCAAAGACGAAGAAGCCCTGTGCAGGCAGCATCAAGGTGCCAATGTCGCCGGCGTCCTTGACCTCGCAGACGCAGTCGCGAAAGGCGTCTGTTGCATCCACCATCAATTTTCAGCACCAGCTTGGGGTTGATGAAGAAGACTTGTCTTCCAAACCTCGCTGCCAGCGGTGCCGCAAGAGCAAGAAAGGTTGCGACCGTCAACGTCCGTGTGGTCGTTGCAAGGATGCTGGAATCGGAGCTGACGGCTGCGTCAGCGAAGATGAAGGAAATGGTCGCAAGGGCCGGTACGGGCGCCATATGGGTGTCACTATCAAGAAGGGTGAGAGCGAGAATGCTATCGACGACTTGTCGCCGCCGCCACATCATACGCACGGCTTGAAGAGCACTTTCCTCGCTCCCGCTGCTCCCAACGGGGACAAGAAGCGCAAGCGGTAGCACCCAAGTTACATCGACGCACCGCGACCACCGTTACCACGACTAAACAGAGCGCTTCAAGCCGCCTCCGATCATGGGTCTTCATACATCAAAACCATAACCAAAAAAGTGCGGGTACTGGATTAAAGGCGCTCTTTACGGGTGGAAGGCATGCTGTTAATGATGGTATGATTTTCATATGTCGTCTGAGCTTTTGGCGATAGGAACTAGATTGGCCTTCACCGGCAGCGAAGGAGGCAGCCCGAGGATGGCACTGCAGAATGGTACGAGTTCCATACTAGACAAGCTCGCAAAAGCTCGAAGACCAGAGAATGAATAGAGATTGATACAGTGGGATTAGGAGGATAAAGGATCACCTAGTTTCTGGTGTCGGTGAATGAGTTCATCATCTGCTGGTTATTTTGTCCGAGTGCGAATTTCAACCTATCACCAATGCCAGTCCCAGTCCCACGTGTCATGCTCCTAGTGTCTGGCTGAACCCGCCTGCGTTTCGTGCCTGAACCTGACAGACTGATCCAATGTTCCGTTATAACATACCTACCTCGTAATAACATCCATGGATGCCCCACGTCTTGACCGCGGACGCAGTTTGAAAACCTACTAAGTAACCTAAAAGCGCATGGGTCTTGGTGCACTTCGAACATCATTCCATCCCTTTCTACCTAGGTATTTCCACTTCCATTTCAACTTATATACCATATCCATATCCATATCCAGAGCTGCCAATACCAGCTGGGAGATTCCGCCGTAGTCACATGGATCTCTGATGCCTCGAAGGATTGCATTAGCTCCTCGTGGTGGCAAAGCCCACAGGTCGAGCAAGTTGCAGTTGCGTTCAAAATAACCGAGGACAGTAGCGGCAGGCTTTGGCAAGTGAGGGACTTTCAAGTTGTCGACCGTGCCAAAGGCAGTCTGCGGTGCGTACACTATCATTGCTTCACATCCATTCGGATCTCCTATTACTGGCCAAGATGGGATCTATACAGGAGCGCATAGCAGCACTGAAGCTCCAGAACGCCGGTGGCGACATTCCTGTTCGACAACCACAAAATCATCAAACGACAAATGGCAAGGGCTCAGACAATCAAAAACCAAGACCACCTCCACCGCCGAGGCCGCCTCTTCCCTCAAGGACTTCATCAACGCAGTCCTCACAGGCGCCAGGTCCACTTCCAAGGGCCCCGTCTGGCCCATCACCGGCTCTGCCTCCACGACGCCCCTCAGAGACTCCTTCTCAGCCTGGTTATGCTCAAAACAGGCGGGGAAGTACCGAATCTACGAGCTCGGTGACCACATCAAGATCAGCCGGTGGTGAGCTCTTCAAGATTCGAGCATCTGAGTTCGATCCCTCGAGCCTTCCTGCTCTGCCCCCAAAGCGTACAGCTGAGGAGAGGGAAGCTGCCGACAAGAAATATAATGGGCCTCGGCCATTGCGGCATACTAAATCTACACCTCGTGTGGCGCAAGTGCAACAGGGCACTACGCCGCCAGCAGTGCCAGTGAGACAGACCGTCATCCAGCCTCCCCTTCCAGTAGGAAACAATCGAGTGACGGATGGATCCAAAGCTGTTGAGCCCCCTGTGATTAAATCGCAGCCTCCACCTCGTCCTGCTAAAGGGCCGCCACCTCCACTGCCGACCAGATCAGCTACCCAGCAAGTAGTGCCCCAAAGGTCAGAATCGACATCACTCTCCGTGAGAGCAGAGGCTCTTCCAGCGCCTAAAGCACGAACCTCAGCGCTATCTTGGGGCTTCAATAACGAAACGAGCAATTCGGCCCCAGCATCCGCGTCGAGAAATGATGCCGTCGCGCCCGCCAGCGGAGTTCCGCCACCGATACCAGCAAGCACGAAGCCGAATCTGGCAGCATTGCTGGCGACAAAGCCAAAGCCAAACGTTGCACCTTCGTCAAGCTCCCTCCCGGGCTCGCCAGCTGGCGCAGTAACAATCACGTCTTACGCACATTTCTCACAGATATTGTCGTCACATCGAATCGTCATGAGTGACTTCTGGGCACCATGGTGTGGACCATGTCGTGAGTTTGCGCCAGATTATGAACGTCTAGCGAAAGAGTACTCTCGTCCAGGGCAGATCGCATTCATTAAAATCAACACCGACGATAACAAGGACATTGCGCAGGCGTACAAGATTGAATGCTGGCCAACCTTGATCGTGTTTGAAGATGGGGTGGAAGTTGAGAAGTCTCTCGGATCCAATGAATACTGGCTCAAAGAGCTGCTGGAGAAGCTTGCTAGAAAGTCAGGGTTCGATCTCTCAGCCCGCGTGGCTGCGCTGGACCCGTCGCCCACGGCCCCGACGAACTCATGCTTGCACTGCCGTGACTTCACTGGTCCCGATTCGCATGCGGCACGTTTTCCACGACAGTCGATCCCTTCGCACGACGTTGGCTGGCTAGCTCAACAGCTCACGGCCCCCTTCACTTCACTTACCGACAAAGCCCGAAGCATATTCACGTGGCTGCATCATAACATCGCGTACAATACGCAGGCGTTCTTCAGCAACAATGTGCAGGGCTCTACACCACAGAGCACGATTCAATCGGGTCTCGCTGTGTGCGAAGGATATGCTGGATTGTTCACTGCTCTTGCAGTCAAGGCCGGTATGGAATCCTTCGTGATCTCTGGTGCGAGTAAAGGGTTTGGCTACCGCCCTCTGACGCCCGGTCAGCCGATACCGCCATACCAGTCTGATCATGCGTGGAACGTGGTGAAAATTGATGGCGGCGAATGGAAATTGATTGACTCGTGCTGGGGAGCTGGAAATGTGAAAGAGACGCAGGAGTATGAGAAGAGTTTCAAGCCCGATTGGTTCCAGATGTCCAACAATATATTTGGCCTCTCACACTATCCTGAACGCAGGGATCAGCAGTATCGCGAGGATGGCACAGCTCTCTCGTGGGAAGAATACTCGATGGCCCACAAGGATGGCACTGGCGCGACCATGTTTGACAGCGGCACAGAAGAAGGCATATCCAAAACCTCTATGCGCCCATCTGAGAGCAAGATTGACCTTTCACAACAAGGACCCACTGTGCGCTTCTCCTTTCAGAAAATCTGTCCGCATTGGGACCCGATTCGGAACGGGAAAGGACCTCCGTATCTGTTTGTTCTGCTGATTGATGCACAAGAGAAGAATTCCGATCGGAACCTGCCACCGTTGCAGACAAACGGATCGGTGTGGTGGGCGGATGTACCGAGGGAACACCTTGGTCGTTCGGGCCAGAAAATCATGTTAATAGCCCTCACGTCGTTTGGTGGCCGCGACGGCCGAGGATTGACGTTACAGGAGTACCAGCGGGGGAAAGGAAGATGTGGGTGGGCTTCGTCTGGCATTGCTACGTGGGAAATCGCGTAGGCTCACGGCATGTTCGGCTGGATTCTGGAAGTGGGAGTCAATCCGCAAATTCTCGATGGATAACATGCATGTGACCTGAGTGTGTGTGTGAGAGAGAGAGGCCGGACCTCACAGATGATAGCGTTTTGTCATCTCTGCATGTTTCTCTGATTCTCTTGCTTCTCGCAGTTCATTTGTACCATGTCCTGACGATTTTAGCGTTCGTCCCGCTCCTCAGCTCCCGTGTTCTACCCGTCTCTTTGCTTCTTGCTACGCCAAAGTCTTTATATGGTACACCCCTCGCGCGTGGTGGCCATGTTGACCGGCTGAGTGACCTTCTGCTTCTTCGCCTCGGGAGGGCATTGTGCCCATGCAGAGGTGTCCAGAGTGATTTCGTATATTCTGCGCATCACCATCTGCGAGCTCATGACTGTTGCGGTGATATGAGAACCACCGAGTCTCCTCTCACGAACTAGCACCAAGAGAATGGATGTATTAGCGCGAGTGCTCGTATATCCATCCGGAGGGAGAAGGCCACATTGGCACGCGCGCCTTCATGTGTTCGTCTCATTATTGCCGGCTCCCTGCTTCCTCGAACTCACCAGCATTTCCGACTGCTTCTTCACCGCGCGCACATTATCCTCATCTTCGTCGTCCCACACATATACCGTCTCGGTCACATCCCCGAGCACCAAATTGCAGTGGCTGTCGTATGCCTGGAACCATCTTCCATATCAGTATTCGTCGTCCTGTTTCGTTGTTTATGCGTGTGAAAGGTGGATGGATGGATGGATGGATGGGCAGTCTCACGTGCAATCTCCCGGCGAGCTCGCGATCGCCGCGCAGCTTCACAAATACGGTCTCGTTGAGGGATAGTCGCACTAGATCGAGGGGCTCGCTGACGGGGTTGTCGCCATTTTCGGGGGAATCGGCCATTGTAGGGAGTGAGAGTGGTGGAGTGAGTGAGTGAGTGAGTGAGTGAGTGAGTGATGATGTCGACTGGTGAAGCTCGCGTGGTCAGGTACGTACATGTACCTGATTTCCAAGTTGTCTGCCCCAGGCAAGGCTGTAAAGCACGTGCACACGTGAACGGAACTGGGCCCGGTTGCCGGGATTAGACTTCCGCCTATCGGGCGCTGTCCCTTGCGGGGTAATCCTCCTTCAAAGCTCCTAGGAGGTACTTCATGTTGTAGTGGCACGGAAGAACGCGGTCGATTAGCAGACCGGATACTACTGATCAATATTACCCAGCTAGGTATTTTTCCTCCTCGCCTCGGGCCTGCACTACGGAGAAGCGGACGTAAGGAATATTCAGGTAGCTTATGTACCTGTATCTCACAAAGTGGGCAACGTTAGTGTCGCCCAGCCTACGATCTCTCTTTTGCCAGGAGCGCACTCTTCTTGCCCTCCCTTCTGCTAAAGATACAGATTAGTCATATCAGGTACATTGAGTGAGGTGTGATGGAAATACAAGCCAAGACACGTTCGTTCCGTCAACCGTCGTTCCCTCGGGCTGTCCTGTTTCAGACACCCCTGCGGGACTCAACTCTAATGATTAAGCTCTAGCCAAGCATTTGCAAGCTCCACTACGGCGCAGCTGTGTTGGTGCACCTTCCTTCTGTTTACAGACTTCTTTCCACGCTCCAGATTCCAACAACTTCCACCCTCTCCTCTCGTCTCGCGCTCATGACACGCCCAAAATCGCCCTCGCTGCTCGCCATTCTCCCTTGCGCTCAGAGGTAGTCCGCCAATCCACCGTCACCGTCACCGTCACCGCCACCGTCACCGTGTGTCGCCCGCGAGAGCCCGCAACTCTCGGGCCAACCCACCGCACGCACCTAAGGCCGGCTATCCTTGGGTTCAGCGTGCGAACCGGTTCTCCCACGCTTTCCCATCCCTCCCACCCATATTCAGGTCCTCTGAGCAGACTATCACTACGACTATCTTGTATGGGATTCCCCCATCTCTGGGCCTGGCATCATGACTACCGTCCGTGATTTCGACGGGTCAAACCAGGCGCCCACGCCTACGATGCTGCCGTCTCCTCGCCCGGTCTTCCCTCCTCCCGCAGCATCGCCTCGCAGTCCCGGAAGCCCCATGTCTAGGAGACGACGAAGTGGTGCAAGCGTTGCCTCTGCACGGTCGATGCCGGCGTCCGTCAATACCTTGGATGCCCGGCACCGGAAACCTTCTCGGTCGAATACAATAACCGCCTACCACGAGTCAGAGCACATTCACGAGCATGAGCACTTCCAACCAGGCGCCGAACCAGGAGTGGACACGTCGGCCGAAGATGACAAGATTCCGCCACATCTCATGAAGCTGAAGAACAGTTGCGACATCAACATTATCGATTTCAGCGATGAAAATGTCTCGCATCTCAAGTGCGACAATGACAGCTTGGAGAAGGCCCTGGATGCAGATCGGGGCGATCAATTTACCTGTAGATGGATCTCGGTCAATGGCCTCTCATGGGACGTCATTCGACAACTGGGCAACAAGTACAACTTGCATCGGCTAGCCATCGAGGACTTGATCCATACCAAAACTCGCACCAAAGTGGATTGGTATTCCGACCACGCGTATGTCGTTCTGACCTTAGCTAAATTGGTCAGGATGCACCAACATCGCGGAGACAAAAGCAAGTGCAGTTGCACAGCGGGGAACGACTCGGACGACAGTGATGACAGTATGGATGAAAAGCTCGAAAAGCACACGCAAAGGAGACAGAGCATATTGCGCACCTGGCTGGACTGGTTGCGACCGCAGAAACAGAGCGGACTGCCGACATATCTGGATCGTAACCACGACGGGAACATGGACGAGTTTGTCAGCGCCCACAGCGGAGTATCGAGTGATGCCCCCGTCAGAGACATTAGGACCTTGCACCGCTACGAAAGCGCTCAAATACCAGAGCACACCGCGTGGATGGAACAGCACAGTGCACTGTCACAAGATGACCTCGCCGTCAGCGTAGAGCAAGTCTCGATCTTCTTAATGGGAGACAACAGCGTGATTTCCTTCTTCGAGCACTCGGCAGACGATATCGAAGCACCTATCCTGGAGCGCCTTCACAGCAAGGAAACGATCCTTAGACGAAGCTGCGATGCGTCCTTGCTAAGTCAGGCTATTATTGATGCGATTGTGGATCTAGCTATCCCGGTCAAAGATGCATACAACAAAGCAAGAAAAGAACTGCAAATCGATGCCATGACCAACCCGAACGTTCGCACTTCACGTGCGCTCCATATCTTCGGCGAAGAAATTGATATGCTTCAGAACCTATTCAAGCCGGTTGTGCACTTGGTGAACTCTCTACGTGATCACAGTTCAGAACCACCACCAGCCACTCCTACCAACGCGCTGCCTACGGACACTGCACCAGATGTGCCAGATCTGAAGCCGAATGTACAGAAGCATCAGGATCTGACCAAGCGAAATCGAGATGGGGCTCCACAAGCAACACGAATGCTGTCAGAACTTATTAAGAAGAGGCCACTGAGGCGCACTACCAACTCGACGAGCATCACCATCACGCCGCTCGCACATACTTACTTGTACGTCTCTTCTCGGCTCGACTCACCTTGCAGCTCGCGAACTGACCCTTTTCCGTAGTGGCGATGTGCTCGACCACTGTATCACCTTGATCCAAGCATTCGAGCAAATGGATGCCAGCGCCAACAACATTTCGACGCTCATCTTCAATACCGTCGGTGCCAAGACGAACAACTTCATGATGATTCTCGCCGTTGTGACGGTATTCTTCGCACCTTTGACCTTTATTTCGGGTTATTTTGGCATGAATTTCGCCTCTGGCGCAGGTCTTGCGCATCCTTTTGCCTTTTTCTGGGTCGTGGCGATCCCCAGCCTGGTTGCGTTCATGTTTTTGGTGTTTGGTTTCATGTTATGGGACCAAGTCGGAGCCTGGTTTACGAGTCGTGGCATCAAATCTCGACTGAGCACTCGACGTCGGTCCAGTCGACGATAGTGATATCAGCTCCCGATTTGCTGTACAGCCGACTACCCTTATTGTATAGCCATTGTGTGATACCTAGAACTTTACAGTATAGACGACGAACAATAACAACAACAACAACAACAGAGGATGAAAGGAGGTGGACGACAGTACAGTCAGCAATACACTATTATTCTCAAAAAGATGACGGGAGTTTTGGCACTTTTCTTCTGTACATACAAAAGTCACGTCTGCCAAGCCGAACGAACATATTCGCCATGGGTGAACAGACAGACGTTGGTCACTAGGCAGGTGGTACCTTACTAGCTAGGTATGCAGATCGACTCCAGATTCATCCCAGACCTCGTTCCCTTCCGCAAACGTAACATCGTCGTCAAAGTCGCCATTAACGAAATTGGCCTCGTAGCCCTGCGCCTTCCTCACGACAGGCTGGGAAATCTTCTTCATGCGATCACTATTCTTCTCCTGGAGCTCCACTCGCGCAAGCTTGGTGTAGAATGCTCGCACCTTGTCGTGTGCTTGCACCTTCCGGGCATCGAACCGCTGCACGCACAGCCCGTCCATCCTAGTGGCACGACTGAGCGCCACATACGCTTGTCCTTTCTCAAATACTCGTCCTAGGTCCACCTTCACGCGATCGAGTGTCTGACCTTGCGCTTTGTGTATCGAGAGTGCCCAAGCAAGAATCAGTGGGATTTGAGAACGAGAAGCTTGCACCTCCCCGTTGGGTAGTTCGATTTTCCACGTCTCCGGTTCGCACAGCAGGTCGCGCCAAGTACCATCCGCAACAGGGAAGCGGATCAGTGGCCACTTGCGGGAGGTGGTAATCCCCTGCATCATCTGCCGTGCGTCGATTGGTGCGCTGTCTCCGCTGTCATTCTGCACAGTTCCGCCAGGCGACTGTGAGAAAGCAGTCTCGATGTTGTTATTGTTATAGCTGTCAAACTGTCGCTCATCCATGAAACCGATCACGCGCCCAAGAGAACCATTGACCAGTTGTTCGTCGATGTTCTTGATCAACATGACTTGTGCGCCTTTTTTCAGAGTGATGGTTTCTGGTGCCAGACAATTCGAAAGAAGCCTGTCACGCTGTCCCTTGTCCTGGATAGATCCGCCATCACGCGCCGGAAACGTGAATAATTCTCCCTGCAAACGACCTAGTCGATCAGTGTTGGCCCTATCGACTTCCTGGCGAGTTGGAAATAGTTCCGTGGCATCGAGTGAATCTTCAAAAGTGAGTGGTCGCGAGAGCTTCTTGAAGGCTTCGATTGAGGTCTGTGTCAGCCGACCCTCACGCATTTCGTTGAGCATACCAGCGAAGACTGAAGATAGATTAGTGTGCCGCAGCGATACGCATGGGGTGCATATTTACCTGGATCTTTCTGTCGAAAGACATGATGTAGTCCGATGGTATGATCAATGCTCGTAGGCCACGTCGATGCGTCAAAGGCAAACTTTGCAACTCGCCCACTGTCGGGCACAGGTGGCAATTGAAAAAAGTCTCCTGTAATCACGAGCTGAATGCCGCCGAACGGCCGCCCGTTATTTCGAATTTGTCGTGCGATGGATTCAAGCTTGTCGAATAGCTCCCCGTCCACCATCGACACTTCATCCAGAACCAGCACTTTCGTTCTCATCCAGCGATGCTTGGCCTTCTGATTCTTTTTGATCTTTCGCACTAGCTCAGGAACATCTTCCTTACCAAGCCCAATGCCAGCAAAGCTGTGAAGTGTGACACCACCAACGTTACAGGCAGCAAGGCCTGTTGATGCTGTCACAGCAACACGGTCGGGCTCCCGTTGATACTGTCTTCGAAGAGATGCGATTATTTCACGCATCAATACCGATTTACCCGTTCCTGCAGATCCCGTGAAGAAGACGCTTCTCTTCTTCTCGATCACCAGCTCAAGCACATGCTGCTGCTCATCACTGAGAAATACCTTGGCAGGACGCTTCTGTTTTGATGTGGCTTTTCGAATCGATTCTTCCGTACCATCAACCACTCTGCTGGACATTTTTCTCGTTTCTTCTCGTTTCTTCTTTTGTTGCTCTTTGATTGCGCTAGCGGTCGTGTTCCACGGGAAAGAAGCTTTGTTATCGGGATGCCTACTTGGTGCGGGAGTGGCCATGCTAGATCGAGACTTGTACTTTGTGCCCCCAATTGACTGCGTCGGCTCTGAGTCTTTCTGTGGACCCAGACCTTCAAACCATGGCAATAATCTCCTCTTCGCAGGTCTGGGTTGTGGCGAGCCATCCTGCTGTGCTCCCGACTTCTTGCTGACTGTCCCATCAAATGCAAATGACTGTAAAGATTGCTGGGGTCGCCCAGTAGGTTGAAAGTGCTCAAGAGGTGATGAAGACCAGGGAAGTGCACTGCTAGTCGGCTCCGGTTCCACCATCGTATGGCTCTCTGAGCGGGAGCTGAAGTCCATGAGACCATCGCCGGCTTTAGCAGCGTTTGTTGAAAGTGAAGGATACGAGTCCAATGATGCAGCTGCGGTCTGAGAGCTGCGTTGTGCAGTCTTTTCGGGCAGATGTGCTGAAAGGTCCGGATAGCTGACGATGTTCGTTGTTCTCGCCAATGGCTCCTCCACATCCAGGTCGATGTCGTCGTCAAACTCGTTCTCGTCAAACATTGCCTGAGGTATGCTAACCTTGCCTGCTGCCTGTCCTCCTCCAATCACGATTGGCTGATACTTCGCGCCTCCGTCGTTCTCGAATGTGCCGTCCAGCGACTTCGCCAGTCCACTCGACGTGCGCTTGATACCAGCGCGGTGCGGCGAGCGCGAGTCCCGGACGCCATTCAGAGCGGATGCTGAACTCGGCTTCAGCGGGTTCTTGTAGGCCGGACTGACGGGTTGTGCCGCCTGCTGCTGGCTGCCGAATGAAGATGGTGCGAAGCTCGACTGTGATATCTGGGTCTGCCCGCTCTTCCGCTGAAGGTCGTTGACGGCGTTGCGCAACATGGTGATCGGGGCACGTCGTGTCGAACAGGCACTCTGTGCGGCGTTGGCGCGTTGTTGCAGAGGGGACGTGTTCGCGAATGGGACGTGCGTCGATGCCGATGCTCGTGGTGGCCCTGGTGGGATGGCAAGGACGGACCGCACTCCCGTTCTGGCGAGTCTTCCTATGAGCATCCAGCGCAAGATGTAGATGGCCGTGGCGCAAAGCAGCAGAAGGAGGAACGAGTCGAGTGTGAAGGCGATGGTCATTGATGGTGGCAGTGGGGGAAAACTACATGTACATGACCAGGAAGGTATAGTTCTACCTAATTCTACAGGATGTACCGTTTAGTTCTAGCATGTACGCGACCATGGCGCGCGCGCTGGGAGTAGGGTCCGGGTTCGCGCCTGTAGATCTCGGCCTGTGATTAGTTCTAGGAGGTACCTGGTAGCGTTCCATCACCAAAGTCTATTCTGCTCATCTGGCTTCACCTACGACCGGGACGCTTCGTGTCCGACTGTCTCTCCGATGAGTATCATAGCATAAGTAGCATAGGTACCTAGGTATACATGTAGGTAGCTACTATGCTCATCATGTGTTCAACTACGCAGTTGGGCTTGTACAAATATATAATCATCGTCGTGCCTATGTCCTTGCTGTCCATCAACATAATCCTACACTGGCTTCACTCTTATTCAAGCACAACCAACCAGTCCATCTCCAGCCGGGGAGAAGGCACACCGGTATCTATGGTCCACATTATGCTGCTTTGAACGCTACAAAAATCCGCAAAAGCCGATACCATACCGGAGGCATTCATCGCTTTCTGAGCCCTGCCCTCCCATCGATGCCGGTACCTGGTGCTTCAATCGGCTCCCCGTTTAGCTCAACCGTTGGCTGCGTGGTATCCCCCATCAGAGGCTGGTTGGCAACATCCTCGTCCGCGCCTTCGTCCTCGTCGACATCCGAACGATCGTCTCGCTCTTCGCCGGTGCGGATGAAACGTACTAGAATGCGGCAAATCAGGAAGAACCAGAACAAGTTCACGGCCTGTAAGCTAGCGAGGAGAGCACAAGTAATGGTCTGAGAGATCCAGCACTTGTACTGTTGAGTTGCCCAGTTCAGTGTGTACGGCCCCACAGTCTGGAATTCTCCACCAGGAAGAAGTGAAGCCAGGATGCGTAGGTTCAGATAGTGACGAGTGTACGCCCAAATGGCGATGAAAGACACGAAGTAGGGTGGGGTGATCCATGCATCCAGGTAATTCATCAGTTTTGATGTCTACACATCAGATCAGTAGATGGTCATGGGACTGGCGAGAGGAAGAGTAGACTCACAGCGAGAAAGAAGTCAGAGACGTCGTGTGTGATGTACACGGCAATTCCGATATACGTAAAGTGAAAACGGTAACTGAGGCCGATCAAAGATAATGTGATAATGTGGTGCAGCACCAGCTCTTTGAAGTCCTTTCGTGGCTTCTCCAGGCCGAGCACCATGACCAGACTTTGCTGAGCCCAGTATGAAGCTTGCAGCAGATAGTATGCCTTAAAGAGCGCTTCGTGGGCTCGGTGCGGAAACCCCTCATACATGCCTGGCACATTGAAATACCAGACCGGTGTCCTGCTCATCACATATAGCCCAAAGGGCCCGGATATGCCAAAGTAGATGGCGGTGTAGAATTGCTCCATGAAGCGAGATTGCTTATCCCGGTTCCTGATACCGCACCATATCGCAATGGGCCGAATCATGCGCTGCATCAAGAACTCGCGGGTGAACGAGAAGACGACGGTGTAGAAGGCCACAAAGGCCAAATCTTTCATGCCCTTGCCATACTGCACCACATGACCAACATGTGCGGGCAGTGCGCTCGTCCTTTCCTCCAATGCCGGATTGGGGTATGACAGGAAGATGGCCGCGTGCAGCGGATTTTGCTCGCCGGGGCTGACAAAGTACGCGCCCAGTATGAGCAGAGTGAGGATCAACGGATTGACCCACGTGTGCCTGAGCGACATGCGCTTCCACCGGTTGAACAAGCCCTTGGCTTTCCTGCGTTTCGAGGACTTGATGGTGGGTTTGGAGTGGGAGTGGGAGTGGGAGGGGGAGGTGGAGGTGGCCGGCGCGTCCGACCGCGACGACTGGTGCGATTGCGAGAGCTCAGTCGTGGCTAATGCTTGCGCTCCAGTGTCGCCGCGCGGGTCTCCGCCCAGGTTGGAGCTCCTTCGGCGTCGCGTGCGAACCACGTTGGCGCTGTGTTGCCGGGTCGTGCTGGGCCTGACGAGCGGCGGAAAGGCCTCGGGTTGATCGGAAGACGACATGGTGTGCAGCTCCCGTCTGCAGATGGGGAAGATGTCGAGATCCGGAGGGCACGATTGGGTAAGGAGCGACGGGTGGTGAGCGGAAAGGTGGCAGAAGGAGTGAGTGCCTTTCCTCTACCTCCTCTACCAAGGTCAATGTACAGTACCTACAAGCTCCCGACTCGGGAGACCTTTGAACAGGGGGGAGGTAAATTGGGTTAGAACTTAGAACTACCTACCTTAGCCAGTTAGCGCGTCTTCCTTGTCGACGACTATCCCCAGCATCCACCACCAGCCTAAGCATCAGCATCAGCAGTATTGCATTGCTGTTACTACCAGACTCGTTCTCGAAGCTGCTGGTGCGACACGTGCGGAAATCTGCCAGTCATCACCAATGACAGGCCGCCGCTTTGAGCGCTCGGGGAGCTCGACTGCCGCCATCTTCACCAAGGATGAAGATATACCATACCTAGAGCCTCGCGACATCGACGACATCGACGCGTTGACTTGCATGGAAGATGCCGGGTGGATTGGACGGGACGGTCCCATTCACGTGGCGGTGGACCCAACTGATCCTTTACAGCGCTGAAATATGAACTTGGGAACCAGTCAACACGTGGAACCTCCGACTATCGATGTCCGCTATACATATCGAATGCCATCTCGCTGGTCCGAGCCTCAGGGTCGTACCGTGGCACTTCTGTGCCCGGCGGCCCCATCAAGGAAGGCCTCGGTATCTGATGAAGTAGGAGGGTGGAGGTAGCTCGCAAGAGAAGCCGGCACGACAGACATGGCGAGGCGAGCATGATCAACCTGCTTGGCTTCGCCTGAAACCATCTGTCATTTGGATAATGAATGGGGAACGCTGAACCGCTTTCCTTGTTCCGCACACGCTGTGCGGCTAGTCCAGCTATGGGCAAAACTTCATGCCCCAATGGACTTTTGCTTCCACCTCAGAATGGTCGTCGCTGCGATGTGCCTTGCCAAGTCGGGCCCTCGGATGACCATTTTCTCCAACCTCTGTTCATTGCCGACGCAGCACGCCATAAAGCCAAGACGGCCAAGTGTACCAGTATGAAGTCTAAGAGCTGTCCCCTTCGAACATCATGCTAGACATGCTGTCGAAAGGCAGAAGATTTGCCTATCAGAGCCGCTGCCGGTTCAATGCCCAGATGCTAGCGAAGATGCGGTTTCGTAGCGAAGTTCTAGTCTTCGCTGGAGTACTGTCATCCGGGACAATACGCACACTTTGTGGGCGCCACGAGATGATGTGATGACCTGTCTTAATGATATAATAATGATAGAGGACTCTGGAGCTGAAAGCGGCTTGTGCCAGTTTTTCTGGCTGCATCAATCTACCTGCTTCTCCAGCGCACATTTCCTCATCCGTGCACTTCCCGAATCCTGTCATCACAGCACTATCGTAACAGACGGGCTCAATCGTCGAATCCTGGCGGCTTGCAGCCATGGGTCTCCAAGAACAGTATTACGAGAAGGAGTATCAAGATGCCAGCAGTGGTGAACGGGCACTGTCGCCCACATCCGACTGGTCGCCAGCGGAGGAGAGGAAAGCGAAGAGGAAGTGGGTGTTGAGCGTTCCAGCAACGGTATTCCAATGCTAATTCTGTTTGTCAGACTCGATTTGATCATCTTGCCCCTCTTGACTCTGGGCTTCTTCTGCTTGCAGCTCGATCGGGGGAATATCGCCAACGCTATTACTGATTCCTTTCGCGAGGACATCAACATCACTCAAGATCAATTCAACGTCGGCCAGCAGATGCTCTCTCTTGGTATCGTGCTATTCGAAATCCCTAGCAATATGATACTTTACAGAGTTGGCCCGGGCAAATGGCTCACCCTTCAACTCTTCCTCTTCGGCACCGTCAGTACGTTCCAGGCGTGGCAAAATGACTACGGCTCCTTCATTGCATCTCGTCTTCTGCTCGGTATCACTGAGTCAGGCTTCATTCCCGGTGGTTTGGTGAGTAACGATTCGAACCATCGAAATTTCCTCTGGGCTCGATGTCTCACTGAGATCTTGCCTGCTACGGCGCCAAGACTCAAAGAAGACATGCGTGAAAGAGGCTCGCTTGTCCAGAGAAATTTGCTTACCTTTGACCAATCACGTCTAGTGGACATTGTCAACTTGGTACACTCGCAAGGAAACAGCCAAACGAGTCATGATCTTCTACTTTGGCAACCAATTTGGCCAGGCTTCCGCAAAGCTTTTGGCGTATGGTATATTACACATGCGTGGTGTCGGCGGCAAACCTGGGTGGTTCTGGCTCTTCGTTCTCATGGGGGCTTTCACCATAGCGTCAGGTTTCGTGCTCGGTTTCCTCCTACCAGACTCGTTCGCAAACCCTCACAGCGCTTTCCTTCCCAAATGGCGCATCTTCTCCGAGCGTGAGATTTACATTCTTCAAAACCGTATCCTCCTCGACGACCCCGCTAAGGGCCGGAAAAAGAAGTCGATTGGCTTACCAGCTTTCAAAAAGACGTTCTCCAGTTGGCGAACGTGGATTCACTTTCTCATCACCCTCTGCAACAATGGACCGCAACGTGGATTCGACACGTACGCTCCTTCTCTGGTCAAGGAAATGGGCTTCCAAGGACTCACATCGAATGCGTTGGCTTCCGTGGGTCTCTTCGTGCAAATCCCCGTCTCCTTCCTCTTCAGCTACATTTCCGACCGCTACGACAAACGTGGTGAGACGGTCATAGCGGGTCTCTCGCTGACAGTTCTTGGTAAGATATTCACTTGAACGTAACCCACACCGCGTCTGACTTGGCCGCTGACTTGATATCCACTATGGATCGTCTGTAGCCTATGTCTTCAATCGCATCTTTACAGAAGTGAGAAACCAAGGAGCACAGTACTTCGGCGTCGTCCTGACACAGACGTTCGGAACATTTTCGCACCCGTTGAACATCACCTGGCTATCGCTCACGTGCACCGACTCGGAAGAGCGCGCACTCGCTATGGCACTGGTGATCATGGGAGCCAACATCGCGGGCATCTACGGTGCACAGATCTTCCGGTCGGACGATTTTCCACGCTACCGCCGAGCTTTCAGCATTGGAATTGGGGTGCTCACGTTTGGTGCCGTTCTTGCTTTTGTTCGCAGAGTTGATGAGAGTTTGAAGCGCCGACGTGCGAGGAAAGAGATGAGAGAATCTGTTCTTGAAGAAGTCCAGAGTGTTCCCGATGGTGCGCCTGTGACTGCTGTACGTCTGAAGGCCTGATGGAAATGACGGATAACAATCGCCAGTGCCGTACTGGGCTAGTTCCCACGTTGAGAGCCTACTACGATGTTTTTTTTTCTCACCTAGAGTTGGTGAGATGCGCTGTTCGCGTGAGTAGGCATATAGAGTAGGGAGTCGGTTCTCGGCCAATCAAGGCATATTACTCAGGTGTGGTGAAGAACAATAAAGTCCTTTCGTCTCGCTGGCGGCTGTACAGTATGGTAATACAATGGTATAGACATATATTAACGCTTGACCCAGGCAGGCATCTTGCGAGCCTTGAGCTTGCCAGGCTTCTTTCGTTCGACGCTTCGAGGATCGCGTGTAATGACATGTGCTGCAGAGGTGTCAGTTGGGGGAACAAGTTCGCGGACGGATTACTTGTCGAATGCTCACCTCTCCTCAACGCAGGCTTCAAGTCCGGTTCGTGTGCCAACAAAGCCTTTGAGAGCCCCAGCGCAATCGCGTCTGCCTGTCCTGTCGTTCCACCACCTCGAGCCAGTGCCCATACATTGTACTTGTCCATTCTCTGCGTAGCCTTCAGTGCCCACACCGCCGATTCTCGATCATGCAGACGTCCAAAGTAATCTGTCAAGGGTTTGCCGTTGACGAGCACTTTGCCTTCACCTTCGACGACGAAAACTGACGCTACACTGCTCTTTCTCCTCCCGACTGCCTTCGACCTCCCAAACTTGTCGACCAGTATTGGTTTAGGTCGATTGTGATGTGGTTGCACCACTCGCTTGTACTTTTCCAGCGTTTGTGTGACATCGGCGGGGATGAGAGATGGATGAATGTAGTTCAGTCGCTTGAGCAACTCCAGCAGCATCTTGTAGCTCTTGGCTCGCACGGGCTCCGCGACTTCGGTCTTGTACTGATCTATCGTCTTCCATGCGACTCGTGGAGCATCGCCTGGTGGAAGGACCGGCAGGAGTTGGTATTTTCGAAGAAGCGCGGACAGAGACAGCAGATCGTCAATGTAGCGAGGCGTCGCAGTGAAGTAGGAGGGCGATGCTGGCACAATCCTGATGCGCCTGAGAACGGGGTGGGTATGGGGATCGTCCTGATTGCCGCCCCTACCGCCTCGTCGTGGTATAGAAGAGCTGCTATTCCTCCGCTGCTCTCTTCCTCCTTTGCCCACGTCGGCGGGTGTCTCAATCATCTCGCCTCTGACTTGGCCGAACCGCGATGGCCTCGATCTGGACGGCAAGACGACCTTGCCGTCCTCCTCAGGGAACTCCGCAGCGGCATTGATGGCTGGCGGTCCACCATCCACTGCCGTCGCCATTGTCCGTCTCATTTGGCGGAGACATATTCTTGGAGGTGCGGCAACCAGCGTGCGCAGGCCGTGGCGACGCAACACTGCCTCCATTGTGCATGCCATGTATCTCGCTCGCCAGTGATGGACGTCCCTTGAAGTCAAGTCAAGCGAAGATAGAGCCAAGACTCGGCTCGCTAGTTTTCTGCATTGGGACAAGGCTGAGTGCCCCTCGCAATAATTCTGTCTGTCTGTCATAAACAACCTCTGGAGACCTCTCGATATCTTCCACTCTCTCCCTCTCCCACTTCCACTCTCCGCCCCCAAATAATCGCCAACGAAGGCACACTGAGACCACCGCCTCACACGAACATCACCTCTACAATTATGGCCTTTGGAAAGATCTACTCGTACGAGGTACGCACTCTCGCCGCCGCGAACAGAGGCTACCGCCCGCCCGCCCACCAGCATATTCCACCACACTCCCAAAAGAGCTTTGCACTGACATTTCTTCCTTCCTTCTGCTGCACAGGGCAATGCTCGCACCACCGCCCTCCTCGCCGTCGCCAAAGCCAACGACCTCGACGTCGAGCTCGTGCCCACCCAGCCCGGCAATGTCACCGACGACTACCGCAAGCTCAACAAGCTGGGCAAGGTCCCAACTTTCGAGGGCGCCGACGGTTACGTTCTGACTGAAGCCATGGCAATCGCCATCTACCGTGAGTCGCGACCGGAAGACGGCGCCCGCAACACACTGCGCGCGCATGGACACATGCAACCACTCCTCTCTGCAATGATGAAAAATACATATCAATTACAGTTATCCCTGTCTGAAGATTACTGTTGAGAACCGTATTCACACTGTCTGAATTAGCATACCTACATCCATCTAGCACCTTGAGACATCAATTTCTGGTGGAGAACAGTCACTAACGGTGCATTCGTACAGTCACATCGCAAAACGAGAAGACCAGCCTCCTCGGCAAGACCAAGCAGGACTACGCCTCCATCCTGCGCTGGATGTCTTTCGCCAACACTGAGCTCCTTCCCAAGCTCGCTGCCTGGTTCCGTCCTCTGATCGGCAAGGACCCATACAACAAGAAGAGCGTGGACGACGCACAAAAGGCGACCCAGGCCAACGTCAAGGTCCTCGAGGAGCACCTCACTGTCAACACATTCCTCGTTAACGAACGTCTCACTCTCGCCGACTTGTTCATGGCTAGCATTGCCAACCGCGGCTTCGAGAACTTTTTCGACAAGGAGTGGCGCGCACAACACCCAGCCTTCACCCGATGGTTCGAGACTGTGGTCAACCAGGATATTTACAAGGCTGTCGCTGGTGAGCTCAAGTTCATCGAGAAGGCCATTCCCAACAACCCACCAAAGGTCGAGAAGGCACCAAAGGCTGAGAAGCCAAAGGCCGCGCCTGCACCAAAGGCTGCGCCAAAGCCAGCCGCTGATGAGGAGGATGATGAGCCAAAAGAGGCACCAAAGCCAAAGCACCCTCTCGAGCTGCTCGGCAAGCCAACTTTCGTTCTTGATGACTGGTATGTCTGCCACACTTGCTCTATTCCTGCCAATCACCCACTGACCGTCTCCTAGGAAGCGCAAGTACTCCAACGAGGAGACCCGCGAGGTCGCCCTTCCATGGTTCTGGGAGAATGTCAACTTTGAGGAATACTCCCTGTGGACAGTAGACTACAAGTACAACGACGAGCTCACCATGGTCTTCATGACCTCCAACTTGGTTGGTGGCTTCTTGACTCGTCTCGAGGCCAGCCGCAAGTACATCTTCGGTGCTGCGTCTGTCTACGGCAAGGCCAACGACAGCATCATCAAGGGTGCCTTCCTTGTCCGTGGCCAGGAAGCTCTCCCCGCCTTCGAGGTCGCCCCAGATGTCGAGAGCTACGAGTTCACCAAGCTCGACCCCAAGAAGAAGGAGGACCAAGAGTTTGTTAACGACCAGTGGGCATGGGACAAGCCACTCATCGTTGGTGATAAGGAGTATGAGTGGGCTGATGGCAAGGTCTTCAAGTAGACGAATGTTCTGGCCAAGCATAGCTGAGCTGTACCGTTTTTGCGCAATTCTCGCCGAGCAATGCATGAGTGTATGGTTAGATGGATGTTGTTCATGACCGACATGTGGGAAAAGCGATACCATTAGACGGGAAAGCAGAAAATGATGATACCATTCTCCTGTCAGGCCTTTGTTGCACATTTAGTCATTCACCATTCCACATCAAACTCCATCTCATGCACGCCTCGTCCTCTTCACCTGGAAATCTTTCGCATCTGACCCTTATCGTACTGAAAATAAAGAAATTCCATCCAACGCCACTCCAGTAAGGACCTAACATGCAGTCAGACTCTCTTGTATAGGTAGGTGATGCAAGAAAGGCCCAGCTACTGCATGTAGTTCGAGACTGTGCAAATGTCCAATTCACAACTTCAGCACTTATTCAAAACGGTGTCCAAGTCTCAATGCTTCACTGTCGAATTCTCGGTCCGAGCAGAAACAAATGGGTATCAATATTGCCTCTCATGAAACATCAATCCAAACACATCTCGAAATCATCTAGTCATCCTCCTCCCTCTATCTACATTCTGAACTGCCAGTTCCGGATCATCGTCCAAATCGTGTATTAAAGTCAAGGTAATAGTTCATTCGGCAGGTGAAAGCCTTCACATCTCCAGGGAAGGAAACGGTAGCCTCGTCACACTTTGTGAAATTCGCCGTGTGAGACTAGTAGTATGCCGCATCGCCCACTGCAATGACAGCATCGCCATCGCCATCGCCATCGTCAAAGTCATCAGCAGAATCAACTTGACGGACCCTCCTGAGCTTCAGGGAGCGGTAATGCGAAAGCAGCATGCTGCGCGAAGCATCTTCAGTGTGCTGGAGCTTCAGGTGACACATCTCCGCGCCAGCAACACTCATCACCAATAAGCCCGGGCGAGAGACGCTATAGAATTGATTTGCAGCAAAGCACGAGGCTTTGAGTTCGTCCCAGCGCGTGAAGCCTCTGCCCACTCGACGAAGGAATTCGACCATGATTGGATTGTGTGGGTTGGAAGGTTGAATGGCATCATAGCTAGCACGGAGTGCCTCAATGCGCTCTACCCAGGTATCGTACTTCCTAGCATCTGACGACCATTCTCCGTGGATGGAGCGAAGACGATCTTTGAGCTTCAACAATTCGGCCGCCATTTCTGAACCACGAGGGGTCGACTCGAAAGTTTCCTTCCAGAACTCAGCAAGATCGGGGTCGTATGATGCCGCAGGCTCAAGGATGACACTCGCGCGGATCAATGCAGATTCGACGATCGGTTGAACCACATCGAAGAATATCGTGTCAATAGCACTGGCTGCTGTCTGGGCCTGCCCCACGAGGCGGCCTTGGATCTCGTTCTTCTGTTGATTCTTGTCCTGCGATCGAGTGAATTGCCAGTACTTCGGCTCAGGCAAGTTGCGAGGCAATGGTCGACTAGCTTTATACGCATCAAAGTCTGCTTGACTGAAGTCGTAACCTTGCTTGTCCGCATCAACAAGATAGTCGTGCAGATACACAAAGCGCATTACCTCCTCCGAACCAATCGGTAGACCAGCATATACCAATCGCTCGTGGAAAAGCGTCACGATACCAAGCATATTGGCATCCATGCGCTTCGCGGCCATAGTACTCAGATACCTGCACCATTGCTGTTCAGAATTGGGGTCGTCAACGTGGTCAGACAGCTTGTACTTGTCTTTAGTAATACCAAGTTGATCTGGATCTGGTGGCTTCCATGGCGCAGGCGCATTCTTGAATGGCTCAGTGAGGAGCGGTTCCCAGGTGAACCAGAATGCGTCGCCGTCGTAGTCGCCACCTTGGAGCTTGTTGGCAAGAGGCCGCATGCCGCGCGCCGAAAAGATGATATTTCCAGCGTACTTGGCAAGTTGCGGCTTGAACACGGCGCGCACTTTCTGTATATCTGAGGGTCCCATTGCGGGATTGCGGGCTACGAGTATATCGATGTCATCGAGAAAATTGACTCTTGTGCCGACATCAGCGACATCAAAAGGCTCTTCGAAACACACGCAGACCTCGCCTGGCCTGAGACTTCCCGTTGGATCTAATTTACCTCTCATATGCCCGGTCTTAGGCTCCGCGATGCCCCAAAGCGTCGTGGACTTTGGCAGCTCAATTTTGAAGTTTTTGTTCTTCAAGTCGAAATAGCTTGAGGCGAGCATCTTGACCTCGCTGGCAAGATACTTGTTCTGCTTAGGCGCGAAGCCAGCCTCAAGCATCTGGATTATACGCTCTTCGAGCGCCTTGGGAAAGCCAGCAAGTAAGTCAATACCGGCTTCTCGCCTTCGCGCTTCGAAAAATTCGTTGTGACTGGCAATCCACTGCCTCAACCTCAAAGAACCGTCTGCTGCAAGCGCCTCAAGAAATCCATCGGTCTGCCGCGTTACCAGGTCGCGTACTAACGTTCGAATGTTTTCCAAGGGCACTCCTCTGTCCACGAGGATCGGCAAGTAACCAATATGTAGTAACGACGGCCGTGCACCAGGGTTAGCTTTGACGACATTGACCGACAGTGTCTCTTCGTCACAGCCATAGAATGTGTCGCGATGCACCTTGACTTGGCTGGGCGCGAGATTGAGAAGGGGTCCAGCAGGGCGTATATCGGGGTCTCCGTGCGCAGGCTCGTCGATGTACCAGAGACCCTTTGCACCTGCAGCGCGGATCTGCAATGTCGCGGGCACCCGCTTCAGGCAGAGTTTCTTGGAGTACTGATAAGCAATCCAGTACGACATTCGATTGCAGCCATCACTCATAACCATCTCTGGATCGTATTCTTCATAAAACCTGTGGGAGAGATTTGGATCCTCATATCTGCGGTCATCACGTTCCCGCGTGGCAACTTGATCCGGAACATGTGCAATCTCGCCAGGCTGTAACACGGTAGCTGATATCGTCCGTGATAAGAGAAGTTCAATCCTCATATACGCCTTGCGTGCGGCTTGTTTCTTGTTCGTACTGTATGGTAAGCACCATTGAGCGATGTCGCACAATGACATTGTCGGACTAGAAGCTACAAAGATCAGTCGATACGCCGACGTAGAATGTCTGCCCTCGCCAACAGTTTTCTTTTTGTTCGGCTGCAAGAACAGTAAGTGCCATTTACGGCCTAGGATATCCTTCGGCGTGCTTATCCACTCGCGAAAGCTACGCTGCACGTCACGGTCTCTGTGTATGGCAGGAATCTTGACCATATCCGGTATATCAACATAAAGAACTCTATCAGCACCCAGCTTTCGCTGGAGACTGCACGAAGTGTCTCTGCGGAGCGTCAAAAGCACTAGTTTGCACACTGGGCCAAATTTCATAGTCGACCATTCCAGTCTCGCAGTCCTGGTTAGAGTCTCCCAGGGCTTGAGGTTTACGATGGCAGGCGGCTTTTGGTAAGGTATGCCACGATCTGCCAGAAGTTCCAAGAGTGTCTGCATATTTTGTTTGGGCCATGCCCTGTCTAGAGCACTGGCACTGATCCGCCCTGCTTGTAGCACTCTTCCAACCTCCCACTGTACATCAAATGATAGCTGGCAGAAGGATTGAAGATCAGACAAGTCTACGAACACGTTGCTGAAACTCGAGACCGCTCGCGGTCGTGGCAGCATATGGTCTGCCGGATGCCGTGCACCAGCCACGCCACCGCGAAATGGGTGATCCGCTTGCATCTCGCTAGGCACTTGGTCTACGTTTGGCATACCGTGGTCGGTAACCTCATCGCACCGATATGCAACGTCCTCCCACTCAGCCATAGTACTAGTACCAAGTGAAGAACCAAAGTCATCAGACGTGCCATCTGAGGTGACATCAATTGGGGCGCGGCGAGGCCTGAGTACCTGATCGGCAAGAGGAGATGTAGGAGCGGTGAGGTATTCGGACGAGTCGGCAGATTCTGTCAGTGCGGGTCGTGCTGGTCGTACAGTCTTGTCTGTAGAAGACGAGTTCTGTGATGCGTCGACCTGCTCGACAATGTGCAGCCACTCTGCAGCAGTGCTCGAAGCTAAAGAAGAGGCACCTATCGAGTCCTGGTCTCTCCGCCGTTGCAAAGGTGGAGGTGGGGGCATGTCTTCGCTGAAGGATGTGGCATCAGTGCGAAAAGACTGTTGAGTACCCTGAGAGGACCAGAACGAATGACCTTGTCCAAATGAAGTATTTGCCGTCGTGCTTGCGAATGAGGTAGTCGCATTGACCCCCGGGCCGGGTTTTTCTCGCGACACAACCGGCGCAGTAGCAGGTTTTAAACTTGGTTGACCAGGCAAGGCAGCGAAAGACAACGTTGTCTGGTTCCTATCTTTGATCGATGGGGCAGTCCTTTCTGGCGGCGTTGTAGCTGACAGAGATTTCTGAATAACGGGTTCCACTAACGAGGATGACCTGCTCGCCCCTGCCTTTGTGGTTCTGAAGGTGGATTTCAAATTGGACCGAGCTGTTGGCTTGGCAGAGCTTGGAGTCGGCGACGAAGGTTCTGGTAGATGCTCGTCCATTTGCGTTGGTTCGGAAATCGTTGGCATTTCCAGGTCCACCTTTGCCAATTTGGTGAATCTGTCCGTTTTGGGCGTCGCGATGGCGCAGTCCGTCAGGCGCTCCAACAGCAACTCGAACCTCTTGGTGCGATCTTCATAGCCAGGTGTCAAGGCGAGACTAGAAAGGTAATTTTCAATCTCCTCGCTCAGTTGGCCTGGATTCTTCCAGGAGAGAAACTTGTAGGCGGACCACAGTTTTGACTCTCTCTCTTGTAGGCCTTGGCCGGGCGATTTCGAGCCATCGATCGATATACCCAGCTGTGCAGCGCGACATAGGTCGTTGAATGCCTGCGCTCTATCATTGGCGAGGGTAGAGGCATGGGCCATGCTCGCCGTGGCCCCAGCCTGTGGGTTCACTTCAGAGCTTTTTCTCTTCTTGGCCATGTCGAGGCTGTCCTGGATAAGCTGGCAGCAATGCCTTGATATTCGCACTCCTGTCCCAACAGCATCGTCACCTCTACGGACACCCAGGGATATGTACCTGAGGAGGGTAAAGTAAGCTCGCTGGATGGTGAGGCCGAAACAAGAGGAGAGTTGAGGACTGAGGAGGTTCATGTGCATTGTGGAGTACGCAGCGGCCCTCCTCCGGCCCTCCCGTCGGCATCGAGAGAAGGTTCCGACTGGCTGGAGCGTCGCGATCCCTGCGTGTCTGCCTATCTCGCGTAGCAACGCGGAAACTCGTGATGAGGCAGGCATAACGGTCGGCGAGCACGTGGAGCAGAAGAATGAATGTTCATGAAGAATGAGCAAATGTGGTTGCGTCGTGCACAGTGAGTCTTGTAGCATCTCAACGGCATGAGCGGTTACCCGTGGTAAGGACGATCGACTCCCAGCTCACATAGCAATTAGGTACCTGTAGGTCAGATTCGCTTATTGAGTGAGTGTGCTGCGGTAGACGTAGCGCTGGAGGTTCTTCAGTACGTAGATTAGACGTGTCAGTACGAGGATGCGGAAGAATGGGATCACGGAGCCTGTCTTGCCGATCCTGCTATCAATATTAGGCGCCGGTTTTGTGAAAGGAAGCACAATCTAAGAGTTCGCAAATGAATTTGGTGGTATCGTTGTCGTGAGAGATCCTCCAGGCTGGCGGGATTGCAGCAGCCCGTGTAGATGCAAGTCGTGTCTAGCATTATGTCGGACCTGAGACGAGTGGTCGTAAACGGGGCCATTGCACTTCAGTCTGCAAGTGATCCTTTTGCGTTCTCCTTTCCGTCATAAACTCCATCATGCACATGCTTAGACCTTTTCCTCCTTCAAACCGTGCTTCCAGATAGTGACGAATGGAGTGATCCCGTCCTCACGGTAGTTGAGAAGAATCACGCTGTGATCGTGTCAGTATTTGTTCGGCTCTCGCGGCACGTAGTATGCACTTACGCTCCGTCTGGGTCCATGGACTCGCCAATGAAGAATTCGTAGTCTTTGAAGTTGGCAACAATCTTCTTTGCGTATCCTGCGGCACCCTTCTCGAACGCAGTAACCTCCTCATCACTGGCGCCGTTGGCCTTGAGCTTCTCCTTGACGGCCTTCATGTAGCCCTTCAAGTGGGACAGGTAGCTCTTCTTGTCGAAACTCGTCTCATTGAGGCGGAAAGAGTAGACGACATCGATCTTGGTCTCGGCGGAATCCTCAGCGCCCTCCTCATCACCACCCTCGGCGGAGGCGTTGGCGCCAGTGTTGACCTCGACTGGGCCGATAGTGATCTTCTTGCAGTTGGCCTCGTAGACGACGCCGTCAATCTCCTGGAGATCGTACGAGTCCGAGATCAGCTCGTCGCCAGTGATAATATCCTATGCGGGTGATGTCAGCTAGATTTTCACATGCAAAGCGAGTGGTCGAGGCGGCCGAGGACTGCGGGCGCTGTGCAGGCTTCCTGCACGTCGTGAAGACGTCACAAGCTTGGCGTACCTTGTAGATAATCATAGTTGCGGTGCGAGAAGTGGTTGGTGGGAGGGTTGCAGAGAGCGTACACAGAAACCAAATTGAGGTGAAGCAAAAGACGAAGAATATGTGTGGAGGGGAATGCAAGGCGGGGGCCGAGAAAGCGGGCTAGTCCGTGGTCAGAGTGCCAAGACATGGTCTGGGCGTGCGAGTAGCGAATTTCGCGACAAACTTCTTTTCTGGAACTTGACGTCCGCCTCTTCTTCCCCAACAGCTTCAATCAACAGCTCGCCGTTCCACGCCAGGTAAGCCCACATTATTGATGTGTTCCGTACTTGGAGAGGGGCCACGAGGAATGCGATCGCTGCTGTCCCTGCAACGACACCGCTTTGCCTCGATGTGACGAGCTGAAGAATGCTTTCTCGTGGTCCTCCCAGAAGCACACTCTTCGCGCTCCGGACGGACATGGCCCACTAACATGACACCCGCCCTCAGATACCTCACGCCGCACTCCCTCGCGCCCTGAGAATCTACCGCCAAAATGGTCAAGACTTCCGTCCTCAACGATGCGCTCAATGCCATCAACAACGCCGAGAAGACCGGCAAGCGCCAGGTTATGATCCGCCCATCCTCCAAGGTCATCGTTAAGTTCCTCCAGGTCATGCAGAAGCACGGTACGTTCCATCTCGCACAACCGCCGTGTTCAGTTCAGCGCAAGAGGTGGACAGAGGCAAGGCGATAGTACACCGGGTTGATAACTAGGCAATGGTCTCAATCCTCCACGACCAACGCCCTTTAAGTGCTCGGAAGATTGAAAACTTCGGCGATGGTTCTTACACGTCTTTGGATATACTGGCTGAAAGAGCACGTTTAAATTATCGCTACAGACACTGACACATTCCACAATAGGCTACATTGGAGAGTTCGAAGAGGTCGATGACCACCGCAACGGCAAGATCGTGATCCAGCTTACCGGTCGTCTCAACAAGACTGGTGTCATCTCTCCACGCTACAACGTCCAGCTCACGGACCTCGAGAAGTGGGTTGTCAAGCTCCTGCCATCTCGTCAATTCGGCTACATTGTCCTCACTACCTCTGCCGGTATCATGGACCACGAGGAGGCCAGGAGAAAGCACGTGGCTGGCAAGGTCATCGGTTTCTTCTATTAGGAACATATCCTGGAAGCCGATGGTTGCATGAGCACTTACAATCACCGCGCCACACCACAGGTAGTCGCCGAATCAAAAGTTCTTCCAGTCCCTGTGTACTCACTCGATCCATCCCGAACTCTCTTCTCGACTTTGCGCGAACACACTTGACCACCTGTCATGCTGCTATTAATGTATGCCAAGAAGTTTTCTCCGCCTGCTCTTTTTCGTCCTCCACTTCACTATCTAGTGTCTACCACAGGTCGGCTAGCAGGTAGGTATAAACCTCTCTCTCTCTCTCTCTCTCTCTCACACACACACACACACACACCCACATAAATACATTAGACTATCAGAGCTGCCACATTATCATCATCATCTTCTCTCCAGAGGAGGAAAAGACATTCCAACGGAAGCTAGATATTGCAGTAACTAGCTGGGTACCTTACTTATGTATGCAGCATATACCTACTCTTACAGCGACACCGTCCAACATCATCGCCCATCCAGGAGCGGGACGCGCAGCGCCTCGGGGTTCGTTCGCACGGGTGTTCCTCTCGTTCAGATATGTACCATTCCATCATTATTACCGCCTCGATTATCACCGTGAGTTCATCCTATCGCTCCGCTTTCTCGAGAGCATCTCCATGATATCCGTATGACGCCGAGCTCCGTCAGCGACCATCACATGCCCTTCCCCGGTTGCCACATTGGCCATGTTCCCGAAGCCTTCCTCTGCATTCCGGGTCTCCATTGTCCTGGACTTGCGCAGCAATTGCTGCCCTTCTGCCTCTCTACCCCCTTGCTCGGCAGCAATCTCCTGCAGCTCAGCACTGGTCTTATTCAGTCTTTGATCAGGGTTCAGCCACATAGCAGAAGCCTCTTCGAAACGTCTCCGTACTTCCAAGTCTTCCTCCAGTGTTTGAAAGTGCTCCACGTCGGTCGGCATGAATGCGCATTTGAGCGCTCGAAGCGCAATCTCCATGAGGCAGACAGCAAGCACGCCGAGGAGGAGTGCAAGCCACCACATGCCTTCTCTTCCAAAGCGCATGAATAAGCCGCCCTGCACACCGTACTTCAGGCTGGGCGAATACGACATGCCGATGATGACGTTCCAGAGAACCCAACACCCCACGGAGAAGAGGATGGCGACAACGACCATGTACGACTTGTAACGTGCCTCAACGATTTGCAACTTGAAGGATATGATAATGACACAAGCGGTGAAAGTCATCGACCCTACAAATCCGTTAGTACACAAGCTACATCCACAATGTCACACCTGACCATCATATACGCCTGATGAAGCTTGCACCCAGAAGACTCACCGAGACCAAAGACATCGTTGGAAGTCGAGAATTTTGTGTTGCCATAGAGTCCCCAGGCGGAGAAGAAAATGATCATGGCGCCAGCCACACCAGTGAACATCCATCCTACAAAAACCTTCCAGCCAAAGCCAGCGGAGAGTTGGCCTTTGATGTAAAGTTCCGGTACTGCCAGCAATGTGGAAGCTCGAAGGTCCTGTTCGAAGATGCCAAGGAAGACGATGGGCAAACTTGTGAAGGGCCCGTTGAACAAGCTGAGCGACCAGTTCTCATACAAGCTTGTGCCGCTGTAGCCATTGTACCGTTGGTAGAGAGCCTGGGTAAGGTAGAAGAGGACCTCTTTGTAGAACGTGCCTTGAAAAAGACGTTAGCAAGTGCAATCGCCTGTCGACACATCACGTGTATACTTGCCGACTGTATACTTGCACGTTCTGATGTAGTTCCATCTCCCATGAACAAGCAACAACTTCGCCAAGAACCTGAATTGGGCGATGGAGTAATCAGACGTTCTTGCTGCCTGAAGGCCTTCTTTTCCAGTAATGCCAATCCCGACTTGCGCTTCCTGTATCATGGCGATATCATTGGCACCATCACCGATAGCGAGCGTGACGCTGCGCTTCACCCGGGTCCTGATGTGATGTACCAGCCCGGCTTTCTGACTAGGCGAGGCTCGACAGCAGATCACTGAGTCGGCGAGGACGGCCAGGTCCAGGAACAAGTCATGTAAAGCGCCGTCGGATTGGATCTGAGTGAGAGTGCCACCGTCAATGACAATCACCGAATGTGCGACGTCGCCGCGATTGATGTCAATGATTGCTGCGGCTATGCTGTGCTCAACATCGCCAGCTTCGTAGTCCAGTACAGTGACTGACGAGTAGTCTTTGATGAGCCTGCAGCTATGGCCAATATTGATGGCAGTTTCCCGTTTGTCGCCTGTTAACATCCATATCTTGATATTAGCTCTTCGCAACCGGTCGATGGTTTCCGGAACCCCCTTCTGAAGTTTATCTTCGATCGCTGTTGCGCCACCAAGCTCGAGCCCTTGCTCAATGAGTTCGCCAGCTTGCTCGATCAGCTCCGTTCGATTGACCAGGGAGGTCGTAGCCTCGTGGTACGTCTTCTTCCACCGGCGATATTCGTCGTCAGCAAGAAAGCGGTACCCATACAGGAGAGTACGCAGACCTTCCGTGGCAAAGTCGTTGATATGCTGGAGGCAGCGCTCGATTACGAGAGTCTCGTCTATCGCTGCATCTTCATCCAGCTCCTCGATATCAGCTTCGCTTTGCGGTAGATATGAGCTTGAGCGCTTAGCCAAGGGAGGGCGTTCCACAGACTGATGAAAATGAAAGCTATTGCTGGGTGAGTCAGTCACATCCGTCTCACGTTCGCTTAGCCACTCGTCGACGTCGTGACGAGTAGGTGTCAGAGGCCCAACGCTGTTTCTAGCAGAGGGTCGTCTCCTGAGTGAATTGCGGGTGCGAGGCATGCTATTGAAGCCTGCAGACCTCTCAGCCATGCTGTTCTGCCTGCAGAGTGCCTCTTGTGCTTCCATGGACTTGCGGTTCATCGTGCGTTGCTCAATCTCCGCAAGTTTTTGATGGGCCAGGTTAGCCAAACGTAGTCGTTTCATAATGACAGAGTCTGCGCCTTTGCATATCACGACGACCCTACTATCTGGCATTCGGATGATCGCGGACATGCGTTTTCGTTTACTGGAGAACTCGATGATATCCAAAACCTCGTAGGTTTCGAAAACTCCTTCCGCATCCGGTCCGTTTGGGAAGAACTTCAGTGTGAGGAGATTTGCATCTCGCTCAAAGGCAAGATAGCCAAGCTCCTGCGCTGCTCGCACTAGTGCAAGCTCATCGGGACTTGATGCCTGGAACGTGATGTGATCATCTTCGCCATCTTCAGCACGTTCTGGCAAGCAAGTGTGACAAAGAGCGATAGAGAGGATGAACATGTTGGCTTTCTTCGCGAAGGGAGAGTGTGGCCAGCGCTGAAGATGCTGAATGAGTTCTTGGGTACTCTGCTCCATTTGAGTCATGGCGGGCACGGCGGAGGATCGCCATTGAGGCCACGGATGTGAAGCACTTCTGGCTGGGCTCGTCGCCGCATCGGTGCTGTTTCTGAAGTCGCGCGATTCTGTGTCTCGAGCTGCAGAGCGCGGCCGCGATTGCGACCTTGAACCCCTGGCTGGGCGCTTGCCTTTGCTGTGGCTGTGCTCGTTTTGCAGCATCATATCTTCCTTGCTGACGTCTTCTCGAAGATCAACGTCGTGCAGGAAAGCAGTGCCAGCAACAGACATCTTTCTGAATTTCATGACGTTCTCCGTGAGCGTACCAGTCTTATCGGAGAAGATATAGCCGACTTGACCAAGTTCTTCATTGATGGCCGAAGTTCTTGCCTCGAATGGCGTGTTACTCTCTGCATCGTACATGTCAAGATCCTTGTTCATGAGACCCATCTGGGACAATTTGATGACCTCTAAACTGACATAGAGCGACAGCGGGATCAGAGTATTGAACTAGGAGAAGCTCGTTAGCAGGGGATCGAAGCTCACACGGCACGGATTGTTGGTACCATGATGATGAAGCTCGTCAGCAACGGCCCAAAGCTCACGGGCGCGTCCTCGATGTACCACGCTTTCACCTCTGTGGATTTCTGCCACACCTGATAGGCGATGGAGTTGAAGAGGGATAGGAAGAGCACAAACAAAACCATACCGATGACGATCTTGTTCACGACGGCTTGCAGGGCAGGTGCTTTGATGCGCGGGTTCCGGTTGGCATTCATCCGAATCTTGCATTCTTCGCCACTGTATATGACCATGCCAATGCACTCGGGGGTGTTGCGCAGGATGCTGCCGCGGTAGATGATCTCGTTGTTTGTCAGCGCCGTGGTCTTACCATCGACGGTGACCCTTCCTTCAAACGAATATAGATCGATGTTGGGGTCTTCGACAACGACGTTCATATGCGCATTGGCCAGTGCCTCGATATCCCTTGCCATACCAGTGGTGACAGGACTTGGCTGTTTGGCCTTGAGATTCGTTTCGCCATCAAGCGCCATCGTCTCAATGTAGGCCGTGTTGTTGACTCCCCGACTGGAAAGCAGCAGTAAGTCAGCAGGCGCAGCGTCGTTGCGCTCGAGTTTCACGATGTCGCCGACCTGCAGCGAGCGCCATTTGACCAGAGCCCAATGCATTGGGCCGTCCGTGGCGGTGGAGTGGTCCGCCGCATGCTTGATGTGACTGTGGCGGCCCTTCTCAGTAGCTCCTGAACTGTGCGCGCGAAGGACTTTGGCCTTGGCGTTGTTCTCGGCCTTGTCCAGCCTGTGACGGCGGAGATCCTCGTAGCCCTCCTTGGCGATACTTAACGATACGAAGACCAGCAGAGGCACGATGGTGGTGAAGGTGCCCGTCGTCGACAGTCCTGGGATCATCTGGAGAATGGAGACACACAGGAAATAGAAGTTGGCCAGCTTCGAGAACTGGGCAAACAGCTGTCTCGGCAAGAAGTTCCAGGCATTGTATTTGGATGACCGGATGGAGTTACCGATGTATGGCTTGCCCGTCCGCTCGTCAGTCAGGGGTCGCTGCCTCGAAGTGTCCAGCGGTATATGTCGACCATCCTTGGTGGGCTGGATTTCGCGTATGCGCAGCACAGCCTTCTTGGCACTGGCGAAGGCTGCTTTCACGCGCTTAAGTGGCAGATGTCGTCGCGCCTGTTTCGCCACCCATCGCTGGTAGTTCGGAAGTGCAGACGTGCCACGCGCTGAACGAGGCCGTTTCAACACGTCGTAGTCCAGTGTGGCTGTTGCCGTCTGGGCCTGCGAGCTCGAGCTTCCTGGCGCAAATATTGGAGGTCCCAGACCCACTTCCTGTAGCTCGATTCCTGCCGGTGCTCGCGGAGGACTCGTCGTCGTAGTCGTCGTAGTCGTCGGTGTCGGTGTCAGTGTCGTCGACGCCGTCGTCGTCGTCGTCGTTGCCGCATGCGTCGTGCTCTTCTTCAACAACGAAGGCCTCAGAGACACGCCTCGCGCTCTGTCCCGGGGAGATGTGACACTACTCCTGTCTCGTTCAGGCCAATGTCCCAGATGCTCGCCCGTCTCGCCATATCTCGTCGTTGCCGGTGCTGCCGCCGTGTCCGCAGGCACGCTCGATGCCGGGAAGGAGGTGCAGCTGTGGAAGATGTCGTCGTGGGCCGTCTCATCGATGTCGTGGATCTCTGCCGCCGCCCCCAGTCGTTCGTCTTGATGGCGTGCATGCTCATAGCCCCGTTGCCTGTCGGACATGTCTGCCGCTGCTGCTACCACTGCTACCACTACTGCTACCGCTGGGCCCTGCTCAACGCGCTATGGTGCTGGTCGTGTATCGCATCGGGCACGGAGCCGTCTCTTGCGCAGTCTTGAAGACATGGACTTACATGGTGGACGCGCTCCATTATTATAAGACGAGCGCGGCGAGGCGTCAGAGGCCTGCACTTTTCGAGAGCCGTCAGTCGTTGGTAGTCGTGGGCCAAGAGCCCAGCCTTACAAGCAATCCCTCCCTCGCCCGCTATGGACCACGTAGACATAGCTCCGGTAGCAGGAGAAGCGCAGAGCGGGAGAGACAGACCTAGGTGTGCCGCAGTCAGCAGTGGACAAGGCCAGCAGGGCCAGCCAGGCAAGGTAAGGCCAGTTCCTGAACTTCCATCGTTCCTGTGCTCCGCCCTCGCACTGACGGTGATGGTTATTCTTAGCCGGATCCAGGCGCTAGAATCGACAAACAACAACAAGTCGCAGTGCTTCTTTTCACTCCCCACACGGTCCACGCTATACTATAGGTACAGTACAGGTACATGTACGGATGCTATCGCCCAGTGCAGGTACCGGTAGTAGGAGGCTACCTCGCGTTTGCCTCGGATCACCGGATCGCTGACGATGTGATGTGCACGGCGGTACGTATACGGTATACCTTACCTTACAGACGTGTGGACGGGACAGGAGACACGTTACAGGACAGGTATCCTGTGTCAAGTGTCAACTAGGAGGTAGGAGGTAGAGGGAATCGTCGTGTCGTCGGGTCAGGCACAGCGAGTTTCCACCTCCCGAGCGCGACTAGCGACTGACTCGCGTGTGCACGCGTGCCCTCTCTGTCTCTCTCTCTCTCTCTCTTCCCACTCTCGGCTGTTCCCGTCTGTGTTCTCTCTCCGGTCTCTCCAGCCAAAATGCCCAAAAATTGATGCAGGGCCACCCGCCCCGCCTCCGACTAGTCCTCTTAGACCTTACCGCCTCCCCCGCGGTCCCGCCGACGACACGCACTCTCACTTACGAGCCATATACGAGGCACTTTGGCTCCACGCAATACCACCTCCAATCTTCTCATGGCGCTGTGGAGGCGTACCTGATGGCTGATGGTTGATGGCTGATGGCTGATGGCTGATGCAACAAGAATACGTGCTCCTCTACCAATACGGATAGGCAGGTCTCTTGGCCCTCTTCGCACCAGGTCTCCGTTACAGACGCTGTGCATCACATCCTAGCCCGGACATCGCATCCTCAGCCGGAGGTACTCTACTCAGTCTCTACTGCTGTCCTGTCCTGTACATATCACCCTGTTCTCTCTCTGCAAATGACGTAGGTAGCTGTTGCAGTCAGCGTAGGTACAGTTGCCTTGCACTGGTTAGGTTGTTCTGATTGCTATTGCGGTATTGGAACCTGACCGCGTACGCAACAAGTGAACAACAACACCAGAATCCTCTCCTAGCGCCCGACCAACTGTCAAACATACCCGCTGTACTACTTGTCACCACTGCACGCCCCTTTCTTCACGTTTCTTCCATCCATAACCCTAACCTCAACCTCCTCGCGCTCCTCCAAGCCCGAACATCGTAGACCCCTGCATCAGAACCTTTTCTCAGAGCGCACATCCGAATTGAGGGTCGTGGTTCCGATTCCCGAAAGTTAGGGAACCACGGTACGAAGTTGAAATCAAAAGGCGCTAGGAGGTAATAAAGTCCCTGACAATATCAATCACAAGAGGGGCTCATACCATCAAAAACAAACCTAAGCTCAGTATGAGCCTCAAAAGTGTGCAGTAGCGAGGCGATGGGATTGGACTTGGCCTTCTTGGGAGGTCTTGGGAGGTCAAAGTCCAGACTTTTTCGTATTGCTGTGACGTGCGTCATCTCTCAGTACCTTAGTACGTTACATTATACATACAGCCTGATACAGGTCTTACCTGTTTCTTGTGACGAGCAGGCGGCAGGGAGTGATGGAGGTATTGGGAGGGCAGACGCAGCTGTGATGAGTTGCACCATCTGTTCAGTCCTTTTCTTTTTTTTTCTCGATCGTTTGTGTCGTCCCGGTAGAAATACCTGAAAACTGAGGCAAGGTAGAGCCTTAGAGGTAGGTACATGCAGGTGTAGTAGGCAGAATTGCAAAGTTTCCTAATCGAGCATGTTCGTGCCACGGTAGGGAAGGTCAAGTCAGGTAGACAGACATATTGGCCTGAGGCCTCAATATCACACACTTCTTCTCACAATTTCTTCACCACGACCAGCACCGCTCTTATCGTCATGTCCCTATACCACGAGTCGGCGGAGATTCTGGCGGCCTCACAGAAGAATGGCGGGTCTCTCAAGTCTCTAGTGTTTGGCAAAAAGACGTGGAAAAGCGACCCCAAGGCCTTGTATGCCTTGACGACAGAAACTGCAAAATGGAGCACAATCCTCTCCGAAGTGCTCGAGAAGAGCGGACTTCTCAAAATTGAAAAAAAGGTAACATTCCAGATTCGGAAAGCTTCAAAAGCTGCTGATTCATGCTTACCTACGTGTAACTTACTGTATGGGAATTCCAGCTCACGCCGATACTGGCACTCTTGCTTGTCCACGATCTTTTCCTGGCGAAAAAAGGCATTGCACTGCCCGCGACACATGGCTTGCACTCCAGCATCAGTCGACACAAGGCCCGGCTTTCAGCCGAACTAACAAAAGCGCGCATACGACGAGGCTTTGGATCACTAGATGATCTCCGAAAGGATGTCGAAGGACGTGCCATCTCGCACTCGAGCTCCGATGGGAGCGAAATTCCGACTCGGCATCCGAGATGGATTCGCATCAACACTCTCAAAACTTCACTCGAAGAAGAACTCAAGGAAGATACTGGTGCATTCTCCACCTTCACGCAAGCCAAGTCTTTGAAAGAGATCATTCAAGCGGCCCCAACCAGTCGACTCGTCTACATTGACGAAAATATCCCCGATTTAGTCGCAATTGCTAGTCCCGAAGAACCCACCACTTTCAAAGCCTACCGTTGTGGAAAGCTGATTCTGCAGGAGAAAGCTTCCTGTTTCCCGGCATATCTCCTCGACTACCACTCCTCACCCGAGGGCGAGGCAGGCGATGTGATTGATGCCTGCGCCGCTCCGGGGAATAAAACCACGCACATCGCCGCTATCGTTCGTAGTCACAATGGCACCGGTCGCGTCTTTGCCTGTGAACGCGATCCCGAACGGAGTAAGACGTTGTCGAAAATGACCAAAATCGCCGGAGCCGATGAGATTGTGACGATCAAAGCCAAACAGGACTTCACGAGATTGGACCCGACAAAAAAGGAGTTCGCCAATGTGAAAGGACTGATACTGGATCCGAGTTGTTCGGGCAGTGGAATTTTCGGCAGAGATGAAGGGACGATTGTGGTCAGATTGCCCTCATTGACTGCCATCGAGGAGAATTTGCCAAAGGGAAAGAAGAGGAAACGAGGTGGCAAAAACGACAAACCACAGGAGCAGAAGCCGCCGGCAGAACTTGAAACACAGGCTGCTGCTGTCGAAGAGGAGATTCCCGACGACGAGAATCAGGATGATGAGAAGTTGCAAAAGAGATTGGAAAACCTTGCGGGATTTCAACTCAGCATCATCAAGCATGCCATGGCTTTCCCGAGTGCCGAGCGGATCACCTACTCTACATGCTCTCTACACGGCCAAGAGAACGAGGAAGTGGTCGTCAAGGCTCTCCTATCCGATATCGCCAAACGTCGAGGCTGGCGTATATTGAAGCGAAGGGAGCAAGTGGAAGGAATGCAGAAATGGCACAAAAGAGGCGATATCCAAGCCGTAGGGCAGAAGCGAAATGGAGATGGCGCGAAGTTGGAGGTGGCAGAAGTCGCAGACGCGTGTATCCGATGCGATAAAGGCGGTGAAGACGGGACTATGGGATTCTTTGTTGCGGGATTCGTGCGGGATGAATCCTCGGCGATGAATGTTTCCGAAGAGGATCACGCTGCTGAGGTATCCGTTGAGCTTGAGGATAACGAGGCTGAATGGGGAGGTTTCAGCGAAGATGAGTCGTGATCATGATATACCTAGGTAGATGAGGTGCCGTACTGTAGATCATAAGACAGGCGAGTGAAAAATCGAAAAAGTCATCCCGTCGTGGGTTCGTGCTCACGGCGGTAGCAAAAAATCGTACACCGAAAAACGTTATCGATACTGTGGTATCTCCATGTGCATGACCCGTCATCTGCGGGCCATGTTTGAATACCTGTACGAGAAACATTTACGTTTCCCACGCAGCTTGCACTCTCGTAAGCTCATTCAAGCAATTTGCAAAGTCTACACGCACGCAGATACCTGTGGCTCTTGGCTTGAGCTTTTATGGGCTCTTCGTTTTCTTGGCAATCAGTGAGCAGGCTTCATACAATCAAAAAATCTGTTAAATCGTGGCAATCAAGGTTCTTCGTTTCGTTGCTGCTGTCTAGGCGGAGGCTATCAAGCACACATTGCCCGGTCGCTCACCAAGTCGAAAGATGTCGACGGGTGGGGGAAAATCCGCATAATCCGCTGCTGTGTCTGTCCCTTTCAGGAAGCCTGTCCTAACGCCATAGATACCATCGTCACTGATGCTGCTTTTGCATTCCGAATCCCGAATCGCTTAGTCGCCGCCAGTGATCTCGCGTGCTATCGCCACTCATTAGTGTCCGCCTCGTATGCTGCTGTCCTGTATGGAGCTGGGAGGGTATCCGTCGTCCGGGATACTCGACTGGGCGCTACTCACTGTAGATCTTGCACGCGCTGTGACCGACAACCTGCTTGATAACACCACGCTCCTCCAAATCTTTCAAGGCCTTGCGGGCGAGCGAGCCGTTGATCTTTAATCTGTCCACGAGGACGGCGACGGTGATGAGGCGGTATGACTGGACATCCTTGTTGAGCTTATCGGTGGTGGCCTTGTCGAAGATGACGGCGTGGTTGGCCTTGTCCTTGACTGAGAGACAATGGTGTGTTAGTATGCGCCATTGATGGGCCGAGTCGGCGGGTGGTGGTGCTGGTGGTGGCGGTGATGGAGAGAATCGTGTGCGGCTATGGTTGCGATGTGGCGATTACCTACCCTTGCCCTTTGACCACTTCTTCTTCGCTTTTCCTCCTGCTGGTGCCATTGTGATGTGTTGTGCGGTGTTGGTGGTGAAGGGTGGTGAAGGTGAAGTCAACGTCAACGTCGATTCACAAGTGTGTGTGCGTCGACGCCAAGTGTCACGTGCACATCAGATCTCTCTCTCTCTCTTTCGGAACGCGTCGCCTCTTAGACTCAGGGTTTCCTCCACTCACCAACTATGCGACTCCACTGCTACTACTGCTACTGCTACTGCTGTTACAGGTAAGGTGAAGTAGGAATCATGTACCACCTCGTCAAGTCCGTATACCTGCACGCGACCAGCAAGGAGGAGTACTCCATCCTGCTGCTCGGTCTCGACAATGCCGGCAAGACGACGCTGCTGGAACAGATCAAAAGCATGTACAATGCCGAGTACGATGCGAAACTGAACACTGTGCCGACTGTGGGCCAAAACGTCAGTCTGATCGATCTGCCGGAAATGTATTTGCGAATATGGGATGTTGGTGGACAGCACACCTTGCGAGGACTGTGGCAGTCGTACTACAGCAGTTGCCATGCCATTGTCTTCGTGATCGACAGCACCGACATTGGGGACGCGGATATCTCGCGGCTGTCGGAAGACACCACCAAGGCCAACGACGAGGGCAGATTGGACGAGTGCAAGCTGGTTCTGGAAGACGTGCTGCAAAACGACGTTACGGAGGGTGTGCCGATATTGGTTCTCGCGAACAAGCAGGACCGCGAGGACTGCGTCGAGGTCGTGCGCATCAAGGAGGGACTGGTCAAAAAGGTCTTCGAGGGTGAGAAGGGCCAGAATGTGAGAGACAGTCGAGTGCTACCTTTGAGTGCATTGACTGGGACTGGTGTCAAGGAAGCCGTCGAGTGGCTCTGCAGCAGAGTCAAGTGGAACAAGGACGCCAGGCCACCGGTGATGCGGTGATGGGGCCTGTTCACCTGAGCCTGATCCGTAGCAAGGACGTCGCTGCAAATGGTCATTGTCACGATCGATCTGGTAGCCATTACTGCTTACACCTACTTCCGACTTGTGGCTCGGTTCGAGTGTTGGAATGATCACTTTTCTCTTTACAGCTTACGCTGTACGATCAGTATCAAGCGATCCACCTAGTCGGTTTCCAGAGACGGTCTTTCTGCTTTTGACTGCATGCCGCGAGGCAGGCATGACGGAGTAAGGTAGTCTTACACCAGATCGTGGCTGCAAGCTCACACCGCGATTCCACTCGATTTCCCGTAAACCTCAGTATATCCCTAAACTTAAGGTACAACATCCTCCCTTCACGCACATTGGGCTGCTCTCCCACATTCATACTCGTTCCGCCGTCGGCTCTGGAACACCAGCAGCGCGAGTTTCTCTCCTTCGTCCCGCCCCGCCAAGGTTGTTAGTATCGACATAGCCATGAAACGACCTGGACTTGCGACTGTGCAATCTAGTGGCACTGATACCGAGTCGGCACATTCACGGGCCACCAGCCAGCTCGGTAGACCATTCGAGGACGTCGGAGATGTGTATAAGGAACCCGATGAGGTGGGCGAGGAGAGAGTTCGCGAGCTATATCAGTGAGAATATCAGAGAGACACCGCCCTTCAAGGTATGCTGACCTCAGCGTCTCTCCGCATCAGATATTACCGCCCACCTAATGAAGCCAAGGAAGAACTACACTACTTAGCATATGCAGACCCCGTTCTACAAGCCCATGCTCAACTGGCCGCCCTCAGGTTTGACGTTCAACGTGCCATGATTTGCTTGGTGGGCAAGAACAGTAGCTATTTTGTTGCCGAGGCTACCAAACCAATCGACCTTGGTAAGTGAAGTCCAAACCGACCAATGCCCGGTACAATTCACCAGACAGATGGCCATACGTCGTATCTGCGGATCTCATGCTGACAGTGTTCAGAGGATTCCAGCCGATCGGAAATTGCGGATGACGGTCTATAGTTTGGCAGCATCAACATGTCGAAGAATGGTGGCCTATTAGAAAGGACACTTGCCCAAGAGCCAGAACTCGTGAACGGCGAAGAGATCCCAGCTCATTATGAGGTCCTGGATATGTCTAGAGACCCTCGATGGAGCGCACATGATTTCGTCTGCTCCGAACCAAGCTTCAAATACTACTGCGGGCTTCCCCTGCGAACCGACAACAACATCAACATCGGCGCTCTGTTTCTCCTTGACGACAAGCCCAAAGTATCGTCCAGTCAAGCGCGATTGAGAGGTGCGTCGAGAAGCTAATAATATAACTGACAAACAGCTGATTTGCCTTGCAGTGCTGTTTACCATTGCGGCCAACATAATGTCGCACATGAAAACGGTCAAAGAGGCTAACGAGAAGAGACGTGCAATCTACATGAATATGTGTATGGCAGACTTCCTCAACCCGGAACATCGTTTCCGAAGTCGACAGATGAGACCGCCCAAGTTCAGCTCTCCGCCTGACGTTGATAACAACAGCCGGGTAGTCGAACCTCACCAGACTGGCCAAGACGTGCTGTCTTCTCGGCCTATTGCTGAGAAGGGCACCTCAAATCCTGATCGGAGACTGAGTGTACCGCATTGTCCCACATCACGCAGCGTTACTTTTGTCAGCGACGAGCAACTGTGTCGTCGGCGCGACTTGAGCAGATCACCTGGTCCCACACCACGCACCGATAGCTGTATCAGCAACGAGCAGCACGAGTACTTCGGACATAAGCACATCGCGCCCCTCCTGGATACAACAGAGCCAGGATTGCCATCACAGCATAAAGACACTTCAACGGGCATACTTGGCGAGGAGAAAGAATACGGTCTTGATGCTGATCCCGACAGAAGTCGCGGTCGGCCCCCAGGGCGATCATCACGCTCATCAACGTCTTCCATGAGCCCAAAGCCTTCGAAGAATGTCACGGAAGCAGATTACCAACGCACTTTCGATCGAGCTGCTTATTTACTCCGTCAATCTTTGGACCTATCTGCCCATGGCGGAGGCGGTGTAGTACTGCTTGATGCCAACGCAGGGGCTGAGAGTATGGATCCGGTCAGCAAGCGTCGTGACTCCAAGTCTGGAGAGATCAATACGGCAGCCAGACGACCTGGAGCAGGGCCTCGTCAGAAGTCGGAAGCTGGATCCAAGGCAGACCGGTTCGACTCACTACACAATGGACTCATGCAGGAGCGTGTGGTCTTGGCCACCGCTTCAATCAGCGATTCCGCCGAGCACATCAAGAACTTCGGGCGAGCGGACTCGACGTGGAAGGTGACGTTAACGCCCCCGGAACTTCGCAGAATGTGCACAAGGCATCCCCGGGGCAAGCTCTACAATATCCCAGAGAGCGTTGGCACTACGCTGTTCGACTACGAAGGACGCGCTGTCGCCGGTCGTCTGTCACTCAAGCTCTATGAGCTCGTCTTGCTGCGCAGGCAGTTTCCAGAGGCCAAACAGGTGATGTTCGTGCCCATGTACCATGCCAACCTCAACCGATGGACTTCGTGTTTCGCTTTCACCAATTCTCGCTACCGAATTTTCGACTACGCTTTGGACTACTTGCCTATGCTGTCATTCACGAATGCCGTCAAGGCCGAGATTGTCCGTATCGCTACAGCGTTCACCGACCAGCAAAAAAGCCTCTTACTCAACTCCATGTCTCATGGTCTGTCCACTTAACGGCACGTTTGGACACCCGCTGATCGGCGACTAGAATTGCGCTCACCTCTTCACGGTTCAGTCGCTACCTTGGCTCACCTTGCGCTCGCTATGTTAACGTGGGCATCTAGGCATATTGGCGTCTATAGAGTTCTTACAAGACACGGATATGGACGCGTTTCAAGCTACCTGCATCAACACCATGGATGCGTGCGCCCACACCCTCATAGATACCGGTAAGCTAGCTTTCCTTCACGATGTTTGCACTTAGCACTCGACGAGCTCACACAGCCGCAGTGGCAATGGTCCTCGACCACAACATCGTCAAGACTTCGCAACAATCACAAGACTCCAATGAAAAATCTCCAAGTATGCCTGGTCGAGCGAGCGTAAGGGACGGGCCATTGTTCGCCATCGATCAAGATTGTGACATTGCGCTGATCACAGAAGAAGTCATGTGGGTGCCCTTTGTAAATTGTGTCTGCGAGACATGCCCGACCATGTGCTAACGTTTCCTTAGCGATGGTGAGCACATCACATGGAAAAGAACGGAAAGAGAGTATTACGTTGACTCCTCATAGGCCTCGTGGCCGGGAACGCGACGAAATTCGACGACACAACAATTGAAATGAACGCAACGCTGGAACTGGTCAATGGAGATTTGTCGATGCGGAGAATTCTACAAGCAGTTCGACCTGAGGTGGAACTCATCTTGGATGTACAGGCGCCAACTGACTGGTCTTTCTCAACGCACCCCGGTGCTATCAGACGCATTGTCTTGAATCTTTTCGGTAGGATGCAGCAATTTGCGCTTGGAAATTGAGTTTGAAAATTCTAAGTGATTATAGCCAACTCGCTCAAGTACACGAAGCACGGCTACATCATGGTTTCGTTGCAACGGGCACATATTGGACACGAGGAGGCCGCTGACTCCAGGTTCACTGAAAAGAATAAATCAGACATCATCAAGCTCATAGTCACCGACACTGGTCAAGGCATGTCTCCAGAATACCTGCGCGCCAAGGTGTTTGCGCCTTTCACACGCGAAAATGTGAGGGCCGCCGGTGCTGGGGTCGGACTCAGAATCGTCCGCTCAATCGTTGGCTCGCTCAAAGGTGAGATCGACATCAAGTCGATTGTGAACGTGGGAACCATAGTAGTCGTCAGCCTTCGTAAGTCCATCCGGTTCCCCGACAAAGAATCATATCTGTGGTTACCATGCTGATTCTGTGAACAGCAATGAAGAAAGCAAGGTCGATTGATATCGCTCTGCCGAATAACCTACCTACCACGCCAGGAGGATCGGAAATCACCCTTATCGCACGCCGTCAGCAACGCCTACGAGATCCCAATATATCTACACTCCAGAACTTGCAAGATCCGCCACACGCCGCTCTCTACGTGCCCACCCTGGAGCATAGCAACTTTAGCCAGACTCAAGGCGCACATCATGTCTACGCTGCGCTTGTTCAATATTTGACGAATTGGTTCAGGTACCCAAGATGATGCTCACAACTCATCTACGTGAGCCGCCTGCTGATCTACCCATAGGCTTCCAACTTCGCAGAATTGGGACGTTGACTTGTCAGCGAAGCTTCTATTCGTGGATGAGATGCATCTTCCGACTCTACTTGCGGGGCGCCCAGACTACTTGGGCACACAGTCGCCACAAAGCATCATCATAATGTGCGCGAATCCTGCCAGACAAGCTGTCCTGTCACAGGACATCAAGAGCCGTCGGGTAGAGTTGATCTCCAAGCCTTTTGGGCCTTACAAGCTGGCGCGTACCATATGCAGAGCATTGGAAAAATCATGTGTGCCAATGAAGACGGAAGAGTTCAAACAGAAGCACGAACAGACTGTGGTCATGACACCAGACTCATCAAGGTCTGCAGTCTCCAGCGCCACTCATAATTCAGGCATAACGAGGCGCAAACACGAAGTCAACGCTGGGTCGCAAGTAGAGCACCTCGCCTCCCAGACCCCGCCAGCTCGTGCTGTCTCGACACAGATTGATGAAACCCATTTTAGAGAAGTCACCACTGTCCGCAGCGCAAGCCACATTCATGAAGTCGAAGCTGGAACGGATGGTGGTTTCCCGTTCCCGGCACACGACGTACAACCTCATCGCTCGACGCCTCCTCCGAACCTACCCGGAGACGACCCTAAAACGCCAGAAAACCGTCCAGCCTACCACCTAGCTCCTCCAGGAGCTCGCAGACTAGGAATCCTCGAGAGCCGCCCAGCTGCAACTCCAACAGCCTACGGCCGCGCGCAACCGCCCACGACTGTGGACAGGATCGATCTGTGGGACAGGCAACCTGGTGCACAATCTCGAAAGCCTCGCCTGCTACTTGTGGACGACAATCGGCTGAACCTCCAACTTCTTCACACCTACCTCTTGAAAAAAGGCCACGATAGTGCCTTGATCAGAACGGCAGAAGATGGACGGCAGGCTTTGGATATCTACCGCGAATTCCTAGCGGACATTGTCTTTATGGATCTCTCTATGCCGGTCATGGACGGTCTGGAAGCCACACGCGAGATTCGAGCCTTTGAAGCACGGAGAGCAGATGACACTAGTCCCACAAATCCGGGTGGATCGAGGACTTGCACGCCTGCGATCATCATCGCTTTGACGGGGAATGCCAAGTCGAATGACCAGACGGAGGCTTTCAATTGCGGAATTGACATGTACATGACAAAGCCGGCGAGTTTGAAGCAGATTAGTGTCCTTTTGGAGAATTGGAGGGAGCGTACTTGATCACCATCCGAGAGCCATGAGGAACAAGGTCGGGAACGTCCGGAACTGACTGCTGCACGAATTGGTCTACCTAGTGTTGGTATGAAGGTACCTCCTACCTATAACTTATGAAATTGATGCCGTGGAAGGGGATAGATACTACCTGATCTTCACATGCTTGACACCCTATCCGTTATCCGTCATCTGTGTCTCTTGATGAAGAAATGCAGTAAGTAAGGTAGTAAAGAGTAGTTCAAGCGCGACACTCTGAGACTTGAAAATTTTCGCTTTTTTCATAATATACCTCATGTATATATATATGAATGGCTGGCTGGTTGGCTGGCTGGCTGGCTGGCTACATGCCGCTCGCATTGACCCATGTCGACTCAATCCGTTCTTTGGGAAGCAGTAGCCATGCCATGCATGCATGCATGAGTTTCGTGTCTCGTACTATTTTTCTTTTTTTTTCTCTCTCTCCTTCTGTCGTTTCTATTGGGCGGGCACTGAGCAGGTTTGCCTGCCTGCCTGCCTCACATCTTATCGAATACCTCCACCCCCGTGATACCCCTGTGGGGATGGCCATGATATCTGGGACCATCGTCCTTGTCCGTATCCTCCTCGCCCTTGTCGAATTCGGAGCTCTGCCATGAGGATGAAACCCGGTCCGCCGTGACGCTGTGCATCATGTCAAAGCTACTGGCAGTCGAACTTGCACTGGGACTGGTCGATCTGCCTTCTCTCGGTCTGGGCACGAAATCAGCAGCAGCAGCAGCAGCAGCAGCAGGAGAAGACATGACGGCCTCGGGATGCTGCGACATCTCGCCCACCCACACTTGACCTCCGTTGCCCGCTTTCGTCCGTGCGACTTCACGCTCTTCGAGAGCATAGCGCTGCTGGTTCAGACCTAGGTTGCGTCGATGCCACTCGCCAATGAACATGCCCTCTGGATCAGACTCGTCACGCACTTTGGTCCACTGCTTCAGGCCGTCGCCGAGCATATCCTGGATCTCATGGGCGGCGGTATAAGTGAAGTTCTTGGCATAGTGTGGCTTGCCGCCCATATCGCGCATGAGCCACTCGAACGCTTCATAGTATCGGTCCCGGCACGGAGGATCCTGGAGGTAGGCGCGATAGAGGGTGGCATTGAGATAGAGAGTGGGGCCGTTTTCAGAAGTGTTGTCGAGAAAGGGTCGAACACGATCCGGGTCTCTCGTCGTGTCACTGACTCGCACTTCAATGGGGCAATGGACGTAAAGACCTTTGCAGGAAAATGGTATCTCGTGCTTCGACTTGGACTCTCCATTCAGCCACGCCGAGAGACGCGAAATGGCTTCTGGGCCATCGCGAAGCGGGAGGGCCCATTCGTTGACGAATTGGCTATACAGGCAGTTCATGAGCAGACCGGTCTGCAAAGGCTCGACGGCTGTGGTAGAGCTGCCCGTCTGGAAGCCGTATTGCATGCCAAAGACGAACCACTCGACCCAAGGCAGAATACAGGGCACGTAATTCGACAGCCACAAGAGGCTGTGGTAGGTATGAAAGCCCACAGAGCCACCATACCAGCTTTCGACTGCCGCACGTTCTGGTTTGCTGGTCTTTTCTGCAGACCATTTGATGGCACGTTTCATGTACGGCATCCACCACACGCGCGTGAACTCCTTCTCCGTCCACAGCGTGTTGTCCCAAGTGCGGAGAATCTCATCGAGGGGGAGCAGCGTTTGTGTCCACTCGATGTTGCACGCGTCGGTCATTTCGAACTCGACTTCGACGATGATGCCTAGGGCCCCCAGTGACACGAGCGCAGCACGAAACAGCTCCTGATTCTCATCCTTGGAGCATCTCACCGCTTGGCCGTCTGCCAGCACGACCCGTAGACTCCTCACCGAGTCACTGAGCAAGCCATGCCGCAGGCTGCTCCCGTGAGTCGCAGTGGCGATGGCGCCGACGATACTCTGCTCGTTAATGCTGCCCAAATTGGGCATCGTCAGGCCATGGCGATTCGCCTCCTCGTTGAGGTTGCGCAGACGAATGCCGCCTTCGACCAACAGTGTCTTCTTCGCGCGGTCCACGTGCAGCACTTGGGCGTACCCGTCGAGATTAACCATCCAGCTGCTCGTACACGTGAGATCACTCGGCGAGTGTCCACAACCCACCACGACTATCCTGCGTCGACAGATTCGCGCCAAGTTCACCACCTTTTGGATCTCGGCGAGGGACCGAGGACGGATGTAGAGCTCGGGCCGTGACTGGAACGTCTTCGCCCAGGTGTGATGGACATGTCTGTCGGCGGCGCGGAAGGGGACATCGGGGGCGGTGTGCTGCACTTCCCACTGTATCTTCTCCATGGTGGAAGATGTGGGCGGGGCGGAGCAGGATGGAGGGCGGGGGAGGGAGGCTCGGTGGATGAAGGTGGGAGGCTCCGTTGGTGCGAGAGGCGAGCTGGAGATGGGACAGCAGTAGTAGATCGATGATGGGGTCATATGATGATCCGCAGCTGCGAGGCTCTGGTGATGGGCATACATGTGGCCATGACGACCCGTATTTGATCCAGCGCGGTCATGTTGTGAGTAAGAGTGTGAGTGTGAGTGAGTGATTGGTGTGCGTTGTGTGTGTGCTGTGAATGTATCTCAGGTAGTGGTACTGGTACAAACGTAGATCAAGGGTGATCACGTTACTTTTCGTAAATATAACTCAAGACAGCGTGACTGTGGTGCCTTGCAGGTACAGTACAGTAGACAGTACCTTACAGTACAGTACAGTTCGAAAGGCTCAAAAGCAGAAACGCAGAGTGTAGTGTTTTTTTATTCTTGGATTTCTCACGCCTTCCCATCCCATTACCAGAATGGGTGGGTGAACAGAGGCTATGCGCACACACTACTGCTGTGACGAGGTAACTACGAAGCAACAATCGATGAACTTCCCTCCCAACTACCGCTCCAGTGCAATATCAATCGTACTTGTCCAATATCCTTTCCAACCACAATTCCCCCGAGACATCCGTCTCTCTTGGGTATCCAAACCAAGTGCGCAGCCGTCCGATTGATACGCCTCCCCAAAAGCAGAAACATGTGCTTATAGACTTCTCCCATCCTTCGCCGTCATTGCACAGATCTAGTGATCCGCGCTCGCTCGCATAGCGGCATCCGTGTGAACGCCGTGAAATTAGACATTGTCGTAAAGCTTTGCACCCAGATGTGGTGTTTCCTATTCCCTTTTCTCCTCAGGCTCCCTCTCTCGCCCTGCACGACAACCAACATAAAAAAAAAGCTTTGTAAAGCATCCACAAAAATTTCGGGGTATATTATGAATTATAAGTCTTCAACGCCAATCAGGGTGCGAGAGCCATGCATATCGGCCTATCAGTGCCTATGTCGTAATCGTTCAGTATTGCCTCTCTTTCTCTCTCTCTCTCTCTCTGTCTTGGCAAATTTGTCTCATTGTTGCTGTCCGAGATTGTTGGGATCGACGAAGCCGAACATTTGCTGGCTTTGCATGTCAAATCCATTGCCAGGGCTCTGATGTTGAAACATGTCATCCTGCAGCTGCTGCATTTGCCCGGGGCTCGTGTACATCTTAGACTCGTTGTAGAGCATGCCATTCTCTTGAGATGTCTCGTGTGATGGCGTCGAGAAGGAGACACCGCTGTCCTGATGCTGGCCAGACGGTGATTGGTAGTTCGACCCATTTTGCTGCGATGGGCTGGGATAACTCATCTGCTGTTGCCCATTCCCGTTCATGTTGCCGTCCTGACCGTTGCCGGAGGAGGGTGACTGAAAGTTGAACATACCCTCGGGCATTGGCGAGTGGAACGACTCCTCGTTCATGGGACTTCGAAATGGCAGTGCGATCTGCTTGTTGAAAGACTCTGACAGATACAGATCATCGCTACCAAGTTGCGCTGACTCGTTCGGTGTGCCGAAAATATCAGCACTCTGGCTTCGTCCCATACCATTCAACGGCGGGGAGTGGTCGGCAATAACGGGATCACCGTGACTGGTCATCGATAGCGGTGTGGTGCTGGTGCCAAGCATGTGCCCCGAGTCGACAGTCAGAAATCCATTGCTCATGTGCGGATTAAAGTGCGTGGGCTGCAAACCTTCCCCTGAAGGTGCCTGGGAGAAGAATCCAGGAGTGCCGAATTCGCTCGGTGAGTTGGCAGTGGTTGCAGACAGGGGTCCATTGAATGGCATGCCCATGCTGTTGTAGTTCTGAGACGTGTCGATGCTGAGATGATTCGGTCCAGCACCATTGGCGAAACCTTGCGGGATCTGATGCTGTGGTACGGGAGCAAAGATGTTGGGGTCTTGCATCGGTACCGTCGCGGGCTGGTTCTCTTCCTGAATGAGGAACGACGGCATGGGCATCTGTCCGCTGCGGAACATATTGAAGTCAATCGCCGCGGGAACAGAGCGACTGCGCTGACGCTTGTGGCCACGAGGTCCCGGAGGCCCCATCATGCCCGCGTGAGGGTCCTGGGGTGGGAACAGGTGCATGCCGCTATGTGGGTGCATCATGTGATTGGGCTGACTGGCAGGTCGGCCCATGGGTGACACGGGCGCAGATACTGCGAACGTGTTGGGGTCAAACACGTTGTGTCGGTTCTGGTATGCCTCCAAAGAAACGAGCTTTGCAAGTTGACCACTCAGCACCTTCGAAGGTCCACCCAACTGATGCACCAAGACCTGGCTGGCCTGCTGGTCTTCGGTGAAGTCGCCACATTCGTAGAAGCCACCGCTTCCAGAGCTGTCCATGTAGAATTTGGGCGGTCGGGTGAGTTCGATGATCAGGCCACCGGACCTCTGCGAAGCACCTTCCGCAGCTGCGAGAACATCGCCCTGCTCCAGTGTGATGTTCTTAATCCATGCGAAGGGATACTCAATTTTATAGCCGGCCGAGTCGTTGTTGATGTAATAGGTGACGCAAGCCTTGTCAGGCGAATAAAAGATGACCAAGTCCATCGTGCTCTGGCCTACTCTGCGCCATGTGCCAATGGAAAGCGATCGGCAACAATGGAAATGCTGAATGACCACTTTGCTAGATGTGGTGTCGGGATTAAGCATCAAGCCTCCCGATCCAAACGGCCCAAATCCAGGACCGCGGCCCAGCATTCCCGGGGAGAGGCCTTTTCCTGGAGCATATGCTTGCATCGCGAGGTACTGACGCATCGACTCGGGAATACTATCGCAATCCTCGCCGTTCTCTATCGACCGCTTTGCAATGTTCTTGATCTTGGCGCGCCTGTTGTGTGTGTGTATTAGCAAGATACCGCAGACTCACGTGCGAGCGATTCCGAACGATTGCGAGCGTACCTGTTTTGAAACCAAATCTGCACCGAACGCTCGGTCATGTTGATTTCCTGGGCAATCCTCTCGCGTACTAAAGCAGTAGGTGTGGGGTTCTTGTTGAATTCCACCTCGAGTGTCATCAGCTGGTCCTGAGTAGCTCTCTGCCGCTTCTGGTTCTTTTGTTGTTGGGTGAGCGTGCTCTTCCGCGGTGGGCGACGAGACGCATTGTTGTTGTTGTGGACGGAGTTGCTGCGCTGAATGCTCTCCGGTGATGTGGACGAGGCCATGCTGGACTTGCAGTCCTGAGGTGTCTGTGCTTGGTGGACAGGCGGAGGAGGGAGTGCCATTACATCGGCCATGGTCGCGTTGTGTATGATACAGTATAGGAGATTTTCGTCTATTCGTGGCACAGCCTGGGTGAAATGTGCTCTTTCTCAAATGATATCGGATGCGTTCGTGGTCCCGGTCGCTTAGTGGAAGCCCCGATTGGACGAGAAGAATGAGGCCACGGGCCTAGATGAAGGGATGGATGGATGGATGAAAGCTGAGGTGTGGCGGTATTACACCCACACTCGACAGCACAGGGGGAAAACCGACGCCGGGACGGAAGGTGCAGGCAGGCAGGCGGGCAGGTGGGTAAGTAGGTAATGTAGGTAGGCCACTGGCTCGCTGCGTGTCGGTATGTCGGTCGTCGCTCGTGAACGTCGCTAGGGACGGGTCTCCGGCGGCGCAACAGGGGAGGAAGAGAAAGTGAAAGACTAGTAGTAAGCAGCAGCAGAAGAAGTCGCTCGGCGCCGGAAGGAGTGACAGCGGCCTGAGAGAGGCAGTGAAAGAAGCAGAGTAGGTAAGGTGCTGTAGTTCAAAGGAAGGGCACGAGACAAAGCATCAGAAGGAGTGATGATGCTAGGCTCAAAGGTGGGTGTGGGCAACAATGCGGGTGATGATGATGATGATGATGGAAGAAGGTGTGAAGAGGGAAGATGGACAAGCGAGGAGTAGAAGCGGGCGGGCGGGCGATATGGGGACGAGAGCAGAGTTGACGGTGCCAGGTGGGTGGAGGTCTGACGACGAAATTAGATGAGACTGCGGGCAAAGGGTAGGCAGGCGCAGGGCAGAGAAGCAACGAGAGTGTATCGGAGGTAGAGCGACGGGAGCGATGAGACGAGCGAGCGGCGGCGGCGGCGGCGGAGAAAGAGGACGGGAGGGCATGCCGGTTGTCCCAAGCGTCCTCTCGTCCTCTCACCCTCTCTCACTCTCTGTGCGCTCTCTCTCACTCTCGCGCGCGCGCAGTCTCGCTCCCGTCTCTCCCACTCCCTCCCTCCCTGCACAGACCCGCGCGTGAAGTCGACCCCTTGATGCCGCACCTACATATCGACTAGTACCTACACAGACACACAGACACACATACACACACACAAGCCCGCCCGGCGCCCACAGACACCCACACACTCACACACGGACACACACCCACCGAACTAGGCTACGCCGCTACGACAACCTTACACGGTCGGGCGATGGACCGTGCGCTGCGCATCCCAAACCAGCTAGACACCAACTCTAGCGTGCCCAGACCCAGCTTGCAGCAGGCCTCATCCTGGGACGCGGCTGACGGCTGTCCCTGGCGCTGACCTCCCCCCCCCAAACGCGTCGATCCTACGCACCTCGTTCACGTCGGCCAGTAGTAGTGCAGACTGTGCAGTGGTGGTGTGCTCATAGGCTGAAGCGCGCTCACCGCAACAACAGCACGCGAGAAGGGGGGAGGGAGACACTTGGCACAGGGTGCCGACTCGCACGACAACAAGACTGCTGCTGGTCTTGCTCTCCCATCGTACTCGTGGCGAGACCATGTCCTGGGGCACGCTCACATATCAAGCAGGCGCAGGTATGCTAGCGAAAGGAGGTGCAGCATATGTATTTGATGTATCGACGGTATGCCTCCACAACAGGGCGTAGGAGCAAAAAGGTAGTCCATCCGAGCCAACCGTATCCCATTGCGCACGATTTTAGCTTTTTGCTCTCTGACCTGCTCTTTCAGGCCAGCGCAATGCTGGAGACCGCTGTATACTTTTGCAGTCGTTTTCTACTTTCAGACTACTATACTGAGTATACTCTAGTAGAGCGTCCAGGATGGCTGCCGCGGACTGCCGCAGGAATACTTGTTATAATAATATTGATTTCGCACGTGCAGTATTGTAGGAACAGTGCGCGCGCGCCTTGGTGGACAACAGCCCGAAGTCGTGAAGCGCGCTTGTGTCACTGCACCGGCTGCGAGCTACTGGCTGCGGCGCTTCTCTGGGGCCGTTTCCTGTGGTCCTATGCATGCTGCTCCTGTACTGATGGATCCATCATCCAAGCTACGTGTATGCATAGACAGGTCAGGTGATGCATTGTGAGTAGTAGCGTGTCGGCCTAGGATGCACCGGAACGCCGCACGCACGCACGCACGTACGCACGCGTCGTACAACAGCCACGATTCCAAGGCGGTGCTTGCCGCGGCACACCAGTTTTTTTGGTACCTGTCAGGACTCAGGTACCAAGTTGCCAACGCACTGCCAGCCAGTCAGAATGGTCACATGCTGGAGCCTGGAGTATGTATGTACATCTATCAACACCATCTCCTGCCGCCGTCGTACCAAGCACCAGAAGCAGCAGTAGAAGTCGACAACACGCTAGAATCACAGAGCTGGGATCCTGTGGGAACACCACTACTAGGAGGCACTGGGCTGGGGTTCACACAGACTTTCTGCCTCGGGAGAAGAAGGCGGCGCGCAGATCACAGGCCCCTTTGTAGCTACTTTTTTTTTTTTTCAGACTCCGGACTCTCTCACTCACTCACTCATCGCCCCCATGTGAAGTCAGTGTCAGTGTTCGATGTGTCCGATTGCCGGGGAAGGTCCTGTTGCATCGATCCTAGAATCCCGGGTAGGCCATGCATGCTGGCTTCAGGAGACAGGAGCTGGGCCCTTTTTTTTGTTGTTGTTGTTGTTGTCTTCCACCCGCGGACGGGCGGGCGTCCACGACATCCTGAGCAGTGTGGAGAGTGTCCGGTGTGTACCAAGTACCAACAACCAGGGTTCTTGTTGCACACCAATCGCTGACGATCGGAGGTTTGAGGCGGTGCGCTAGGAGAGGGGCAGACGTGTTTTGGCTTTTTTGTCTCTCGTTCCTGCAGAAAGCTTACCCTGGCCGGGGAGGAGGACGGGAGAGGCACAACAGAAGAGAGTGGGAGGGAGTGGGAGAGAATGATGAACAGAGATGGTTCCTGTATAGCAGGTAAGTCTGCACCGATTGATAATGACCGAGACCATCATGTAGGTTGATGGTAGAGATGGAGAGAAGAATGTAGTGTAGTCTGTAAGAATGTGATGTGGTCCTGTGGGAGGCCGCTCATCGCCAAGAGAAGAAGCTACTAGGTAGAGACGGTAAGGTGCGGTAGGTGCCTAGTAGGAGGCAAGGAAGAGTCAGGAGTCAAGGTCGGGATGTGCAGTCAGGATTATGTCATGATCGGTGCGGTGAGAGCGCACGTGGACGACAAAAAAAGGAGCTAAATATGGCGTACCTACCTCCTAGGCGTCGTAGGGGGAAGATGCATGACGGTGAAACACACAGACACACACAGACACACACATATACACACACAGACACACACACACACAGCGGGCAGCCCCTCACAGTCCGTCGACGTGCTTTCCTCGCCAGGCTTCAGCGGACTTTTACCACTGACTACCTAAGGTAAGGTACAGCCTCTCAGTCTACCTGACCCTAGGAGGTAGGTAGGTGCATGTATGGACAGGCACTACCTCCTCCTAGAATGCTGACTACTAGTAGACTGCTGACTGCTGACTGCTGACTACAATTGCTGACTACCAACAAGCCATGCACGGACACCCCTTTTCTCACGGCACGACGACGAGGTGGTACAGCCTACCTCCTACAGCCTGCCTACAGGTAGTAGTGGTATACCGTATTGAAGGGCAATAGGGGAAGTGGGAACATCCTCTCGGATCCCCATATCTTCACTTCCGGTCAAACTCAACAGAAAAATATTCCCACCCACCCACTGTATCGGGACTGTAGTGTTTTTTCATCTTTCGGAACTCTGCATAAATAATAATCCTATTACATAGACCATAGACACATGCCATTACTGCTATACCGGTACCTCAGACCTGTTCTCCAACAATAGAACGATTAGGTAAGGTAGGTACATACCTTAATGTATGTAGTTCCCATGCGGCTCAACTCTGATCTCCATACCGACCTACCTCTTACACATGTACACTTTTGCATCACCATCGCGTCACACCTGTCGCAGACATGTCGCGAACATGTCGCGAACGATGACATGTATCCGATCCCACTTGTCACTAGCCACTACTGTATCTGGTACATGTAGCCGAGTCAGGAAGAAGACGAAGCAGAAGATGTGGGAGGTAGAAGAAAGGAATTGTCAACAAGTGAGGTATATACACACACGAGGTCCACCATCCACAGAACGTCGAGTCCGAACACTGGCGAAACTAACTTACCAAGAACTGACTGACTGACTGACTGACTGACTGGACTGACCGAACTGACTGGACTTGACTAGAATAAAACATCAAATACCTTCTTCAATCCTCGATTCCCCTCCCTTCTCCCGATCACTACCTCCTACACCCTATACAGATTCCAGTAGACGTAGTCAAACATTCGTGTCGCATGATCAATCAACCATGCAACGCCACACCTACGCCACAGACAACCCATTGTCACCTCCTTGAAACACACATGACCTATACGTAGCTATATCTTACTTTCTTCTTCTTTTTTGCTCTGTCCCGAGAGAGTTATGTCAAAAAAAGGCTTTCAGATTCTCGAATTTCCGATTTGGAAAGTTTCCATATAGTCGGGTAGAATAAGGGACCTGTCTAGGTATCTATACTGAGAAGAAAGTTGACTTTTTGTTTTCGGATAGATGTAAAAAAGATTTTCTCGGAGTTCCTACCTATACCTTAACTACTATATATCCAAATACGACATCACATCTTCGTATATCCGGCATCGTATCGTATCGTTCATTAAACAAACTAAACAAAAGAAAGGTAAACACTTTAGGTTAGGTAGGTTGACAGTCAGTTCTTACCTATACTGCTTGCTTGCTACCTGGTATCAAGTACATGTACCCGACGACAACCTTCTAGCGGTCGTTGTTACCTACATGTACCTACATGTACTCTCGGAAGTTGATAATGACATCGAAATTTTTTGACTTTTCTATCACACTTCTATCAACATCCTTCATCATCACATGTATCCATCTTCTTCTTCTTCTTCCTACCAACCTTACCTGTATTTACCTTCTTCTACCTCCTACAAAATGAAAGGGTCTGTCTCTATTCTGTCAAACTAAACTCTTTCTCAGGTACGAACCTACTTTGACCGAACCGACCATCAATTACCGGACCCCGCGGCTTGGCTTGGCGTGGCCTACCTACCTACCTGCCTACCTACATACCTGCCTACCTACCTGTTGGGAGTAATAGAAAGAAAAGACAATGTCCATCAATGTATGAATGTCCCTGACCTATAATGAGATATAAAGGTGACTGATGCACCATCTTATCTTATCAATTACGTAGGAGGTAGACAGTCCAAGAGGAGAAAAAACACACACAAATGCGAAATTAAAATAAATTACATGTCATACCTTACCTCAGGTATACACCTACAGTATGTATGTACCTCCTACAATCTACATGTACATGTATCTACCTTACCTGGTAATCGGAGACACGACCACGTTGTGAGCAGGGAATGTCTCGATCTCTCTTCAGATATAGTATGTACATGTAGTAGCACAGTAGTAGGAAGTACCTAATGCCCCGCACAGGTATCAGATTGTTTGGATACATCATACCGGACATGAAGCTCCGATGGAAGGGACTACATCCCACATGTACACACTTCATACCTCATACTTCATACTTCATACCTCATACCTCATACCTCATACATGTACCTACATGTCATGTACTAAACGCCGCCACCACCTGTTCTCCATGAATGATGTATAAGCCTACAAAACAACCCAAAGGGCCCGCAAAAAAGAAAGTCAATAGTCTTCAACCTTTTTTTTTCTTTTTGATCGATCATCGCCGTCATATCGCCACCCGGAGGCTGCTCGCCAGGTATCGACATGACAGATTATGATACATCTACTTGACATGCCAGCCTATCCATGCTTGCCATCTCTCGAATTGTGAAAAAGAAATAGAAATGAGAAATAAAAATAAAAAAGAAATAAAAAGGTTTTCATTCACCAAAGTGTAGCATCCCGATCAAATCTCTCAATCTCCTTTGCAGCATCTTCCACGTCCTTCTTCGCCTTCATCCGCATGTAGAAGATCGGACAATCCCGACTCGAGCAAATGACCTCGTTGTGCATACTTCCCTGACATCGCTGACACTGCGTCCACAGTCGAGCAAACCGTATCTCCAGTTCGGCTGTCTTGGTCAAACTCCTCTGATACAGTTCTCCAAACCGCGGTCGGCACTCCGCTCCCACTGCACCGCCACTCTCTTCTTTCATCGTCAGCGGCTTCTTGCACCCCAAACACGTTTCCGTCTTCTTGGCAAACTTCATGAGTCCTCCCATCGTCGGCGCCGACACCGTGACCGACCGCGTATGCTCGCCAGTGAGCAGAGACGCTGCTTTCTTTTCCCCCAGAATCGGTTCGAAAATACGTCCCAACGGCTTGGCCAGTTGGTTGTCCAGATAATACTTGGTGTCAATCGGCATGTTGTTTTCCAGCACGAAGATGGGGTCTTCCGACTTCTCCCAGCCTTTCGACCCAGCCGCTCCTTTCACCATCACATACGCCACTCGATCACCCAAAGCTGGAGCCGAACCGGCATCTCGCTTCCGCATACGTTCCGCGAGCTCCGTGTGTGCCTGTTTATTGGCGTAGTCCGTTTTGGACAAGGCTTTCGTGATGACCAGATTGGAGAGATCAATTCGGCCCTGAAGAAGCTCGGATATAGTTTCTTTGACATAACTAGGATGTTCATGTTAGCGACTGCTTAATGCGAACGATAGATCGAATGTCATCGGGATGGGCCCTGTCGAGCTGCCGGATGGGAAATAAGAACTTACTCCTGAGCACCCTGCACATCTTGATCAATCAGCAGCATCTTCAAGCTCGTCTCGATGAGATTTTGGACCAAACGACAGTTATCTCGGCGCACCGTCTCGATACCCTTGGTATCCATCTTGTCCCACTTATCAGGCTTGGTCCAATATAACCCGGCATACCGCTTTTTGTTGATGAGAAGGTAGGGGTAGTACACCTTCTCGAACTCCAGCTTGATGGGTTTGATAAATTTGTTGGAAACGTAGTCTGCGGCGTCATTTCCCAACTCCATTGCTTTCGCCAAATCATTGGGGCCGAACTTCACCATGACGGAGTCAGTGTCTCCGTAGATGACTTGGGCATCGTGGCTGTAGCCGTTTGCGATGGTGTATCTGGCTTCGACTTCTTCCTTCGTCTTCTCAATCATTTGACGACCATATGCTGTGGTACTACTGGCGATTGCTAAACATGGCAGCTTCCCTACTGTGGCTCCGGTCAAACCATAGACAGAATTGGCACTGATCTTCAAAGCCAGCTGACGACCGTTCAGTACAGCCTTCTTGAATGGATCAGTCTCGATTGCGAGCTCCTTCTTCGCCCGCTTTCTGGCCCCAAGCAGTTCTTCCAAAATTTGCGAAAGCAGTCCCTTTCGCACTTTTGTTGTGCAAAAGAGATCGCCATTGGGCGTGACGATGTAGTCCTCGTCCTTCTTGAGGTTGAGCTTCGCGATCGCATTCTTATTCAGCAGTGTAGTGTAACACAAGTTGTGAGCTTGCATGATACTTGGGTACAGGGATGCAAAATCAAGCGTAGCGATCGGCACATCATAGTACCCTCGAGTGGGCTCGATCACAGTTGCTCCTTCGTATTGCTCGTCGGAGCCTTCCGATTTGAGGTCGGGTACCACAAGTTGCTGCTCCAAAGCTTTGCGAAACAGCTGGCTGATGAATTTGACTTGCTGCCCTTTCGATAGGAGGAAGTTGAAAGGTACCCCCGTGACTCTGGCCATTTCAGTGTAATTGACGAGACACATCAGCTTGTCCATGAGTCGTTGAGGCAGATATGCATCCTTGAGGCAGTAGACCGCCAGTCGTCGACGCGACTCTGGAGTGCCGTTGTACAACTCCGTGATCATGGTGTGATGCACATCCTCTTTCTGCTCTTTCAGGAAGTGCGCTGACACGGAATTCAGCGTATAACTTCTGAGCTGGTAATCTCGTTGAATGAGCTGGAGAAGATCCAACTGTAATCGGCCGTTGGTGTTGGTGGCCTTGGAGTCTCTATTGCCCATCTGCTTGCTGGCAAAGTTCGTTTCCTTAGCCACCGATCTGACATTCTTCAACCGTGACCAGAAAGGAAAATGGCCACATTTGAGGTGTGCTGCTCGGTCTAACAAATACGGGAAGTCGAAATTAGCAATGTTGTATCCAATAATGACGTCCGGATCAACCTCTTCCAAGAAATCTCGCCAGGCCATGAGCATCTTCTCCTCCTGGTCGAATTCGAACAACTGCGTATTCACAATACTGCTGACGGTGTCCATGCAAAAGACATTGCGCACGAAGGGCTTCGCCTCTCCATATCTTGTCACCACATTCGCGATTTGAATGACGGGATCAATGGACGCCTCTGGGAAGACGCCTTTCCGACCAGCACACTCGATATCGAAACTCAGGACTCGCAGCGGCGCCATCTTCGACCACTCTCCATCGATGGGATGCGCAATGAGATCTCGATAATGACAGTATGCTTCGATTTGGCATTGCGATTGTCGATCTTGCTGGGGTACCATATGGTACTTCGCGGCATTGACACTCACCCAAGACATGCCAGCCAGCGAGGTGTCGATCATGAAGCGGAGTACGTACTGGATGTTGTCGAAAGTCAAAATGCCGCCTTCTGCGGCTTTCCAGAGGCCCTTGTAGTTGGCACTACCTCCTTGTATAGCAGTCCGCAGACGGCTGATGTATTTCGGGTCGGTCACTGTGATCTTCAGGTAGGGACTCTTGGTGTTGCCTTGAAAGCCAAACAGGTTCTCTCTGAGCACCATCTGAACAGAATGGATGACTGCCGAATGCTGAGCCAAAGTAGATTCCAAGAAGACCTTGTATGGTTCGCAATCATTCTTGGTGAATGCAATGGGAGCTGCGACGTAAAGATAGTGCAAAAAGTCGGTGACATGAAGGAGCACGGAATTGCCCTGTTCCGTGACACCAAACAGCTTGACAGTGGTTTTGCCGCCCTGCAGCGTTCCTTCCTCGTTGTCGATGCACTGAAAGCTCAGAGTGTCTGTTTTCGCATCGAAGCCATCCAGACTCGGACGTGCCCATTGCTGGTCCTTCTCAGCGTTGTTATGTTTCAAGGCATCAATGTCCTGCGTCAGCTTTTCCAGCACCTCCTCTTCAAATTGGCTCTTGGGTTGACTTGACCCCACGCCATTTCTGCCTTTGACAGCCGGCCGCTTGAACTGAGAAGACTTCGAGTCGTCGAGCCTGCGTTTCTTGTTGGGCGACGATGAGGCTTGTTGGTTACGGCGGGAGGCGGTGTTGTCCTGCAACACTCGCTTACTTGGCACCGTAGCAGGTGATTGAGAGAGGACGCCAGGCATGGTGGCGGTGATGGTGGTGGTGTTGGTGATGGTGAGGTGGTGGAGGCAGGTGACGGGAACACGTCCTGGACGAAAGTGACGCGTTGAGTCGGACGCGCCGCTAAAATGCCAAGCATCCATACCTTCCTGACGTTGCTTACATCTCTCTCCATATCTCTCTCCCCCCGGTACCTTAGGAGGTACCAGGAATTACCTTATCCAGCGCCCGCACCTGCAGCTCGCGAGTCTTTCCACATATTGATTAAGAGTCCAGTGAATATTTGAAGCAAACACTGAGGTATTCCCATAACACACCTCAAGGACCTTTCATCTGTCCGCCGCCACCAACCACCAACCAACAGACGCTCACTGCACCCTCGCAACGGAGCCAACGCAGGCCAAGTATGATATGAGAAGCTCCCGTCGTTAGCGCCCCTACCCTTCTCTTAGTGGTGAGCACCTCTCCAACATCATGGACAGCTCATCTGCTACCGCCGCCGCCTTTGGTAAGACACTGCCTCCTACTTGCAGGCCCGCCCGCCGTAGCTCACGCTGCCATCAGAGGTGAACAACGCCGTCAAGCTCGTCGACCCCACCCGAGACGCTCTCTACAAATACGATGCTGTCGAACAGAAGAAGATTGGAGCCGCACGTCCTTGGAGGACAGATCCACAGCACTTCAAATATGTGCGCGTGTCGGCCGTGGCGCTGGTCAAGATGGTCATGCACGCGCGGTCGGGCGGGGACATTGAGGTGATGGGCCTCATGTTGGGCCACGTCGAGCATGAGACCTTCATCGTCACAGACGCAGTGCGCTTACCAGTGGAAGGTACAGAGACACGGGTGAACGCGGGAGATGAGGCAAATGAATACATTGTCAATTTCCTTGAAAAATCGCGCGAGGCTGGACAGAAAGAAAACTCAGTTGGCTGGTACCACAGCCATCCTGGCTACGGCTGCTGGCTGTCAGGAATCGATGTGTCGACGCAATTCACCTACCAGAGCTACAGCGATCCCTTTTTAGCCATTGTGATCGATCCGCACCGGACCATCAGCTCCGGCAAGGTGGAGATTGGCGCGTTCAGGACATATCCAGAGGGATACAAGCCAGAAGGTCAGGAGTCATCCGCTGAAGGCATGGCCGCAGTGCCAATGGCGAAGGCACAAGACTTTGGCGCGCACGCAAACAGATACTACCCGCTGGAAGTGTCACACTTCAAGTCGACCTTGGACAATAAGCTCCTTGAGGCGCTCTGGAACAAGTACTGGGTGCAAACGCTGTCATCAACTCCACTCGATACGAACCACGACTACGTGACCAACCAGATCGCCGACCTGGCAGGAAAGACGAGGCTGGTTCAGGAAAGCGCGAGAAATCGGAATAATGTTCCAATGGGACCGTCCAGAAAGGGCAAGACAGATGAACAAATGGCTAAGCTCGTCAAGGCGGCCGAGAAGATTGCCAGTGAAGAGAAGATGGGGTTGATGGCTTCGGTCGTGAAGGAGGGAGTCTTTGCCGATAGTGCGGCACAAGTCGCTGAAGCCGCGACAGCTGTAGAGAATGGCGCAGACGTCGCAGATACCAAGATGGAGGAGTAGAAGACACCGCCGCCAGGTGACGATGATAAGATCGTACAGATGGTATCCTGATCAACAGACAGCTAGGTAGAACGTCCAGATGGGCGAGGAGCAGAGTGTGTTCCACAACAGCGTATAGATCACACACTATCGAGAAAGATAATTGTATGTTCAACGTAATTGGTGTCCTACTGACAGCTCAGCGTCATGGCGAATACTGTGCACACGGTAGCGATATCACGTCCGATAGGTCAGATTCGAAGATGACCAAATGCAATGTCTAAATGAGCTCTGTTTACGTTCTACAACAAAGCCAACAGGAAGTCATCGTGATCGGTTTTGGAGCACTTGAAAAGAAACCAGTCTAGATGACTGATTGGCCACCGATATCGGCAGCATGTGAAAGCGACGCTAACAGAGCTACCTTATCGGAGAGTCCGAACTTCGTCAACAAAACAACAACGACAACAACAGCAACGGCAACAGCAACGGCAACAGCAACGACGACAACGACGACAACAACCACAACGTCATCAGTCACCTCTCAAATAAAATTGATTCATCAATCGAGGACGCATCGTCTCCCAAACAATATGCGACAAGACTCTCCACTTGTCCGACTGTCAGAATTGACGGCGCTTTACCTGCCGCCATTAGAGAGTACTCGAGCGAGGGCATAGCTAAAAACGGTACTTGCAGCAGCCTGAATTTGAAGGGATTGAAAACCTCAACAAGAAAAACCACGACGGCATCGCAAGACCGGAATTGAGCACGGTACAAGTGCGATGATTTTGAAGAAGTTGAAACAGGGACGGGCGCTGTTTGCAGAGCAGCAAGGGAAGCGACAGCGAACTAAGAGCTTGCGATCGGTCGATGTGAAGAATGAGAATCACGACATCTCGAGCATGCCTACGAGCGATCTTGCAGCGAGCGCGGTGGCATCCGATGATGACTTTGGCATCGGATCTGACAACGAAGAGGGAAGCGAGAGTGGAAAGAGAGGAGATGGATACCAATCGTATGAGTCCCGCGGCAACTACGAGAGTGAGGGAGATGAGGCCGATGGACATGAGCATGTGGAAGTTGGGGTGAATTGCAGACAGATGGAGCAGTCGGAGCTGGAGAAAAGCAAGGCTTTGCTCATGAATGGTTGTACCACGAGAGCAGAGGAAAGGAAATATGCTTGCCAAGTTCCGCCGATAGCGTCAAACAGCTGGCAGAAACCCTGGAACAAGCTTGGCCGGTTCTTGGAGCAGGACAAAAGGGACATAATCGCTCAGATTCAGAAGTCCACAGTTGGGACGAGCGTCCTCGAGAAGGGGAGAGCTGCCCAGTTGAGGCGAGGACTACAACCCAAGGATACAGTGGTAATGGTCGGAAGGATCGCGAAGCAGGCACAGTCGACTAGGCCTCGGAAGAAGGACCTGAAAGCTCTGATTCCTCAAATCGAGTTGTCTGCTCGACAGCAATTGCTGAACTTCCGGAGCAAGATGGCCACTCGAGAATATGTCAGTCATCCGGAGCAAGACAGTCGACCTCGAGGCTCCAACGGCACTACGAGGAAGGCGAGGAAGAGCCAGCGATTTTTTCATAACAGGGTCAAGGACAACCTGTCGAAATGATGAAGGCCATCCAGTCGAGAGCGAAATGACAAAGACAGAATCAGGCACTCACATTCGCATGCTTCTCGGCCTATGGCGTATGAGTTAGGTATCCTACGGTGCAAACCATGGAAAGGAAAGATACCACTCATAGCCAGCCAAATGTACATGACTTGCTTGCTGTTCTCTACAAAGACATACAATCATAATAATCATAACTCTCTCCGCTGTCCGTGATACGACAATAGTCTATTTCATTGACTTTTTTTTCTTTATTTTTTAACAAAAAAAGAAATCAAAAATCCAACATCATCCCCACCCCAACCTTTTCCAAATCCTCCAAATCCAACCACCCAACATCATCATCATCATCATCGTCATCGTCCATTCTCATCCCCTCATTCACCTCACCCTTCTCCTTCTCATTCCTCTTCTTCCTCTCCTTCTTCTCAGCAACACACCTCGCAATCATCTCTCGCACAAAAATTTCCACATACTGTTGCACCATGCCCAACGCACGCGTGTCGATTTTGGTGTCCTTGTGATGGAAACCTTCGTGTAAGAGGCGGAGGAGTAGAGGTTGGGGGATGCTGGGGATGGTAGTGGTGGCCAGGTCTTCTTCTTCTTCTTCGTTGGAGAGGAGGAATAATGATGTAGGAGGTTCTTTGTTGGGAGGTTGTTGATGGTGGTGGTCGGTGGAAGAATCGAGGGATAATATTTCTGAGGCTTTGCGTTTGAGTGCTGATGTTGTTGATGTTGTTGTGGTCTTTTTGTGCGGTTCTTCTTCTTCGTTTTCCTCGTTTTCTTCTTCGCCATCGCCCGATGGCTTGGACGTGCTAGCATATTTGTTGGTGGAGAGGGTCAGGTTATCATCTGACTCTTCTTCTTGTTCGCTGTCGGGGAGAACGATGGGCCTTTTGGACTTGGATGTTGTGGGTGTTTTTGAAGAAGCAGTCTTCGTCTTCGGTTTTGCTTTCGTGGGAACGGAAGGTTGAGACTCTGTGGTTGGAATGCGCCGCAGGGGTTTGAAGGCCGGAGTTTTGGTTCTTGAAGAGGGGTATATGACTTGTTCCTTGGGTTCTTTTCGCGGCGGCATTGTGGAGTTGCTGTTTTTGTTTTTTCTTTTTCTGATTCAGGTAAATCGACGTTGGCGGAGAGGTGAAAGTAGAAGGAGACGCGAAGGATAGAACTTGGCGACGCGCTTCCCACGAGTACATGTATAGAACGAACTTTACACACACCTACCTGAATCAGAAACTACCACCTCCCCAAATCTCCGTTTCCAACTCGACACGAATCGAAATCGAGCACCAGCATCATCAAAATCCTTCCGCCTAGCTTGAAGTAGTATTTCATCTCACCCAAGCCCAGCATATACAAACAACAACAACAACAACAACAACAACAACAACAACAACACTAATCAGCTACCTGATTCATAGTCCAATACAAACATAAAACATCATCTACAAAGAAAAGTGCAGCTATTAAATTAGTTAATTAGACGACAGTCGTTGCGTGCATAGTGAGGTAGGAGACGAGAGTAGACACGAAAATGGAAAAACTTCTTTTCTCTCCCTTTTGTGTGAGAACTGACTTAAGGTACCTTTAGTACTTACCCTTTCTCTCCAGCGTCCAAACTACCTCTGGTGTCTAAGGAGAAGGGAAGGGGGAGACGGTAAGACAATTGAGATGAGAGAATCGGAGAGAAAATCATCTGTTCAGAAGTGAGACTATGCACAGAGGACGGAGATGGAATCATGGGAGCTTCAAGCGCTCTCGAAGGATGAGAAAGGTGTCTCGCAAAAGATCTGCATGCTGTGCATGAGATTGGATATCATTTTACTTCATCAGCGGACCTTCTCCAGCTTCTGATCTCGTTATCGTACAAGAGCAGCCACCACTTACAATGCTCCAGCGCTGATATTCACGTAGTGCCAGCAATGTACCAGGTACGACACCACCATGCTTAGAACGCCACGCGAGTTCTCATCTCCTGCACTTTCTTCTCAATCTCCTTCACACTTCGATCAACCTCGGCAGCCACCTTTTGTTTGCTGTCATAGCTCAAGGCCATGAATCGCTCACACAGGTCACCGTCAATGACACCCTTGACAGGCACATAATACGATCGATACATGAGATGGTCACGTCCCGCAAGTGGCGGGTCCTCGATACGTAACTGTTGTTCCAATGAGGTGAAGAACTCGACATCCTCACGAGTGACAAATGGCACGAGCATGCCCAGCGTCCCCTGTAGACCAGACCAGAAAAGTACTTCCTGACCGCCAGCCACAAGTGCAGTGCGTTGCAAGCTCATGGGGATGTCCTGACAGTAGTAGTGTGCACGTAGATCCAAGCGGTACGGTGCACCGCCGAGATAGCTTCGCTCGTTCATGATGAAACCGCCCGCACCCTCTTCGTCTGCTTCTTGACTGGGCTGTTCCGGACATCGCACCACCCACAAGTTGCCAAACTTGTCGCCACCAGCGGTAGTCTCGTAGTCGATCATGGTGGTTCCTGTGGTCCATCGTTGGACGACGTCGTCCACGAAAGGGATGAGTCGGTTGTATCCAGGCTTGTATACCATGTACGTGACACCCTCGCTCACATCTCCGCAGATGATTCGCTGACCATGCGATTCCAGCGAGACGATCTGGTTTGGTGTGGCTTGGCCACGAGCTTTTCGGAGCAGGGCTTTCTGTCCGATGTCGTAGATGAAAAGTTCGTTGCCTACACCCAATGCCAACCGACCGTGGAATGGTAGCAAAGCGTAGACGGGCTGATCGAACTTGGTTTTGTGAACAAAGGTCAGCTTGGTGCCGTCCTCTTCCAGCTTGAAGATGTGCACATAGCCTGCAGCCTGGAGTCCAGTTCCGGGTGACATATGTTGTCCCGTACCAACAGCGAGAAAGACTTCCCAGTTTCGCGACTCGAACGCAACACATGCGCAGCAGAGTGCAGCCTCATTGTCTCCCATTTCGACCGTCGACACAACAGCTTGCCGATTGATGGGGTCGATGGCTTGGATACACGATGCCCAATGAGTATTGCCGCGCGGTAGTCCCAGGTGTCGCTCAAGCGCCATCGCTTCTTCGTCGTCATCAATCGGGCTCCCCCGAAGCTGGTCACGGGTAGCTTTCGACAGTGTGTTTCCGTCAGACTGGACTGTGTACCAGATTTGATAATACGGATGTCGAGCCATGCCACGCGGTGTGTTGTTTAACTGCACGGAACTGTGAGACAGTCTGCCTTCTACCGACGGAAGCTGGAATATGAGAAGTGACGATCCCTGGATGGCGCAGAGTCCGCTCAGATCGGGACTGATGAAAGATCGTGCAGCCTCCATTTTCTCCGCAATCAAAGGTGTAATTGTGTACTGGCCGGTTTGCGGGTGATTGTAGCCGACCCATGGTCTGGTGGAACAAGCGAGTACACACTCCTCGTCTTCTACCTGCACTGGGCATAGTCGAGGAGCTTTGGTGCCGAGAAACTTTGTCCTGACATCACCCAACTCTCCGGTGGTCTCGTCGATGATGGCGCGCAAGTACAGACCAGACTGCAGACCGATGTGCACGACATTGACAGTGGTACCAGAAGCAGGGTCGAGCATCTCCACGACTTCCAGTGAAGTGGGGACCGCTGAGAGAGCTTGCACACTTCGTGCCTCCAGCGGGGAGTCAAGCTCAATGCTGAGCACACGGATGGTGCAGTCGTCGCAACCGACGACGGCATACTTTGCTTGTTGTCGACCCTTGGGTGTCGAGCCTACGGAAATGGCCGTAATCTTGCCACTCATCTCAGGCATTTCTTCCAGCTGCACGAGGATCTCGTCTTCGCCCATCCAGAAGAAGCACAACTCAGCCGAGCTCAGTCCCAGCAACAACTGGCGCTGGTTGGCAGACGCTACGACACACGTGCGGTGTGCAGGTGTGTTCCACTCGTTCAATTTACCGTCCTGGTAGATGGAGCGAATACCCCGAGCGTGAACTTGTACGAGCACGGCGTCGCCCATCTGCTCCGCGTGCACAGTAGCTCGATTCTCCAGAAAGTTGGAGTTCTCGATTTGCTCTACCGAATCTCCAATGGAACACGCAATGGTCAGGTCGCCGTAGTTGCTACTCAACAGGAGATATCTGTGGTGTTCATCCGTTGTTCGGTGCTTGAAAGTCCAGATGTTGTCATAAGGCACGTTGCCCATGCTGTTGTTGATCAGAACCTCGACATCTAGACCATGTCTGATGGTCTTGAACTGACTTCGGTTGCCCTTGCCTTGAATGCCATAAATTTGGGGAGCATCCTCGCCAGTCAGGTTGTCCACTCTCGTTTTCATGAGCGGATGCAGGCCAGGGACATCGACAGCGAGATGTGTCATGGTCAGCTCACGCGGCTTGAAGTACGTGGGCTCGATCGGTTCCTCGGGGTCTGCAGATACGCCATCTGACGTGAATGTGTTGTGTGGCTCAAAGTCGGGATCGTCCGCGAGGTCATCGATGTGAAACAGCTTGCTGTTGCCGTCTTCTGTTGCGATGTACAGGAAACCTTTCTTGTGCAACAACATCTGTCTTGCGACGGGGAAAGTGTCGTAGTACTTCATGGTGATCTGCTCCGGGTCTGCAGTCTGACGCCCTTGCGCATCCGTGGCCATGGTGATGGTCAGCTTGAACACATCGCCGTCCTCGGTCTGGAGAAAAAAGAAGAATTCGTGTCTCGTCTTCGCCAGATGCAAGCAGCCCGCTACAATCTGCCTTTTGCGCTCCTTGTCCTCTGTTGCGCCTTCTCTTCGAGGAATAGCTATACACAAGGACGCCGCCTTGTCGTGTTTGTAGTATATTCGGTCTTCGCAGCATACGAGCGTGCCCGACGGTCCGTCCTGACCTCCTGGCACGCCAAAGAGCATGTTTGCGGAGTAGTCCACTGGCTCGCTCCAGGTTTTGACCACATGATTGAGGCCCATGTCCACCGTATAGTACACCAACTGTTTCTCCCGCTTCTCGTATGCCTCGCCGGTAGGATCGCCCTCTGCCTCCGTGTATTCGACTTCAAGAGTCGCAAAGATCGGAGGCTCCCATCCGGTGTCCAGTGCGCACAGAGCGAAACACAAGCTGCCCCATTGATTGGCCTCGTGCGGACTCGAGATGAGAATTGTCCCATTGGAGTCTCTGTTCAGCATGTACACCACTTTGTTCTTCTCCACGCTCGCCATCATGATGCATCGTCCTCGCGGATCGCTCGCCAGGTATTGACCCGGAATGGTCCGTCGTACACCCGACTTTCCATACGTCTCCAGATGCACGCGCTTGAAGGCGCTCTTTTCGTTGTCGTACTGGAGCATGGCTACTCGGCCCGAGTCGGATGATATGACAAGCTGGTCTATTCTATGTTAACTTTATGCGCTTCATGATGTGACCGAAGTGTCCCAGTCATCCAGACGCTGTAATTGGCAGCCATCACTATGAGAACTTGTATGTAGTGGGGCAGAAGAGGGTGCTTTGGTTGCGACGACTTGCCTGTTGCCGTGGCGGGGATGCGAAAGGCGGCCACACCGCGCACAATGCCAAAGACATCCTGATCGCAGACGGTGGTGATTTTGCGCTCTGTCCTGTCGGCGCTCTCGGTGATGCGGTGGAGGAGGACATGTTGGCCTCGCGCCTCGAAGATCTGCTGGTCGCCGGCCTTGAGTCCGGGGATCACATTGCACAGGACAGCAGCGGTGGGTGCTGAAGGAGCTTCGAGGGTGAGGGCATAGAAGGCCTGGGTCTGCTGCACGTTGGCCATTGCCTTGGCTTGCCGTTCCGTGCCTTTTCCAGTGGTTGCATCGACACGCGACGCGGAGGTGTGTGTGTGTGTTCGAGGCGAGGTGAGTTGTAGCAGAGTGGAGAGGATCAAGAAAGTGAAGTGGAACAAGTAGAAGTTCAAGCTCTCGGAGATTCGTGCTCACTTCTACAGACCAGCCGCAGTAATTCTAGTCCTACGCGAAAACAGGGCGGAGCCATCCCCTTTGGGTCAACGACGATGATATCCCACTTCCACTAGACCATACCTTACCTCACTGGGTACACTCGTTGCTGGCCTCCTCACCCTCACCCTCACCCTCACCACCGTCCAAGATGTCGCGATACATGTGCAGCAGATGTCTGCGGGGACTCGAGTATCAGATATCGAGCCCTCCATCCCGACGAATACTCCATGTGCCCGCCAGACGAGCCTTCACCGCAGCTCAACAACCCTTACGACGACGCAACCTCCATTCGTCCACGGCGCAGAGAACGGCAATACCGACAGAGTCACAGCGGAGCTCACGAAATGTACCCCCACCACCATCACGCCCAGACTCCGGCCCGAACGCAGACCAGAAGATGCTCTTGCGGCCGAATAACCTATTCCACTCCTACACCAACTCTCCATCGCCTGCGATTCGCAAGCGAGCGGCTTTCATGAAACAGAATGCCTACTGTTCACATCCTGACCATCAGTCCACGAGAATTGCAACTTCGCCTCATGACCCGGAGGCGCGAAAGACGGGGTCCATGCCTCCAGCACACGTCCGCTATGAGTGTCCGGATTGTGGCATACCTGTGTCTTGCAGTGAGGAACACTTTGCTAGCGACTACGAGAGCCATCTGGAGATATGCGATGTGCTGCGGGAGATTAATGAGGATGACCACGACCTGGTCAGTGGTCGATTCTTCCCCGAGTTCGAATACCCGGGGCCGCAGCTGGAGGAAGCACAGGTGAATATGATGAATTGGGATACGCTATTGTACACCAGAGAGTTTGTGGCCATTGACAACGAGCGGCCTCTGCGCCAGGTGACGCGGCTGTTAACATATCCCATCACGATTGGGAGTGTCCTACACGAGCTCAGTCCATACAGTCTGTCAAATCGGCTCGAGCCCGAGGGATTAAGATCGCTGGCTGGTGAGTCGACATGTCTGAGATTCCGTTCTGATCCACTGCTGACAGTCTACAGCTCTGCGTTATACACTGCATCCACCGCGGTCTGGAGGTGGTATCGACGTCAAGGGTCTGCGAACACAGGCACCGCCTGTCCGACTCTTCATTCTCGGAGCCCGTGCAGAGTCATCGCTGCCCCGACAAGTCTGGCTGCAACTCTCTTACCTCTTCCCGCGAGCAACTTTCCATCTCATCTTCATTGGACCGGAAGCAATGGCGAATCGGGACGACGAATTCCCACTACCGGAACGGACGCCTCAAAACCCATATGGAGCCATTGTCGAGGACCGGCTGGGAGGTCAGGTGAAGATTAGCACATATGTCGAATACTTCCACACTCTACATCAGGCGCAGCACTTCTACCCCTATGATCCCTACTTCGATGCATTTGTTTGCTTCCACCCTGGTTTTGGCCACCCAGCTTCGTCACACGAGTGGGCCGAGACATTACCGCAACTGCTGGAGACTAAAGTACCCATCATCTGCACCGGCTACACAGAGTACGATATGAAGCGCGATATCAGCTGGGTGACAGAGCAGGCCAAGGGCGAAATGGACCTGCTACTGCAGCCAGGGGAGAACCGCTTCCGAAGTCTTCGTTGGGATCTGAATGATCTGGATCCTAATGATGTAAGCTGTGGTAATTGGGGTCTCTGGGCGTTCCGAGGCAAGCGGTACGAAACAGACGAGTATCGCGGGAAACAGAATAGTGAAGGACAGAGCGTCAAAGAAGGCGAAACAATTGCTGTGTAAGAATGCATTACACTGTACAGAGACCTGATAACTGCCGACTTCCCAGCTGGCTTTCGGCCTGTTCACATGTGTGGGGTATGTCGCGCTGCCCGCTTAAATGCAGCTACACCATGCTGCAGACCACCCGCCTAGCAGCCTTGGCCCGAGCATACCGGCATTGTGTTATTCTTTGATGAATGTATCACATCACGTTCTCAATCGAAGTCTGGCGTCGTAAGAACTTCTCGATGAGCATCAGCGTACATCTTATTCTCAAGTGACAGTTCGGCCTATGAGCGAATCACGACCATGTGGCCGACTTTCCCCGCAGCCGTCCTCACCCATCCATACCTCACCTTCGCCATCCTGATTCCCCTGCTCACACTTGGCATCATCCTCGTAAAAGATTTCACCGTCTACCTGCACCTCCCACCCGGCCCAACGCCCATCCCCTTCTATGGCAACACACACCAAATTCCCAAAACACAACCCTGGCTCCAATTCCAAAAATGGTCTCAAATTTACGGCCCCATCTTCACCCTCTGGATTGGTCGAAAACCAACTCTCGTCATCAGCGACCCACAAATCGCCGTTGATTTACTCGAGAAGCGAAGTAGCAAATACTCGTCTCGGCCTCGAATGGTCCTTCTAGGTGAGATCTTCAACAACAATGCCTCAATTCTCACGCAACCGTATGGGAAAAGCTGGAGCATTAGGAGAAAGTTGTTGCATCAGGCGCTCAATCCTCGAGCATTGAAGGGATACATGAAGACGCAGGAGGCGGAGGCGAGTAGGATGTGTTGGTCCTTGCTGCAGAAGGGAGGTGAAGGGTGGGAGAAGGAGTTGGAGAGGTTTACGAGTAGTGTAGTGTTTTGCGTTGCGTATGGACGGAGAATCGATGACTTGAACGCCAAGGTCATCCGGGAGAGGTTTAAGTTTATGGGATATGCGGCGAGTCTGAATGTGCCTGGAAAGTATTTGACAGAGTCATTTCCGATTCTGGCCAAGTTGCCGTTTCAGCGGTGGAAGCGTGCGGTGGAAGCCATGGGCACTGAGCAAGGCATGGCGAATTTGAGGCTGATGAATGTAGTGAGGCGGGATCTCGAGGAGAAGGAGAAGGAGAAGAAGGAGGGTGGTGGTGAGAAATATGTGCCTGAAAGTCTATGTCGACTTGTATTGGAAACCAAGAAAGAAGAAGGCATCCCTCTGAGTGATCTCCAACTATCCTACGTCCCAGCCAGCCTCTTCGGCGCCGGCAGCGACACCACAGCGTCCACACTCTGTTCCGCCCTCCTCGCCCTCATCACCCATCCCTCCGTCCTCCAACGCGCCCAAACCGAACTCGACACCGTCATCGGGCCCCATCGTCTTCCCACCTTCTCCGACGAGGCCCACCTCCCTTATATCCGCGCCTTGTGCAAAGAAACCCTTCGATGGCGGCCCGTCGCTGTGCTAGGCGGCACCCCGCACGCCAGTACCGAAGATGATGTGTACCGGAGTTATCGCATCCCCGCCCACACGACGATTCTCAGTAATAGTTGGGCGATTAATCTCCATGGAGCATATTACCCGAATCCGCATCGTTTTGATCCCGGGAGATTTCTCTCTTCCCATGATGTGTTGCACAGCAAAGGAGAAGGAGTAGGAGAAGGAATCATATCTGGTGAGAAACAGCATCCAAGTCCCTCCGGCCACTCCTCCTTCGGCTGGGGTCGTCGCATCTGTCCCGGAGCAGGTCTGGCAGAGAATAGTCTCTTCATTGCGCTCGCGAGATTATTGTGGACGTGTGACATTTTGCCGATTCCAGGGAGGGAGTATGATATTTTTGCGTATACGGATGGGTTTAATATTCGGCCGCAAAAGTTTGAATGTGTCATCCAGCAGAGGAGTCGCTTGCACGCAGAGGTTTTGGAGAGGGAGGTGGGGAGTGCGAGGGAGTGGTTGGAGGGGTTTCGGCCGTTTGAGGAGTAGAGGAGATGATGAGGGATTTGTTGTTAGGTGTTATTGAGGAAGGAAGTCTCGGCTGATGTATATGCATCAGGTGTAATCAATCAGTCACAGCTGTTCTCGCCGTCGCAATCATAATGAAGGTCTTATAGATAGAAATCTATGCCAGTCTTTCAAAATATTGAATACTAAATTCTACCACGCCGCTAGCATTTGCTCCGTCCTGCGATGATGATCCTGATATATGATTATCTTCGGGGATGGTTCTCTTGGAAGTAAATTTCTGCTCACTGGTCGTCGTCGGCGTGCTTGGTCTTATTGCCTACTCTCTGTCAAGAACCGCATCTCCATCGCCACGAGCCAGGCTAGATCTCCTCTCACGTCTAATGCGGTCGTTCTCGTCGCCGTCGTCATTATCATCATTGCCGTCGTTCTCATCGTGCTCAGCGCTCTCATCGTGCTCAGCGTTCTCCTCGTAATTCTCCTCGTAATTCTCCTCCGGGCCCTCGTCGTATCCATCCTCTCCAGGTCTCTCCGAAAGTCTCAAGGCTCTCGCAAGAGCGACATCATCATCCAGACCAGCATTGTCCCGATCGCGCTGGTCCATCACAGAGCCTTCGCGGTGAGAGCCGGAGCGACTGTCGCGTCCGACTGCAGGGTTTACACCAACATCACCAACTCCAGCGTTCGACGACGACTCACTTCTCGAACCTCGCCGTAGCGCGACACCATGGTCGGAGAGACTACTCCGTGCAGCCTGCTCTGCGGCAGCTCGGTTGCGCGCTGCCATGCCGCTGATATTACGGCCGAGATCTATCGTCCGCTGGCTCGCTTGTGGAGTTGGCGGGAAATCATAAGCAGGAAGATCCGGTGGACCTTCGGGAGGGCGAGCGTCGAATTGGCTAGCGCTCATACTGTTGGAGTTTTCGTCGTCAGGCTCCCAGTCGTGAACATTGAGGTCGCTATTATCGTTCAGGTAACCTTCGATAGTGGTAGCCTGATACTTCTTTTTCCCAGCTTTGATTGTACTTTTCAAGCGAGCGCTCTTGGTCGGATCGGCTTCATCTGGGACATTCATGATGAAGCCCAGTCCATTGGGTTCATTATATCGCGGAGTCCAAGATCTGTCTAGGTCGCCCAGGCCGCCGCTCATTAGCGGTGGAAAGTCGTCCTCGTTGTCGTTTGCCCTGTCGTCGTCGCCGCCGCCGCCTTTACGAGACTTCCGCGAAAACTTGCCTCTGCCTCTACCTCGTCTGCGCTTTGGTCGAGGCGGCGGCGGCATGGAAAGACCTTTCTTGCGCCGCTCCTCTGCCATCTCCCGCTCTGCCTCACTTCCATACGCGGAATCTTCACTGTCAGAAGTGATGTCGACTTCGGATAAAAGGGTGCCACTCGCAAGAACCGCTTGAACGGGCTCACTGTTCACCAGATCGTTCCTCTTGCGCTTGCGACTCTGCAGCTTCGTCCGCTTCCACTTCTTCGCGTGCGTAAACCAAGACTGCCATCTTCTGCAGTCGGGCTGGTTCAGCTCTTCTTCCAGCCGACGAACTTGCTCGGGGTCCGTCTCATCGCAGTATTTCCAGGCGCGATACAGAGTGATGCGGTGCTTGCGCATCCGCTCCTTTCTGTCGCTACTCTCGCACTGCTTGATGTCGAAGTTGCCGATCCAGACGACTTCACCCTCGGTGGGTTCGTTGGCCGTGCGGCCTCCATACGGAGATTTGTACAGCTCAAATTCACTGTAATCATCATCGTCCGGCTCGTAATGGGCAGCTGGCGCATACCAGACATCATGCCAGTCCTCTTTGCGGTAACCCACTCGCAGCCGGTGGTTTTTGAAGATAATCATGGAGAGGTAGGTTACTGTCGTAGGATTGGGAGGTGAGATGAGAGAATGCTGCCTGGTGTCGACGTGGCTCTGTGCTTTCGGTGGCCCATCGGTGGTGATCAATGAACTCAGGGTCGTGTCTTGCGTACCAGAGCGTTATGATCTGCGTCCCTTCTGGCGATGAATGATCAATACCTGTCTGTGTTATAGATGGAGTCAATGTGTTTCATGAGTGATAGTAGGGTGGATGGAAGAAGTGGAAATGCGAGAAGAGAAAGCATAGGTATTGAAAGAACCATTTAGTAAGCAAGGTACCTAGGTGAGGTGCGGTTACAGAAGGTGAGTGCCCCAGTGTCTCACTTCAAGTTGTGAGGTGAGGCTACAGCTTGCGCATACATCTTGTACGCGTGTGCTTCAGCGTCGTGCTTTAGCAATTCTGGGTCTCGAACCAGCTTAATGCTCTCGGGATTCAACTTCACTGCTTCCCAATCGGCCTTATGCCACCTATCGCGGGCTAAAGTGAGGTTAGTAAATGACAACGATGCAGGGAGTGAATGAATGGTAAAAAGGCACTCACTGGTCTCGCCAGTTTTCTGCGCGTACTTGACTCGCTCATATCGGATCTTCTCGTATGCACGTAACGCATCTCTCGCCTTCTCCTTTCCGCTCAGTTGCAGACAGACTGCCAAGCATGCTCCGTCCTCCATGGCTTGCGCGGCTCCTTGGATGGAAGTGGGCAGGAAGGGATGTGCGGCATCGCCAATGAGAACTGTGCGCGCTTCGGGTGACACCCATGTGGGCAAAGGATCTCGGTAGACGAGCTTCCAGTCAACCATTTTGTCCGGCGGTGTCAACTTGACCATCGTATGGACGATAGGATCCCAGCCTTCCAGAATGCGGCACGCATCTTCATGATTTCCAGGCTCGGACCACCCTTCGTCTACATCCCGGTCATCCTTGTGCGTGAAAACCCAGCTCATTTCTGTGCCATTCTTCAGCGCCGACGCAAGGAAATGGATGTCGCGACCAAGCCAGCCTGTATGGGTATCTCCGTGAATTACAAGGTCCTTTGTCAGCTCATTCTTAGCAAGCTCCTCGCTGCTCATCCAGGCACGGTAAACAGCGTAGCCGCTGGGTTTGGGCTTGTCATCGTACCCCAAAATGAGTTGTCTGGCCTTTGATTTGACCCCATCTGCACCGAAGACTACATCGCCCACGATGCGCTCTCCATTGGATATCACGCCTGCAAGATCCTCATTCTCGAAGTACTCGGTGACTTGCTGTCCAAGTCGAATTTCGATACCCTGAGCCAACGCATAATCATAGACGACCTGATGAATTTCGCCTCGATGACCATTGAAACGCTTGCCAAAGACCTCTTCGGCCTCCCACTCCTGGGTGTATATATGCTCGCCGAGCCATGTTCGGAACTCAATCACGGGCGCATGGTGACATATTGGATCGAGTTTTTCAGCCACACCGGGCCAGCGCTGGAATATCCTCCCACCATTGCCGCCAAAGCTGATAATGTCGCCGAGTTGCTTCATCTCCTTCACAGAATCCAATATGATGCATGAGTGACCCTTGCGCGTACACTCGATGGCAGCAGTCAAGCCTGCAAAGCCCGCACCGACGATGACCACGCGAATGCCGGAAGATGGCACCGGACCATCTTGCTGGTTGCTGCTATCGTTTCCGTTCATGAAGGGCGCCATGATTATACCTGTGATCTTGTAATATGGGGGCTGGCGAAGTTGGTCGACCTTCGTGGTGTCGTGCTACTAAACAGCCAACACATCTCATCGCCTGAGCTCGAGCATGATCAGTTTTGCCCTCCATCGGCTTCGCTGGAGTGAACACCGTGATCGCAACTGCCGAGCTCCGGCCTGCTGCAGGACATATTGACATTGACCCGCAGTAATAAGAAGGTTGTGGACTTTGTGGTGAACCTTTTCTAACCCCGCAAAACAGCAAGCGATGGCTCTGCGGGGAAGACAGGGGGTTGCCTTGATCGAGGGATGCTCGCCGTTAGACTTGATCGCCAATATCCGTTGTTGGTTGGTTTCATGAAAAACGGTTGGCATGTGCTTGTCCATGTGTCGACATGGAATTGGTGCTAGCGTTGTAGCTGGAGACGGGGCATCTTATTGGTGTCTTCTCAGGAGAACACTAAACAAGAAGTTTGAAAGGCAATAGTCTGAGGTCGACAGTGCCGCCGGCATCCTCAATGACATCGCCCACTTGAGAATTTACTTACCATCGTTGTGCTCTACACTGCGAGTGGCTTCTGTTGTACCATAGTTGCTTCGTAGAGTAGCAATCATGGCGTTCGGTATTCTGGAGGACTATCATATGGAGGTTGTTCCTGGCACGGTAGGCGCATCGGACTCGGTGATTGATTATCTGCTGATGATAGAGTATAGGCGCTTCTGCGAGACCAGTCCAACAACCTTCCAGACCAGCTAACCGCGGTGCCCGCTGAACGACTCAAGCACGGAACAGGACGTTTCGCACATGTTGTATTGGTTCCACAGCCTTCCGACTCACCTAATGATCCCCTGAATTGGCCGACCTGGAAGAAAGACTTGATCCTTTTCATCGTAGGCATCAATGCTGGAATTGTTGGCGCATATGGCCCAATGCTCGGTCCCGGTTTTGTTCCCATTGCAGCAGAGCTGGGCATCACGGTCGAGACACTGTCGCATGCTACAGCATGGCTCATTCTGACGCTCGGGCTATGTGTCTTCCTTTTCAATCCTCTGGCCAAGGTAAGCACCGTGTGCCGCGTCCATCCATACTCGATCAGACACGACCATATGGCCATAGTCAGTGTGCTTACGCATTTGCAGATCTACGGCAAGCGGCCCATCTATGTTGCAACAAGCGCGATCTTGTTTGTCGTTAGCATTTGGGGCGCTGTTGCAGACACTTACCCCAGCTTTTTGGGTTCGCGTATTCTAGGCGGCATGGGAATGGCACCTTACGAAGTGCTTGTTCAAGCCACCATCAGCGACCTATACTTTGTGCATGAGCGAGCCACCCGCTTGGCAGTGTGGAACCTCTTCCTACTCTGTGGCATCTGTGGTGCTGGTTTCATCTCTGGCTACATCATTGAAGACCTTGGCTACAAGTGGACGTTTGGGGTCTGCGCAATCTTGTTCGGTGTATTCGGCATGGGCATTCTGCTTCTGGTTCCGGAAACGGCGTACATTCGACCAACTGTGACTGCTGAAATTCTAGCAGCGAGAGCGAATGGAGACGACGAGAAGGCCGACGAAAAGTCGCACGGCCTGCACATCGAGTTCCAAGAAGAGATAACGTGCAGCGCATTGACTGGCAATGGAACATCACCAGATGCTGCCATTGAGTCCAAGATGTCGTACGTCAAGTCGCTACGACTGCTGAGTGGGCGATACACGAATGCGGCATTGTGGAAGATCTTTGCCAGGCCCTTTCTCATGTTCTTCTACCCCAGCGTCCTCTTCGCATTCCTGGTCTTTGGCCTCACATTGACGTGGATCGTGGTGTTCAGCGTTGTCAATGGCGTGCTTTTCACGGCGCCTCCTTACAACTTCTCCGTCAGCCAAGCGGGTCTGACGTCTCTCTCGCCATTCATCCTTTGCATCATCGGCGAAGTCGTCAGTGGACCATTGAACGATTGGTTGTGTTTGCGCCTCGCAAAGGCCAATAATGGGATATACGAGCCGGAATATCGACTTGTCTTGATGGTTGTCGTTGTTCTCACTGGGACCGTGGGCTTCTATGGCTTCGGAGTGACGGTGCACTACGAGACACACTGGACAGGCCCGGTCTTGACGTATGGCTTGGCGAACATGAGCCTCGCATTTGCGACCACCTGCTGCTTTGGCTACGTCTTGGTGAGTTCAGCGCGGTTGTGCTTGTGCTTGTGATTATGCGGAAACGTCGGCCAGAGCTGATATCAAGCAGGACTGCTACCCCAAGTTGGCCGAGGAAGCATTCGTTGCCATCAATGCGTACGTGAAGTCATCATCAGGCCTCTGAGCGCCGAGCGCCGACAAAAGCTGAGACAGTGTTGCTGACCTTCCGCCTCTTCTTCTAGCCGCAACCTGGTGACATTCGGATTGACATACTTTGTCAACACGTGGTTGGCCGAAGATGGAGCACTGGCGGGTATGTCTGTCACTTCTTCTTTCTTGTTTCCCGCTTCTCCTCGACTCTGCTCGTGCTCTTCGTGTTCCACTGACTGACTGACTGACGACGACGGCGACAGTGTTCAATGTGCTGGGATCGTGCTTCCTGGCGGTCTGCGCCTTGACGGTGCCACTTTGGATATTCGGCAAACGGATCCGGTCGTGGACGGCGAGGAATGAGTGGTTGAACCAGTTCATGAATGATATGTGAGAATGCTGGGAGACACCTGGATGGGGACGGAAGCCCAAAGTGGCCAGCCGCCACACGTTACCCCCGGCTTTCTTTGGCTTTATCTTCCTACTACTTCTACCCTTCTACCTACTATACACCACTATACACACTCGCTATACGCTCGCCGCCTACCTCGCCGTTACCGCCGTATCTGTCGCTACCTTACCTCTCTCTTTATCGCCGGATCCGTCGTCTTAATAATAAGTTACCTATATAATAAAGCCGTCGCTATAGCAACTCGAAGAAAGAATCTACTACTATAATACGTCTACTCTCTCTCCTCTACTACTATAGATATAGATAACTATATTATTCGAACCTTAGTACGTTATTACGTAGTACGTAAACTCGTATATTACTAATATACCGTAGATTCCTCGTATCTGCTACTTTAGCAGCGCTCGGTAGGAATATATCTACGATAAATAACAGCGACGCTATAGACGAGGATACCGATACCGAGGATACCTCGGAGGATAAGGAGGAGGATAAGAAGGACGATACTAGGTAGGCTAGCCTTACTCGCTACTAAATCTCTACTAGAATCTCTACTAACTCGCTGTATATAGGGCTGTATATACCCCCGATCTATACCCGCGCTAGCCTACTACTATAGACTCTAGTAACTTCTAGTTCTGCTTAGTCGAAAGATAGTAGGGCTAGTTAGACGAGGCCGCTAGCGACGACGCGACGAAGAAGAAGGTTACAAAAAATAACCTATAGAAGTTCGACTAAGCTAGCCGAATTATAGAGACTATAGAGGGTATTAATACGCTAGATCCGTATTACTAGTATACTCGCGGTCCGCGCGATACGCCGTATAAGGTAGACGTAAAGAATAGTATTATCTGCGCCTACTATAAGCGATATACTAAGTTAGGCTATTAGGCCGGGATATCCGTTAACGATTCCCCTAGCGATTCGTAGCAAATCGCCTAGCTAGAGGCTACTATTAAAGCGCTATAGGCTACGGTCGATAGCCTATAGGCTACGGTAGGGACCGTTTAAGATAGGACGGGTAAATTAGAGGATTAGGTAGAGTAGCTTATACCGTACGTCGACGAGCTCCGGCGTATAGTCTATAATATAGCTATAGCAGTATAGCCGTAGGGTAGAGTATCGATACCGGAATCGACTACGATTCCGCGTACGAATAATTAGTAGATAGGTATATATATACCTACCTACCTATTTATATATATAGTAGCGATATACTATAGCGAGTATAGCGAGTTAGGTAGGCTACGGGCGATCTATAGCGTTTCTATAGCGAGTTAGCGAATATAAGCTAGCGCCGGGTATACCCGACTAATCGGATCGTCCGCCGACCCTACGCAAACTCTATAATATAGGTATACCGTCGTAGATATAAGTCAATAGTAGTAGATAGCTATAAAAATTAGTCTTTTCTACTTGTATCTACACTCTATATAAGTAATACCGGGCGGCGCCGGCGGTAGCAATAGCAACCGCTATAGCGTTAGGCCCCGAGGGCCCTATAGGCTTATATCTATCGATACTAATAGCGAGCGCGGCGATTTATTTCTTGCTTAGCGCTCTAGTTATTGCCCTCTCTCCGATTAGAACCGCTAGCTTATATCGCTTAGCCGTAGGTATAGCGGTAGTACTACTCGTCGCGCTCGCTACTAGTATCGCCGTACCGGTAGTACTACTCGTCGCGCTCGCTGCTAGCGTCGCTTCTAAGTCGACGAACTTAGGTAGCTTACGGGCGTTAGTTACGCTCTCTATCTATAATGCCTTCTCTTTCTTAATATAAGCGTTGTCTATATCGGTATTACCGTCGATTTCGACAAACTTAGGTAGCTTGCGGGCGTTAGTTACGCTCTCTGTCTATAATGCCTTCTCTTTCTTAATAATTAGTACGCTGTCGTCGTCGTCGGCCTCGCTAAGCTCGTCGTTATCCTCGCTATCGTCGTCGTACTTATCGGCGTAGAGCTGTTTAATACTCTCGAGGACTTCTAATACTACAGGCGTTATATAGCTACTCGCTACGCTTGCTACTAGTATCGCGCGTAATAGTATCGCGTATAATAGTATTACGCGTAATACTGTAGTACCCTCCCTATCCTTACGCTTTTACCTTAGTTATTTGTACTACTAAACGACGATAATAGCTTCGTAGGTACGTATAGTAGATCTGCTAGGTAGCGGTATTTTGAATACCTCTATAGACTCGAGGACGTTAGTACTCGCGATACTCGTAGATAATATACAGTTCGGCTTATTAGTCTCTAGATAGAATAATCGTACAAAGAATACGTCGTAGAAGTCTTTAATAGCTATAATAGGCTATATAGGTAACTTAGTTAGCTCGAATCGTACAAGTATAAATTCTATTAACAGCTTCTTAGCGCTATTAGCTACTCGATCGCGATCCGTCTAATAGTTATAGAGGTCGGTATAGGCAACCGGATCGTAGTACTTCTACTCGTCGTTATTCTTTAGAGCTCGTATAGTAACTCGCTACGTATATACTATAACACTAATACTAAACGAGATAGCCGGAGGTAGCGGATTCAACCGCGACGACGGTAGGGCCGGCGTATACTACTAATATATAGTCGGCGCCTCGGCGGTAGTATACCGGCGTACGGTACGACGGCTATAGCGGCCTTAGCTCTAAACGCGATATTAGCCTCGTTACGTATAGTATTCGCGTACTACGGAATCCTCGCGAATATCTAGAAACCCTATTAACCGTCGCTAAGTACTCGCTATATAGATCGTTTCAAGGCGACTAACCTTTACTTAGTATATAGGTACTAGCTACTACGATCGCGACGGCTACGGCTACGGTAGCGGCGGCGGCGGCGGCTATCTAGTAACCGGACGGCTACTTTCTAGTACGCGTAATAGTTCGTATACGAATTCAGTATATAGAGGGTTTAGATTAAGCTAATAGTACTAAGAGCAGAAATTGAACTTATAGAATATAACGCTATATCTAATCGACGGTACGACTAGACAGTATTTAGCCTAGAGGCTAGGTAGATTATCGGCTATAGTAAATAGGTCGGTAGAGAGAGAGAGAGTGTATATATATAGAAAAGAATTTAAATAATAGTACGTACTATAATATATACCCCGGAGGGCTTAGCTCGCTTAGCTCGTAGTTATACTCGTAGGGGAGATACTAGCCCTATAGCCTACGGATTATTATAGAACTCGATAATACCTATATCCTCGTTCGCGATTAGCGCGTTGCTAGTGTCTCTGAATGCTTCCGCCGTCTAGCGCGTAGGTATCTAATCTCTTGCTACTAATAGCTTTAGAAGTATACCGAGTATTAGCTATTGTTCTAAGCTAATATAGTTATTTACTAGGCTATATAGGGTAATATAGGCCGTATAGTATATACGGTCGCCGGTCGCTATATTGTACGACGTACTACTAATAGGTAGCGCGAAGCTATAGGGGAGGAGGCTCGCTTTGTACTATTCGTAGGTATCGGTAGGAAGAAAGGCCTCGAGGTCTATAGTATTAAGTTAGCGAGTAGGCTATAAGTAGAGCGAGTATATATACCAAACCCTTCTAGTATCCCTTCGAGCGTCTGTAGAACCTCCTTAGGTATATATATACCTTACTACGTAGCGCTATAGAGCTCTAGATAATACTGTAATACGTAAGGAATACCTAGAATTGAGTATAGCTAATTGTTTTGCCTCCGAATCTTATAGTAATTCTATACCTTTACGAATCCTACTACTATCTTGCGGAGAATCGTAGTATAGATCGCTAGGAAGGTAATACGATCGCCTAATAACTCTAGGTTAAATTCGTTCGTAGTATTTAAGCTATAGAAGTACGCGCGCTATCTATTTAGCGCCTTAGCCTACTAATTCTACTATACCTCGATACGCTAATTCATCTTACTTATACTATATCGGAAGCATTTACCGAATTATAGTAGTTAGGCCTCATTATAGGTACAACCTACCCTAGTAGGTATGTAGGGTAGGTTGGGTATTGGCAATACCTAATAGGTATAGGTATTTAGCTAGGTAAACCCAACCTATCGGGTTGGGTACAAACCTAGTAGGTATTACGATACCTAGTAGGTATTGCGTACCTATTAGGTATTGATTTTTTGTAAACAGAAAGAAAAAGCCTAGAAACCGAGTACCCTAAGAGCAAGTTATTTGAACTAGGTATTAGAAAAGAAACTATATATAAGCCCGATATAAATAAGAGGAGAAAGAGAGTAGTTAGATCGAATAAATAAATATAGAAGAATATATACGCTAGATTACAGCTTGTGATATTTTGAAACTTAAGTACTATAGTCGGCAAATATAGTCGGTAGGTAAACTTTATACAAGCTTAAACTAAGCTCGCTATAATCGTCTCGTAGCATCCCGGAGGCACTCTTACGCAAGCTTAAAGCTTAGGCGTACCGATCGCCTTGGCTCCTCTACTATATCTCCCTTATTATCGCTAATTACATCTAAGTTACTAATCCGTTCTATAAGATCTTTTGTCTGCTCTCGGTCTTTACTTAGGATCTCCTATAAAGTTAGAGTACTAAGAAGCGCTTAAGTAGCCTCTATAGCCTCGTAGGCGATAAGAACTCTAGTATCGTACTTATCGTCGCGGTAGCGGAAACGGGATACTATTAGTTTAGAGAATGTTGATATAGAGTATTAGCGATTGAAACGACTTTGGTATCGAGCGATACTGAAATCGCGCTTATACCTAACTCCGGCCGCAGGAATATAGAGAATATCCCGCGCTATTAGTACGAGAGTAGGGTACTTAGACTTAAGCGAAGACTATATCTTCAGTACCTCGAATAGATCCCCTTTATCTATATTAGCGTCTAGATAGTCGGCAAGCTCGTTACCCTTACGAGTGCTATATCGTTAAGTTTAAGAAGACTCTATACTCCTACTAAGAGTAAAGTCGATCTAGCCCTTATACCGACTACTTCTACTATATAACTCGTAGGTAGAAGTGCTCGA